CCGAGCCGCGCTTGGAAGTGCGCAAGGCCTCCCCAACCTGGTGCGTCGACAAAAGAACCTCCTCGGCAGGCCTGAACTGCAGAACCTCGGGGGCTGTGGCACGCGGCGGGTGCGGCACGCAGCGGGTGCGGCGGGCGCCTCGCCGGGTCCGCCAGCGCCGCAAGCAGCTCAACTTTTGTTTCAGGGTATATGGCCTTTCCCGAGTGGCACGCCCTCGCAAGCCATCTGAGAACATAGGTACATGGCATCACAATTTTGCAACGTTCCCCCAGGGCACAACGGGATTGGGACAACCTCCGTTTTGCGGGACAACTTGCACATCTACTCATGTACGTTGCGTGCCTGTGTGTAGCAGCCTGATGCAACCCCAATCCTCCCATGCGCAAAGGTGCATGCGCCCTCCGCGCACTCAGTGAGAGTAGCAGGGGGGGGGTTGTCCTCACCGGACAGGAGGTGCGCCAGGCAGTGCAGCACCGCAGCGTCGTGGCTGTCCGCGAAGGCCTCCGTGTTTGCCGGCAGTACGGTGCGCAGCAAGTAACCGCACCGCGGGGCCGCGCACAACAGCAGCAGCAGCCACGCGCACTGCAGGTCCTGCACCGCTAACAGGCGTTGCAGAAGCACGTCGTGCTTGGCCCATGCTTCATCCAGCGTCGCGGGGCGACGAATTCCCTGCTGCCAATGGGGCTGCCTAAGACGACGAGGCTTTGCTTGGTTGCCGGGAGTGTCAAGTCCCCCGTCCAGCAGAGAGCCTCGCCATCTGCAACCGGGAGTGCCACGGCCCGGCCAGGGGGCTCCTCACCCGCGGAGTTCCACACTCTCGTTTCGGGCCGGGTGACAGGGAGGCACGTGAGCACACAATCTGCCAGTTTTGGGGCTTGAATCGCCCGAAAAGCGTACTCCCGCGCACGGGCCGGGGGAGCAAGGAGGCACGGGAGTACACAATCTGGCAGTTTTGAGCCTTGAATCGCCCGAAGAGCGTACTCTCACGCACGGGCCGGAGGAGCAGGGAGGCACGGGAGCACACAATCTGGCAGTTTTGAGCCTTGAATCGCCCGAAAAGCGTACTCCCACGCACGGGCCGGGTGTAGCAGGGAGGCACAGGAGTACACATCTAAGAATCTAGTCCTTAAATCCAGGCCCAAGTGTCTAATTCCTAAACCCAAGCCCTGCCTAAGAGCCCGAGACCCGGGCATTGGTTGGCGACAAACACCCGGGTACCGAATGGGACACCAAGTGCGACAAGGCCGCGCTGCGCCGGGAAGAGCGAGAGGTCGCCAACCCAAATTGAAGAGTCCGGGGTGAGAGCAAGCACGCCCGGAGGCAAGGTGCCAGCAGCATTCCAGACCCTGGCTTTGGCAGCATTGAGTTTGAGGCGGGCATGGTCCCAGAAGAGCTGCTCCAGGAGCGAGTACAGCTCGACAACTCTTGGCGGGGAAGCAAGGATGTAGACGTCGTCAAGGTAGGCTAAAGCCTGCTCGCTGGCATGGAGCTCAGGCTGCAACGCTCGGAGGGCGGGCTTTCCGTCACGCCTGGAAAAAAACAACTTTACATGGTGTCAAACTGCGATTGAGCATGACGGCACGTCAGTGTTAAAACTAATTATAAACATCGACGGTTTTTGATCAACCATCATTGCTTAATCTCAATGCGGTACAATATCAATGAATGCATCCCGCGCGACGTCAAAGAACTTTGTCACGCACTCAGCCCAACAGGTATGGGCGAACAAAGTGGATCTTGTGTGACAAGCCCGTCTCAGCCCTTCGGGGTTTTTTCTCGCTTCCTTCTTCCGTCTCCTCGGTCAGCTCCACCATCAGGGTGTGCGAAACGCCAGTGGCCATGGAGGCATTTGTGAGACCAGCTCTGCAAAATTAACGTGAGCCATCTGCTGGACATGTTGTGACGGGTCACAAGATTCGGGAGTGTTGTGAGCAGCAAGGCATACTCAGAACCGTTGCTGAGCCCGATTCGCCGGCTTCACTCGGGATGGCGACGGCGGCAGTTGGGGATGTCAAAAGGGCGGTCGGGCTTTGTCTGTAACTGGGCTCGGTGCCGGGGGGGGTGGGTGTTGGGAGCACATTATTGTGGGGAACTCTCTTGGCGCGGGCTTGGGAGCTGCTCAAAATGCTCTGGTGCCTCTCGGCACGTGGGTCTTTGTTCGTAAGCGCGGCTGTGATGTAGAACGGTGCTGGGGCCCATGGGTGGGGCCGGGACAGGTGGTGGGTATTGGTGGGTGTCAGTGGCAGCCTTATGGAAGAATACTTGGTTAACTTGGATTCGGGGCCTACTTTGTTTTCCACGCGTCTGTTGCTTCGGGATGTGCAGGAGCGCCTACCTCGTTTGGAGGTCGCGGGAAAGTACGCTGAGGAGGCTGCTCTGGCTCGCCGCGTGCGGGGCAAAGCGAGTCCTGGTCTCGGTCTCGCAGGGCATGAGGCATCGCATGCTGCCGAGCCTGTAGGCTGCGCAGCAGCAAGCTTTTGCCGCGAGTAAGGAGCGCGGGTTGCCACATATGTTTCCCTGCACGATCTAAACCCTCGATCTGGCGGCTGCGGACGGGCGCAGAATCGAGGTCGTCGCCGACAGCCTTCCGATCTGGCAACTGGCAACGTGCTCAATCAGGCCGTCGCGCAAGCTGCTTGCGTACCCAGAATTACGGCGCGCCCGCCGCTGCAAGTGCTGCTCGTGTGTGCAGGGAAGCTGGGGCTTGAATCGGTTCGAACCGGCTCACCAAGACGACCGACACGTTGAGGTCATCGCCAATGGCCTGCCGCTGTGGGGTGGCGCCCAACTAGCAGTCGACACCACGCGTGTCTCCCCTCTCACTGCTGCCGGCCTCCCACACAAGGTGGGGGCCGCACAGCCGGAGCTGCCTTGCTCACTGCACGGGCGCGGTCTGCGCCGCCACCCATCTCGGCTCTTTTACTCTCCGGTGGTCTGCGTTCCTCTCCTTCGCTGCTGCGCGCTCATTCGCAGCCTGCTGTCCTTGCCCCTCGCCGGCACGGCCACTGTCAACGGGGAGCTACCACCTCTGAGCCACATCCTCGCCGACTTGCCTTCCCAGCCCCCGGGGTGTCGCCATGGCGTGAACGCGATCTGCGACCGCAACCTTTGCCTTCCGGCTTGTGCACTGGGACCGCGCTGCTTCGGACGTTGGTAAGAAGGTCCATGAGGAGAACAAAATTGGGCCCCCTGCCAAATGGGGAGGCAATGCGGCATCCGTCGCTCGCGGGCACGCCGAGGTTAAGGTCGCGGAGTGCGACGTGCGAGGCTAACCGAGCGCCCGCTTCCTTGCAGATGCGAGCAGCCGCACGTTCCAATAATGGGCCGGCTCGCCAACTTGCGCGCAAACTGAGTGGCGGTTGCCATACACATCTAGGCCCTAATCTAGGCCCCCTCCAAAGGAGCAGTGCTTTGGGGTAAGTGGGAGGGGCCGTGCGGAGTCTGCGCAGCAACATCGGCACTCCTCGTCCGGTACCAGGGTGTCGGCACTCTGGCGGGAAGACGTAAAAACGCAGCTCGCCGCATCGCCAGCCTGCGACAGCAGCAGCGCCCGACCTCGACCGCTACTCGGATGCGTTTCCCCACGCCGACGAAGCGCTGGTCCCTCCCGCGCCCGCCGTCGACTACCCGGGCGCGTGGCAGTCTGACGGTGACGACGGCCTCAACTCGCAGGACGAAGAGGTCGCTGCCGTTGTTTCGGAGCGCGTCCCCGCTGCCCAGCAACGGCGAAGGCGAGGTGGAGGGTGTCGTGGCCACAACGACGGACGCGGAAGCAGCGTTCGGTCGCCGCCCCATCCGCATGCTGCCGCTGCAGCTGCCGCTGCAGCTCCGACGCAAGTTGAGCAGCGGGTGTGCTCACGCCTGCTGAAATTGCGAGAAGTGCTGCGCGAGCGCGACCGACGAGGCGTCGCAGGACATCGCCAACGACGAGCGCACGCACCCATCCGCTGGGCTTTGCAGTGGGCAATTAAGCGCCCCGCCCGAATGCTTTCGAGCGCACCTCTGCGTTGGCAGCGCCATGCGCAGAAGCTGAGCATCCTCCTCATCATCGAGGAGGGTGCGGAAGGTGCTCATACCGCCGAGCCGTGACGGGTCGGGCAGCAGGTCGTATGGTGCCGGGAGGCGGCGCTCAAGTTCGCGGAGGCGTGTCGCCCGTACCGGGCGCTGACAGCTCGCCGAGATGAACAAGGGCAGCGTCGCGGCGCCGCACCGACTTGGTTAGAGTCGGCTCGCGGCGGACTCGGCGAGCCGCCGTGGCCGGGCGCAAGCACGATTCACCGGCCCAGAACAAGGCAGAACGCAGGTCCAGTTAACCCAAAACGACCGTTTTCTTTTCAAGTGGACCCCCCCCTCCCGCCCTTTTCTATCCAATGGTCGGTGCAGCACAGGCTGCGACGGCGAGCAAACGACAACCTCAATTTGTCCGTCGGCAGCGGAAACATGGATGTTCATGCCAAGCGACAAGGGGGCTCGCCAATCCTCGCCACACACGCACGTGACAGCCCATGCTAAGTCCAGCAATCATTGCGGCAGGAGGCCAGACGCCTAGCTTCGCAGCAGTTGCTGCACGCAAGACGTATTTAACTTGCGCATGCTTGCCGCCAAAAAATAGCTCATCTGTCCTACCAGTTCTACTTGGTTGGTCCTTGCCATTTGTTTTGATGCACGACAAAAACGGTTCGCTGCCTTGCACCTCAGCGACCGGCACGCGGCCACAGATTTGACGTGGGGGGGGGGGGGGTGTTCATCGGGCCGCCCCAAGGTCCACGTTCACGTTGTGGTCGTGTAGTGATAGTTGGTGGTATCTTGCATTGTGTTGTCTTGTCGTGTCGCCCCCTATGGATCACCCAGCATCTGCAGTTTTTTCGACGCATCAATCTTCATGCTGCGGTCTCCTGAGCCGTCTTTCGACAGGCCTGCAGCAGGACTCGGAGCACCTCTGCTCAAGGGTGCCTAAGGCTCTTCATCGAACCTCTAGCTGGTGAAACAACCCGCTGACATCAGAGCGCTTCAGAATGAAAGCGCTCAGCTATGAAGTCAAACCTTGAGAACATGCAAGGAGAACCGCCACTGACACTGTGGCTTTGAGAATGCATACAGTATTGCCTTCGTGGGTCGCGGATGGGCATTGAAAAGCTCCGGTACCTGGGCTCGCAGCTACCCAGCCCCAGTTCAAAGGGAAGCAATAGCTACAACCACGTTACAAAACTTCCCCGCAGGTTCCCAGCGAAGGTCACGATGTTCAAGCTCAAACCAATCACAAGGCTTGGCACTCAACCCCCTGCAAACCACACGAGCCGAGCCTCAACCCCCCCGCCCCCCGCCCCCCCGCCCCTCCCACAGTGAGAGACCAATGCTACAGTACGCTTCCCATTGGACACGAAGAAGCGACTCCTCGGTGTACTACAAAAGCCGACAAAAAAAAACGACGACTTCGCGAACCCGAACGTCCAAACGCGACGGTGGTCACGAGGATGGCGATGCGGATGCGAGCCTCAAAGAGTGCACGGGACCTAGGTGGAGAGCACGATTTCCAACCGTCAGCACCACAAAATCCGCACGAGGCGTAGGCGAGAGCCGACACGGTGGAAAAAGTACGCCGCGTTACGTGCAACATGCGACCACCGCTCGAGGTATACCGTCCGCAAATCGCGGACGTTTCGCATGCGTTTCGGGCGCGCCGCGCAACGCAAGAACCCCTAGTGTTGGCAGGCACACTGCCTGGGCACAAAAAGGAAATCGAAACCATAGCGCAGCGAGGTGACTTGTCTCCCAACTTTGCAGGAGCTGCGTTAAAGCGCTGCCCAGAGCCAAAGTCCTGCCGAAGTCTGCCAAACAGACTTAGGATGATTTTACGATGACTTTAGGGTGACTTGGGGTTTGAGGTGGATGGTTTGGGGCCTTTACGGGCTTAGGACGGCTCAGGGCTTTATCGTCGTGTCTTTAGATCTTAAGCAGTTCAAGGGGCCCAAGAATCTAAGAGGAGGGACCTGGGCCTCTGTGATGTGTTGGGTGTTTCACGACACGATGAGATCTCTGAGGCATGGCTTAGAGTTCAGAAGTTTCGAAACACAACGACGGTTTCGGCAGTTGAAGGGGCGAAACTTGGGACACCTTTCTCACAGCGCGCCGAAGCAGCACGCTGCGTCACGACTTCGGTGCACGAGTCGCAGCGCGCGCAGGTCACTTCGAAGCAGTTCCTTGCCAACAATTCCATCCCTTCCCCAATGCCCTTTATGGAATGGAACTCGATTTGCATCTGTCCGGTCACTTTTCAAGTTTCAAGAATCCATTCAACTCCAGATGTGGAGGGATACTGGCTACGCCTCCGGGTCGGGCGCCGCTAGGGGCACAGTGCACTTGCATATCGGTGGATCGGCGCATCGGCGCGCGCCAGGCTGTGATTTTGATGCTGTTTGACGTCACCTTGCAAGGCTTCAACTTGTCAGAGTCTTGTCCTGGGGTCTCGGGGCGGATTTAGGAGCCTTCCATATTGTCACCCACGAAGAGGACTGTTCTTTCTCGTGGTGGTAGGAGAGGGCATTGGCGAACGATCTGCGACACAAACCGCCACATGTGCATGCCACAGCCGCACTGGAGAAACTGGGACGCTGAAATCAACAATGACAGGATCCAAGTGAGCAAGACGCTGCATGATGCATCCCTTTTGGGCATTCCTAGGAGGCTTGCCGTTTGTTCCAAAGATGGTGGAAGGAGCGCCTCCTTTTATCCGTGAGTTTGAAGCGTTGACAGTGCTCAACAGAGACTGCTAAATCCGCGCGCTGACACCGGGCGCTGATAAGGCAGGATATGTGTTTTGGATCGGGCCGGAGGGCACCATACAGGGTAGCAGAGTCACAAAGTGCAGAGTCGTCACGAGAAACAACATCAGCGCAATCCATGTCGCGAAGCTGACGCGGAGGCAAAATGTCATTGCGTTGCTACGAAGCACGAATCATGTGGGTTGTCGTACGTTGTCGCTCAGGGTGAATCCATGCCTTCATGTTCGACCTGGCTCAGGGTTGCTCTAGGGGGTGCTACGACCGCATGTGCCTGCTGGTTTGTCTCCCCGCTTGTGAGCCGTTCTGAAGCTCAGGCGACATGTTGGTCAGGTTCTCATCAGTGGCCACTGCGAGATACCGCGAGTAAGCCGAAAAAGCCCTTCTCATCTCACATCTTTACAATAGCACGCAACACGAAGCATATGAAACAAAAGCACTCGTGCTTGCGGGGTCCGACGAGGTCGACTGCAAGGCCACAGGCGTCGCCATGTCCGAAAACCTCAGCCGCAATCTTCAGGGCACTGCTGAATTTGCAGCTCAGCTGCTGCGCTGTTCTGGGACATTTTGTTGGAGTGGGATGCGCATGATGGCTTCCCGAGGCCTGGACTTGTTCGAAGCATGGAGGGAAGCGGAGCAGCTGGAACGAATAGAATGGTCCTTGGCGCATGGCCCCTTCGAGGCATCACCCCGAATCTCACAGGCGCTTGACGCTCGCAAGCTGCTCGCAATGAACCCGAAGCACCTGAAACCCCAACACAGCCACGCACTGCGAATGCTGCGAATGCCAGGCGAAGATGAGGCCAAGGCAGCTGGCCGGGCCGCCGACTCCTGCTGCCTGGCAAGCTTTTAACCCTAAACCCTAAACCCTAAACCCTAAACCCTAAACCCTAAACCCTAAACCGATCTCAGGGCCACAAGTCCCATAGCCTGCCATATCCACTCTCAGCAGTACACCAGGGTGGGTCACTGCACAAATACAGCTCTGACATGCTGCAGGCCTCCAGCGCTCCAGCTCTCCGCCTCTATTCATGTCTCCAAAGGAGGCGTCGTTCAGGCTCCTAGCAGGCCACATGTGGGGGTTTTCCGAAAATGGGGGTACCTTTGGTGGGGTTCCTAGACTAAGGGTCAGAGTATTTGCAGGGTATCATAGGGGCATACCCCTATTTTGGGACATGGCCATGTCTCGGCATGCCATCCCGTCATCCCCCAGACTGGCCTCCAGCGCTCCAAGGTGCGTATGGACAGGCGGGGGTGCTGCGATTTGCCCCCAAAAACACCTCTCACCAGCTCTCATCCATGCACCATTCCATGTCTTCCAGCACGATGATTGCACAAAGTGGTGAGCAGGGGGTTTACGATAATAGGGGCATGGGGGAATCCTACAATTTGGGGGGGTGCTACTTTTTGGGGTCCCCTATTTTGGTAGACCCCCAGCAAGCCAGCGTTGACGACTGTGTGGAAACGGCGAGTGTCAGGTAGAGGAGTCGTCAGGGCGTAGCTTTAGCAGCCACAAGTTGAGTGATGCCCAAGGAGCCCTACCAAGAAAGGCATGCAAAAGTTGAACTCTGCAAAGGGTGTGCTAAGGTGTGCTAACTGCAACTGAGAGAATAAACCCTAAACCCTAAAACCAGCAAAAACTGAGATGCCCGTCAGGGCCATGCCTTGCCTGGCACCGAGGCCACGCCAACTGTGCTGGACATGCTGCGGATGGTCGCCTGGCTGAAGACCTCGAGCTCAGCTCAGGACTTTTGTTGGGATTCCTTGAGGGACTCAAAAGGAGGGATTCCTTGGGATTCCTTCCGATTTAAAAGGGAGGTCTTTAGGGTTTCCATGACTCCATGAGAACTGCTTGAGAACTGCTTACCCGCCCTCAAGACGCGCGCCATGTCCTGTGGGTGGCCCCGCTTCTTCCTCAAAGGAGGCCTGTGAGCAAGGCATGCAGCAGGCGGCTGCAACAGGCGCGCATCATGGCACGCATCATGGCGCGCATCAGGTTCATTTGCAGACCCAAGGTTTTGTACAGGGATGCTTTTCTCGGTGTTCCCAACAGTGCATCTGCTCCTCGCGCTCTTGAAGCAATAGGCATGAGACTCGTGGGACCAACCAGTTCAGGGTCTACTTTGTCCGGTGATGTTTGAGCCGCACCATTGCAACCCTTAGCTAAGGAGGCGGCGTCAGCTTCTCAAATCGTTCCCGGACGTCCACCTGCAGGGAAGAGGCGCCCATTTGACCGATGCGCTTTATCAGAAGACTGCCGCCAATGTATAGGATGAGCTGTGGTTGGCATGCATGAGCCCTCTTGTCTAGTTGTTAAGGTTCAGGTCGTCGTTCGACGCACATATCCGCCAACCCGTTTTTGGTCTGAGTCTCGCAACGCCTGTGACAGCAAGTTTTCGAGCACTTCAGCCGGGTGTTAACAAACCTTCTGGTTCTCATCGTTTTACAATTGCCGCCTCTTGTGCTCCCACGTTGAGGCTCTTAAATGACTTTACCCAACCCCCCTTGAGGCCTTGGGCGTTCGCCGACCATGCATGTAGTCCAGGTCTCCAACGAAGAACCTGGGGGGCGTGGTGAGACGGATGATTGGTGCTCGGAGGGCCTCACACAGCCATTCTAAACCAATGGCTCCAGCAACATGACGTGGGTGAAGCTGCGCAGATCTGTGCGGAAGAGACGGGAGCTCCTCTTGGCAGGGAACCAGTCCCGTCCAGTGCCATATGGCCAGTAGGTGGTTCCGGTGATCTTCCGGAGTCCATACGCCTGGCATGACGAAAGCTCGACAAGCCCCCAACGGCCTATCGCACGGCGATTCGCGCAAAAGCAAGGTTGCATGAAGGATTGTAGTTCGGCTCATGCCACACTTTTCACCACTCTAAGACCCCCCCCCCCCGCGTCCGCAAGAGTGCGAGAAACACGGTGCAACTTGGTTAGCAGCATCTACTGATCCGGACGGTCCGGCTTCAGCAGCTGTCCAGGAGCAATCAATCTCGTGAGCGGCAGGACTGCAACTCTAGCCATACTGCGGGCTGATGGAGGCGTGGGCACTCCTTCAATCCTTCACCTTACAAGCCCTGATCTGCAAAAAGGCCACTCACAAAGTTCCTCCAGAATCGCCGCAACCATGAGACGCTCTCCCGCGAGACTACCCATAGGCGTATTCAGCACTACCTTCGGCAACACAAACTCGACAGAGCACCATGGCGAAGCCGCACTTTCGGCAAATCTCACATCTAATTAGCTGCTGCCAGCCAATCGGCACAGGCAGCGTGCACAAGCCAGAAAGGACACAAGACAGCACTGCTGGGCCTGGCCACTACAAGAACTTGTCGACTCTCAAGACACCTGAAGAGACCTTTTCCCCAGCGAATATCATGGCTAGGGTTGGTGAGACATTATGTCACGCTGGGCAGCCTTCTGCGCACCCACTCATAGTCGCATCTACCACGGCCAAACGGCCAAACCCCCATTTCCAGGAGTTTGAGTTTGAGAACTGTTCAGAACCGTTCTGAAGACTGCCCTCTGGAATCATGCAATGTTTGTACAGTCAAGACACCGCCGCACTTTCGGCACGTATCCGCGACATCAGCTAATCAAGTCGAGCATACTGCAAGAATCTCGCGCTTTGCCGCCTTTCGTTAACTTCGGGAAGCTTCAGAAGGCTCGACAGCCGCCGCAACCTCCACATCCGCCGCAGCCTCCACAGTGACGAGCGTCATGGTGAGTGCACTGAATTTTGAAGCACGAGTCCGCTCTGCCATGGGAAAGATAGAACATGAGAGACTCGAAACCAGCCACGTTAAAGACGTGTCCTCCTCCTCGGGCGGCGGGTCGAAGACCGGTGGCTCCTCGCCATTGTAGAGCCACATTGCCTGCAGGCAACCATCCTGTAAAGCTCTACTTAACCTACTATGGGGGGAGGGGGGGGAGGAGATTCTGGTGGAAACAGTTGAAGGTTCTAGCTCATCATCATGTCTTCCCAAGCACACCCGAGCGATCTACAAGCTGATCATGTTCATGTGTAAAGATACTACAACTGGAATCTTGAACCTGAGAAGACGAAACTAGTTGAGGATGTCTTAGGTTGCCGGATGCACGAGTATTGCCTACTTGCGCGCGCATGCTCATTTCCGAATGGATGTCAAGTGCCAGCGCACTGATTCCGAGAGAATGTGGACAATTCGTGGCGTTGGGATCGAAAGGGATGGGTTGCTGCAGTCATGTGCCTAGAAATAGAAGGCACTTCACCAGGACCACCCCGAAAGTCGCGTGGACCCCAAATGGGGGTTTACGAAAATATAGGGGAGCCCCAATATAGATCCCCAAATTAGTAGTATTCCCCTTATCACGAGGACCCCAATAAGGTACCCATCATTTCGGACACCCCTATATACAAACAAGGACCCAAAAAAATATTCAGAGGCCTTGTCCCGGCGCAGCTCCTCGGACGCGAAGAGCAGCGCGGTACGGCTTCGGGCCATGGCGGCCAGGACCACCTGACAGCCGCCGGAGCCCAAAAGGAGCAAGCCACCACGGCATGAAACATCACAAATCCATGATCCTACCTTGGGGCTTCCGACATTCGGGGCACCTTATTTGGGGTCCCTCTTCTACGGGAACCCCTACTATTTTGGGGGTGTCTTATATCAGGGGCCCCCCCTTAAACCCCCCAAACCTCTCGGTCGGCGCGCAGCTCCGGTGCAGCGAAGGCCAGGGCCGTCCCCGTGCGGCGCACGGCAGTGAGGACCTTGGAGCTCGGAGCAATTCAGGGCAGCCCAGATCAGTTCACTTGCTGTTGGTTAGTAGGGAGTGAGGGAATGAGGTGCCCTATATCCCCCTATACATACCCTTTAAGGAAGTATAAAGAGAACCTCATTCCCTCATTCCCTGCTCACCAACAGTAAGTTCAAAAAGGGACTCGGGGACATTCGGAGGAGACTAGAACACCAGTGAGAGAGCTGGGACAGGGCTGAGCTGAGGAGTACTCCCCTCCCCCCAATATTAACCTCACCCCCTATTATAGCTATGTTATAGTATATTGGGTTTTTTTTATATTAGGGGGTAGGGTGGTTTAATAATAAGGGGAGGGGAGTAGTTGAATGACAACGGAAGACCTTCCTTCCAGATCTGTCAGTGTGCTACAGTAGAAGCTTTGCACCTGACATGCTTGCAATAAGTTTCAGGCCACCTCTTTGTCTTCACACAGCTCCTTTTCCGTGGAGCTGGCATGAGATGAGCGAAGAAAGAGCAAGGCAGGAGTCCTGCGTGAAGAATTCCAGCGCGCTGCCGTTAATGTCTACTGCCTTTAGAGCGACCTGGCAACGGAGCACTCTATGGAGAGGGGTGTTTGCGATACATTTCGGTGCAGCGCCAGCTGCTTCGGGAAGGCACAGCACTGTGCAGACAACAACCAGAGTCAGTCTTGTCCGTACCTCGCATCTGAAGGTATTGGGCTTTTCGAGGCAAGAAACAAGAGCCTCGCGGTCGGCTCGAAGCTCGTCCGTAGCGTGCGTGAGAACACGCACATCCTTGCCAGGCGCAGCTCTCTCACACATTTGCGGGTTTACGAAGATAGGGACCCTAACTCCTAGTCCCTTAAATAATAGGATCCCCTGAGAAGAAGGACCCAATAAGGTACCCCTAATGTCATAAACCCCCATGTCATGTTTGGAGGCAGCAGCAGAACAACCCATGGGAACTTCTGGGCCTCCGGCCTGCTTGACAAGACGCAGCAGGAAATCCACGTCTGCGCAGAGCTCGGGGCTGGCATGTTCCAAGGAGCGATGGTCCTTGACCTCGGGAAGAAAGGCAACGTTCTTCTGAGTTCTCTCACGCAGTTGCGCGATGCTGCTCATCAGAGCCCGACGGATGCCTTGAACATCACCTGCAATATTGGAAGGCTGATCCCTATCATTCAGCGGGCACCTCTTTTGGCAAACAGCTCTTGAGGGTCCTGACCTAAGCAGACCTTGGACTTCGTGCCTCTGGCTTGCTGATCAAGCGCGGGTTCGCGAGCTGGAGCAACGAGCCCTGCAAAAGCAGAAGGCCAAGACATCCCACGCCAAGCGGACACGGTGGCCACGCCTCTTTCTCCACTTCCTGCAAGACCTCCTCCTGGCTCTGCCAGTGCCCCAACCGGCTCGGGCAGGCCTAGCTCGATCTTCGGCAAAGGCTGCGTCGGAGACATGAAAGGCATGCAGCATGAACCGAAGATAGCATGCACTGGCCTCACTCACTGACAACAATCCCGAACCGAAGCACAACCCTAACCGGTTTGGTGCACGACGGCCAAGTTTTGAAAGGAAATCCTGCCTGCAGCCAAACATCACGGTCCTGCTGCAGTTCCTGGAGCAGACGTTCGACAGTGGCGGGCCGAGGCCAATCACAAAACTTTCGGATTCTCGGTTCTCGAGAGCGAGCGAGAGAGAGAGAGAGAGAGAGAGAGAGAGAGAGAGAGACAGAGAGAGAGAGAGAGATGGGGCTTTCATATATTGAGTTTTCTGGCTTAACCGGTGAGGTAGTGTCACAAGGTGCCACACAGAGCCACGGTCGCTCCTGGGAAGCGAACTTCAACGCGGAGGTCTCTTGCTTCACAGCAGCTAGCACCTCGGCCGTTAACATCAAACACCTTAAGTTATGGAACGAAGAGGAGGAAATGAGACGTGCAGGGAATTGCTACGAAGAAGCTCTCATCTTCTGAACTTGAGTCCAAGTTGCAAGGCCCTTGTTCCCCCTTAGGTCTGGCGAGGCAAAGCGAAGAGCCATGCCGCAGTTTTGCACAGCTCTGAGAACCTCATCAGGTCTCGCGGGTGTCTTGGCAGACACTTTGGCAAAATCCGTCACGCTCGTTTGCTGTAACTGCGACCGCGAAGCCACGTCAGGATCTGACTGAAACTGCTCTGGGACAAACTCCAGCGCAAGACCGTCCTGACAGCAGAGTGAAGGCATGAAATTGCCAGACTGCGTATGTTGTCTTTGCGGGTGCTTGCGAACTTCACGATGGGGCAAACAGGATGGGGTGCTCAGCCCGCATGCACCTCTCTCTCAGAGAGCACTTCAAGGGTTGTTATGTCGGGATGGTTCACCCCTCCCCCCCTCCGCCCACAAAGCTCACCGAGCACCTACCGGGTGCTTACGGGTCGCTTACCGGGTCGTTCAGCTTGTGATAGACTGCCGCAAACCAACTATCCTCTCAGCTAGCCTGAGCGGACCCAGGGCGGAGATCCTGGAGTATTGATCAATCTCCCATGATTTCAGGAGCCGTCCTGACCCACAGCGGCTCGAGCGACCTGAGAACATGGCTCTGAGGCATTAGCACCATAGCATGCGGATGCGGATGGACATCTCTAAGATCCTCTTCTTGCTTCTGCCTGCTATGCGCGTGAACACCGGTGCACCGCAAGCCTCCCGGTCTGCTCTGATCTCCGGGTCCACGAACTCGTAGGCCAGCCTCGGCCCCATGCTTCAGCACGGCTTCAGCCATGGCTTCAGCATGGCTGCTGAGCTTCTGAGCAACCTGCCCATTTTTTGAGATGGCCTCGAGGCAGAACTCCCGGTCTGCGAGTAGCTCCTGCATCCGAAAGGCACAATGGGTAGTCGGAGGTCCAGTTAGCCCCAAACCCTAAACCCTAAACCCTAAACCCCATCTGGGAACGTGCAAAGCCCGATCTGCGAATAGACTCTACGAGCCCCCTCTCCTCCGCCGCGAACTGCAAGGAGCGCACCTCCTTCTTCAACGCCTCTGCTGCGACCAGGGCTTTGCAAGCAGGCAATGCAGAGGTTGAGGCAGGTCGTCTAATCACCCCAGAAAGCAGCAAGATGCAAGGAGGTCCACTCGTGCCCCATGAGCAGAAAAAGTTGCGCTGCCAGACCGATGGCCCGGCCTTGAAAATCGCCTCCTTGTCCCTCCGAAGCTCCTTGCCGCTGTCTTATGCATCTCCCTAAACCCTAAACCTAAACCCCAAACCCCCAGTCCTCCGAAGCCCACTGAAGTGCCCAGCCGTCGTTCTTTAACGCCTTGAGCACGACCTGGCCGCAGGACGCTCGGAACTGCAAAACGTCACGACTCTGCTGGTCCCTTTCTTTTGGGGGCCTCCTTGTCCGCCCTGAGATCCACAGACAAGAATTGCAGGGCACGACCATGCCTGGGAGCTCAGAGCGTGTTTCAAATCAGCCCTCTCCAAACTTCTATGAAGGGTTTACAGCGATGGAAAGGCCTTCGTGAACTAGGCGCTGTGGATGTGCAAAGGTGCTAAGGCTCAAGGCACGGCCACAGCCTTCAGAGCATAGTCCTTGCGTGCTGGATCCTTCGGTCAGGGAGTCGTCTGACACTGACGCCATTTGCAGTACCAAAACCCTAAACCCTAAACCCCAAACCCTAAGCCCTAAACCCTAAACCCTAGACCACAAGCAAGGTTCACATTAAAGTTAAACGCAGGTGTAGGCCGGCGTAGGTTCTTGCAGCTACACCTGGCCACCGAACCTGTGGAGCCAGAGAAAAGGGTTTAGGGTTAGGGTTTAGGGATTAGGGTTTAGGGTTTAGGGTTTAGGGATTAGGGTTTAGGGTTTAGGGTTTCTAACCAAGCACACCATCCCAGCTTTGCCTTCCAGACAAGGTCGATGGCCTGAGCATCCCAGCGTTCTCAAGGCTCAGCAGGCAGCAGAAAGCTTCTTACAGGGCTCTTAAGGGAGGGGGGTTCAAGAGGGGCATGTAAGCCGAAGCTTCCCCAAGGTTCCCTGGGTACTTACCCCCTATGATCCCCCCTTAAGAACCCTATCAAGCTTGGTCCCTGAACGACTCCACTGCGCCGAGCTGCAGCATGCAAAGACTTCAGCGCCTTCGGCGGGCCCGGGGCCATGGAGGCTCCCAAGAACTATAAGGGGGGCTCTCTCGCTGGCTGGGATGGTCTTGAAGGAGGCTGCATGACATGGTCGTTCGGTTTTGCGCCGAGCTTTCATCTGCGTGGACCTTGTCCAAGTTTCGTCTGAAGCCACAACACCCTGCTTCCCGACCCCTGAGTTTCCAGCTCACAACTACAGAATTTCTAACCAACAAAGGACTGCAGGTTTTCAAGTCCAGGCACAGCCAGCACTGCGGATTCAAACGCAATTTCCGGGGCTTCATGCAACTACAGCTGTGCAGATTCCATCTGCAAATGGGTAGTTCTCTACATTAGGGTCCCTTTTTTGGGGTCCCCAAAAAAGTACGGCACCCTTGTAGAAAGTACCCCCAAAAAGGACGCTAGTTTAGAGAACTGCCCACACAGTGTCGGCTGCAGACCTCTTTGTTCTGCCCTTTTAGCGATGCTGAGCTCTTTTCACCGTCGATATGGGTTTAGGGCTTAGGGTTAGGGTTTAGGATTTAGGGTTTAGGGTTTACGGTTTAGGGTAAAGGGTATAGGGTATAGGGTTTAGGGTGTGGGTCCCCGAAGTGGTCCAAAGTGAGACTTGCTGAAGCGAGCGGCCGCTCAGCGCGATCAACTTCGACCTCAGCACCGATTCACCGAATCCTGATGGTCGATTGCATGCTGCAAGAGGCAAGTATCCCCTGCGATGTCTTGGGCTGCATACATTCCTATCTTGAGCTCGGCAGGGGGCAGGAAAGCTAGTGTTGCAAACAGATGCATCAGGCAAGATCAGGCAATTCAGGCGAGGACACCCACCGAGGCCTGGGACTGGGGCCCAGGCTGGAACTCCCTGCAGATCCTGCAGTCTGATTCTCGCCTGAAACGGAGCAAGGTCGAAGAGGCGGGAACATCCCACATGGGGTTTTGCTCCAAGGTCAGTGCAATGTTCTGCAACACCGCTGCCCCCCACAAAAAGCACAGGGAGCGTATGCAGCACGATGGGTGCAGGGCGCGGAACAAGCCTGACATTTGCCTGGTAGACACTGGCTTAATCTGGAGCTTGCATTCTCACCCCATATGTTCGCGAGGGACGGTGACAGATCCTAAGTCCGCTAGTGGTGTTTGACTCTTGACAAGCCTGGCACACTCAAGCAAACAAGGAAGTGGAAGGAAGTACAAAGTCAAGCTGAACTGACAGAGCTATACACCCAACAGACAAGGACCGGCGAAGAATCGAAAGCCACAAGTCGAAACATTCCCGAATCGTCGCCAAAAGTGCGAAGTGTGAAAAAGTCACATTGAAGAACGAGACCCTCCGGTCTATACTCCAGGGCACTGGCTGGTGTCGTTTGCAGATGCATCTGCGGAAGCTGACGACTTGCCTGATGTCTTCAAGCATACGATTCTGTTCGGCGGCGTGCTTGAGGGCAGTCTCCAGATGTCTCAAGAAAGTGTTTTAGGCTTTCGTGGTGCTTCAAGCCATCCTGGCTGGCATTGCACGGTGGAGCAGTTGCCATCTCGGGTCCACGCTGGAGCTGGCAGTGTCAGAGGCGGCCGCTGCGCCTTCGATTCACCAAACGTCGCGTTGGACTTCAGAGACTGCCTGATGTGGCTGTAGTGAAGTACAGCGATACATAACGAGACGAGCCGGGCCCCGACACGACGACTACGCGGGGTAGAGTCGCACTACATCTGCAACCGATAGGGTGTGACAGACAACATCAACGGGAACTTGCGGATCCTCTGCTCTTTGTGTCTTACATGAAGATTTGACAGCTTTGTCCAACTGCCTTGAATTTCAACAATCATTTCAACGCGAAGGCGATTGCAGCAGCATTCAAGATTCCCTTAATGTCAACTTCAAGGCTCACACAGCCAACTTTGAGCGCAAGAATGTCTCGGCACTGGAAACTCTTGTGAAGGAGGGTATATCTTTCTTGTACCCCCAAAAGGACACCAGGTATATACACTCACCATTCTTAAAGAGGAACCTTATATACACTCACCAAAAACAGAAATATAAACCCTGCTTCATGTCCACACTGTGCGCAGACTGAGCAGCAGAGTCTCTGACGAATACGGAGCACAGCTGGCACAGCTCTGCTTTGTAGGCACGCCTTGCTTGTTCTGCATCGTTTCCCTAACGTTTTCCTGGTAGACCTGGCGTCATCTGGAGTCCTTGAATCCTCACCCAACGTGTTCGCAAGGGACGGTGGACGGATCCTAAGTCCATTTGTGGAATTTGACGCTTGACCATGGCAGACTCAAGCAAACAAGATGAAGCAAGTACAAGGTCAAGCTGAACTGATATACTTCGCAAACGACCTCCGGAAACAAGATGAAAACAACAAGTCCAAAACCCAAAGCTATACTGAGATGCAGCCCATAGAGATGTATCTCATGCTACCCCGGCCCGCCAATACATGTTTGGGTTCCCTTGAAAGACGCTGAACTAAGTTGACGGGCAGTACAGAACAGTAGGGCATATCGTGGACAAGCCTCTTAAGGACGACGAACCGACAGCCACAAGCTGAAACATTCTCGAACGGTCGCGAAACATGCGAAAAGTCAGAATGATGACAAAACAACCCGGTCTAGACTCCAGGGCACTGGCCGGTGTCGTTTGCAGATGCATCTGCGGAAGCTGACGACTTGCCTGATGTCTTCAAGCATACGATTCTGTTCGGCGGCGTGCTTGAGGGCAGTCTCCAGATGTCTCAAGAAAGTGTTTTAGGCTTTCGCGGTGCTTCAAGCCATCCTGGCTGGCATTGCACGGTGGAGCAGTTGCCATCTCGGGTCCACGCTGGAGCTGGCAGTGTCAGAGGCGGCCGCTGCGCCTTCGATTCACCAGACGTCGGACTTCAGAGACTGCCTGATGTGGCTATAGTGAAGTACAGCGATACATAACGAGACGAGCCGGGCCCCGACACGACGACTACACGGGGTAGAGCCGCACTACATCTGCAACCGGTTGGATGTGACACAAAGCATCCAAGAAAAGAAAAACGGGAACCTGCGGATCCTCTGCTATTTGTGTCTCGCATAAATTGCACTTCCGAATCCTCAGAGCGACATTCGCCGCCTGGGTCCGGGTGGCAACGTTTCGACGCTAGACAGCAAATGTTGACAGCATTGGTCGCAAATGCTCGTGCGCATTTGCGAGTGCCAGGTCTTCTGGCAAATCGCCTCTCTCATTAGCGATGTTCTCTGCCCCATTCTCCAAATAAGTTTTGGACAAAGCTTCATCCCCGACCAGCGCAGCTGCCCCAAGCGGTGTCAGACCAGGTAAGCTCGCCAACGTCTTTGTCGCTATAGAGCCTATACTCCCCGTAGAACCTTCATAAAAACTCAAATTTTAATATCCTCTTGGGGGTTTCATATAAAAAAATAATTCCCAAGGGGGATGTAGGAGCAGGACGCAAAACCAACGACCTTCGAGTAGGCGCCAGCCAGACGCGCTGCAAACAAGAATTTGCCGTTGGGGCTCGCCTGTGCGTTCGGATCCGCCCGGCCCTCAAGGAGCACACGCGCAACGTCCACTGCACATGCTCGGCCACGAGACAGCAGGGCCACTGCATGAAGTGGAAAGTAGCCTGCTCCAGTGGGCTTCGGATTGGGGTCACAGCGTGCTTGCAACATTTTGGCAACGGTCTCTGGGCAAGACCACACGGCAGCACCGCACAGTGGGCTCAAGCCCATGGGTAGATGTGATGTGTGCAGATCAGCTTCGGCTTCAATGAGCACTTGCAGTTGCTTGGGCGTTCGCACCAAGTATGCGCAACCCAGGCCAACCCGGGTGGTAGCATGCACATCTGCCCGGAGCTCGATAAGAGTTGACAGCATCTGCGGCTCTTGTTGCGACTTGATGGCTGCCATAAGCAGGGTCTGGCTATCAGAGTAGCCGAGCCTGGTTAGGCCCGTTAACCTCCGGTTCACATCGGCCCTGTGCTCCACGAGCAATCTAACCAATCCAATGTCGCCAGCGAAGATGGCGCAGAGAAGAGCATTCACACTGCTCTCATCCTTTACGGCATCCTGCGCGACATCCACGGGAGGTGGCTTTTGAAAGAGCCCATGCGTGAGGGTGCGTCAACAGGCGACCAGGAGGTGTACTACGACGCACTACTTCCCAGCTTCCATATTTAGGGTTTAGGGTTTAGGGTTTAGGGTTTGGGGTTTGGGGTTTGGGGTTTAGGGTTTAGGGTTTAGGGTTTAGGGTTTAGGGTTTAGGGTTTAGGGTTTAGGGTTTAGGGTTTAGGGTTCGGTAGGGTTTAGGGTTTAGAGTAAAGGTTGAAAAATACAAAAACAAGTAGGATGACAACAGCAGCCCCGGGTGGTGCCTGCAGGCTTTGGTAGCGAAAGGTCTGCAGAAGCATGTCCAAGTCAAAGGTCTCCTTGTGTTGGCCCAGCAACTTGGGTCGGTGTGCCAGGTAGTAGCCTTGGATTTCTGGCGCGTGGACTTCCCCCCCAACCCAAGGTCAGGCCATGAAATCCCCCGTAACTTTGCTACTCCACACAACGAACTCAACTTCCCAAACTGTTCACCATGCCGGTGTCTGGTCAGAGGGCGGTATAAACTCAATGGCCCTGCAGCCGACAGGTAGTTGATTTTGCTATCCAGTGCCGCCTCCCCAAGCTTCACCACCGTCTCCCGATCACCTTAGCCGCTCTCTCTAGCTTCAGGTCTTTCTTGTTGCTACGAGCTGCCGTGAACTGCTTCGGGCTGCGAGCACACGCACAGTCGGAATCGAGTCACTTTCCACTGTGAAGTTGCCCTCGACGACAATATGCTGCTGCCAGTTTAGGGGGAACATGAATTCTGCCTCCCGTGGAGAGTACACTACAATCACGCTGGTGTCGGGCTTGTTGGAGAGCAGGTGGCACCACCATTCGGCCCTACACCAGCCTATGGGGCATCCAGGGACATGCAGGCTTCTGCATTGCAAGTAGGGTTTAGGGTTTAGGGTTTAGGGTTTAGGGTTTAGGGTTTAGGGTTTAGGGTTTAGGGTTTAGGGTTTAGGGTTTAGGGTTTAGGGTTTAGGGTTTAGGGTGGCAGAAAAACACGCTCACCATAATCTCCGAAACGCGCACCAAGAGCACCGAAACACGCACCAAGTTAGCGTAGCCTGCACCAAAGTCAATCTGTACGCACCAAACCCAAAACACGGACATGTAGCAGTAGTACCAGCGCAGCCAGCTGACTGCTCATGCCAGCATAACGAAAGACACGCCCGGGGTTTTACACCTTCTACCCATACGTGGACACACCAGTATACCTAGACATCCAAAGCGAAGGAGCCTGCACATTCACTGCGCGTGGATTCGCATCCGACCAGGTTTAGGGATCTGGGAGTCGAGATTTTTTCGGGGTTTGGGAGCGTGTCAGATGTGAGATGAACTGGCATGACATGATATGATTATGATCTGACTGCGTGACTACAAGGCACCAACCAGACGGAGCGCATCCAATCTGAACTGACAGAAGCTCGACACAGGCTTAACACATCATCATGGAGCCTGCCGCTCTGATGTTGGAACGGTTGCAGGGAATTGCGCGGTGGCCCGGACCCGACGCGACCTGACCCGACCTCACATGATCTGACCTATCCCACGCGAACAGAGCGGCTTAACACGTCACGCAGCCTCACGCGCGAACTCTTCCGGCGGCTCGCGCACACCAGGAGCAGGAGCCTGGCAGGAACGGCAGGGAGAGGTATTCATGTTCGATGGCCCTATCCAACCTAACCCGTGCAAGTCAGCCTGTCTGCAGCTCAGACGAGCCGCGCAGCATGACTCGAACTAGCACGATCTGATCTGATCTGATGAATTTTGATCTGCTCGACAAGACTCGAACCTATCCCGATCTGATCTGACTGCACGTGTGTAAGTCAGCCTGACCCGACAACTCACTTGGCGGCAAGTAACCCTTCAAGTTGGCAGCAAGCCCTCGGCCCTGAAAGGGGAGCTGACACGGGCCTCCGCCACTGGCTCGGCCACACCAGTCACAGCAGCCTGACGCAGGAACGGTGAGCCCATGAACCCTACGCAAGACTCAGACTTTGAAGCAGTCGGCAACATGAGCAGTCCGAAAACCACGTTTGAGAGAGAAGCCTTTTCTTTCAAATGCGCACGTTTGGCGCGGCTCTTGCAAAATTATCTGCTGGCTCAATGCTGCACAACGCCGGTATCTAGACGTAAAAGTTTTTCTACTTTAAGGTCCCAGCCATCAGAAAGACAAGAGCCGGTAAGTCAGTGCTAGGATAGTAAGCGCTGCCTTCCCTACTTCTGAGGGGTAATAAAGACAAAAGCCAAGCGTCCAATGGCTACATAGACTCACCTTCATCGGAATATGGCGGACTCTCCCCAAGGTCATCCGAGCGCGGAGACGTCGGCAACGCCTGTGCAGACGGCGAAGAAACGTGTGGTCCGTTGTCCAAGTTGCGGGTCTGCGCTTGCTCCCACATAGGCATCTGTGGCCCGTCGACACGCAGCATGAGATCCTCTGCGGCCTGGAACATGCTGTGGACCTTGCCCAGGAGAAACGGTCTGCGATTGGCTTGCAGAAGTTGATGAAACCGCTCGAAGAATGGAGCTTTGCGCCGAAGAAGGCTATCCAATGTGACGTCGTGCTGGCGCAGAAAGGAGGTGTTGCCAGCAACCAAGAGCTGCACGCAGCTCCAGAGCTCGCCGTCGGTCAGCATGTCCAATGGGAGCAAGTCTCGGGGCACGTGCTTCACAACCCCAGCGGCAGCCAAAAGCTTCCAGGCCACTTAGTAAGCCCATCGAGTGGGCTGCAAGACGAACCTCGCCGAACGTGGCGAAACGAGACAATCAGTCTGCTGTGCTGCTGCACGAAAGCCAAAGGAGCTAGCAAGGACGGCATATTCGTCTCAAGTGTAGTAGTCACCGGGCTGAAACCCGACTCGACCTGCCCTGACCTGATCTGGCTGATTCCATACCTGGCTGAGAACAAAGGGCATAACTCAGCCAACCCCGTGCCCTATGAGCCCAAAACCTGGAGTTGTGAAAAGAGGCCCTATCAGCCCAGAATCTGGACAGGTTTCATCGCAAACCCTGGAAATGCTGGCAGGCACGCCAGTGTAGTGAAACACTCTGCTGTGTTGTGTGATCTGATGTAGTCCGACCATTGCTGACGCGGCGGGGCACCTTGCGCGCAAGCTCCGCCGCCGTCCTCACCACACGGCCGCAGGAGCCTGATGCAGGATTGGAAGTCGAACTGGACCGACCTGATCTGATCTGATCTACTCTATGTCACTTAGTGTACGGCTGTTTTGAGAGGGCAAACCCGACCCGATCTGATCTGATACGCTCCATGTAAGCCAGACTCACCTCTTGTCAGTTGGTGGCAAGGAAAAGCCTGAAATTTGGCAGCAAACCCTCAGCCCAAAAAGGCGAGTTTTCGACAGCGGAACCCGAAGACGGCGAGGAACCTGGCGCAGAAGGTTTGGCGCTGGTCCAGGCACCGCAGCCTGACAGAGGCACGGCGGCAAGCTGAATCCTCAAAGTTGGCAGCAAACCCTCAGCATGAGCTCCGCCGCTGGCTCGGCCACACCCGTCACAGCAGCCTGACGCAGGAACGGCGGTCAGCTCAGCCGCCTGACCCGACCCGATCTGATCTGATGTAATCACGCCTTGTCAGCTGGTGGAAGCCCTAGCTGCTTGCAAAGACGGCATGTCTTAGTGGAATGCTTGCTGATACTGTTCAGAGCCTGGTTAAGAAAGAAGACACCCCGACGTTTCGCGAAACCCTATAGAGATGCTTGCAAAGACGGCATGTCTTAGCAGCACCTTCGCCAGCCAGAAGCTTGCCAGCCACGGAGAACAAAGGGGGCAGCACGAATGCTTGCTGACACTGTTAGGAGAGCACATTACGCCGCCGCCAGGCTTGGACCTCCTGGCAAAACCACGCTGAGCAAGTAGCGTCAGACCACTCCCCGGGTGTTTTGTTTTGGTATTGTTATTTAAGTGTTTTTGGGAGTTTTCGAAGCCCAAAACCCTAAAACCCTCACCCCAAAACCCTAAGCCATAAACCCTCAACCCTAAACCTAAACCCTAGACCCTAAACTGTCCCGAAACCCTAAACCCTACACCTTGAGCCCTACACCGTAAACCCTAAACCCTAAGCCCTAAGCCGTAAACCCTCTCAACCCTAAACCCTAAGCCATAAACCCTCAGCCTCAACCCTAAACCCAAACCCTAGACGCTCTTTGCCTTGTGCCCAGCCTCCCTAAACCCTAAACCCTAAGCCGTAAACCCTCAGCCTCAACCCTAAACCTAAACCCTAGACCCTAAACCCTCCCGAAACCCCTAAACCCTAGACCTTGAACCCTACACCGTAAACCCGAAACCCTAAGCCCTAAGCCGTAAACCCTCAACCCTAAACCTCAGCCCGAGACCCAAAACCCGAAACCCTAAGCCCTAAGCCTAAACCCTAAACCCTGGACCCTAAACCCTTAACCTTAAGCAGCAAACCCTAAACCCGAAAAGAGCAAACCCTAAACCCTAAGGCCTCAACCCTATAAAAGCCCGAAACCCTAAAGCCTAAACACCAAACCCTAAACCGCCTAAACCCCCAAAAAAAACCTGGCTCGCCACTTCAAGGCTTCAAACAATGCACAGCATGGGTAAGCGGTACCGTCGGGGTCTCCTTGGCTGACGGCTCGGCTGCGGCTGAGGAAGCATGGGTGGACATTGGCTCATCGGGCAGGATTGCGTGTTTATGCTGCCGACCTGTGCCTGCTGCTGACGACAGGCACAGATGGTTAGTGACACAGGACCTCGTGAAGGAACACCACCTCTTTTGCTCGCCAGACAGGGAGCTTGAGCCACGTCATGGTGCTGGGAGCAAGGTTTTGGTGATGCGCCAAGTTGTTTTGGTGCGCTGTACGGTGTGTTTGGTGCGCGAACATACAGTTGGTGCTCGCTTCGGTCTGCAATCTATAGGGTTTAGGGTTTAGGGTTTAGGGTTTAGGGTTTAAGGGGACCTCATGACCTGAACATCAACCCACCTGCGTTTTATGTACGTCTACTCTGTTTACTTCCCCCCCGTATTGTTGACTATGTTGACTACATGCCGCACCTCTCGACAGCCAACTTGTGTAGTTGCACAGCACTTTCGTGTCTGTGTGCAGAAGCTCCGGCACCAAAGCCACGAACAGGTTTGAAAGCTCCACGTAGGAGGGTATACCTGGGATGCAAACACCCGCCCTCAGGAGCAAAGAACCATTCACTGCATTCACTAATGCAGCATAGGGCTGTCTTGAGCCTAGGTACTCTTCACTGCCAATGCGGCATCTGTCCTCGTTGCTTCTTCATTCACACCGGCCTGCCGAGCTGTGATCTGGGGGATCGCAAACCAGTCCAGAAACAGGTACCCATTCGCAATCTGCTTTCGCGTCCGAGTGGTCAACTCCTTCCCACTTGGCATGGAAATCAAGTCTTCCTCCACCTGCAAAGACCCGCTGATCATCCCATGCAGCGCGTGCCGCAGAATTGTCACATGCTGGCCATAGGGATCGGGATGTCTCGCGCCAAGCCACTGGTGTGAAACAAATAGAACAAACATAGCTGGATTCCACTGGTGCAGCAGCCCTTTTGACAGGAGGACGTTGTGTGGCTGGGGCACACCATCCATGTCCTCGGTCGTCACCGTGCGTAACGCTAAACTCATGGTGGCATGATTTGCTTGAGATGGCAACTGACTGCTTGCAAGTGTCCAAGAAGTCCGACACCTGCAAGGGCCACTCTTGCCCACTGCATGTCAGGCAGAGGAGATGCAGTTGCGAACCAAACGCGGTGCCTTGACCACATACATCGGGAAGAAACTCTCGTGCACGGGCTGGAAGTTGACCACATCAACTTGTGGCGCACACAAGCCGCTCCCCATATTGGAGAAGGTGGATGATGACCCTCTGTCTTTGAGCCCGGGCTGGAAATACACACGCGGCAGCATTCAGCGACTGCTTAGTAGAGGAAGACGGGTCAGAAGGTTTGACAGGGAGAGGGCAGAGGTGATAGGACTGGAGGACCACAGGAGCTATGATCTTGCCCCTAAGCCCTAAACCCTAAACCCCAAACCCTAAACCCTGAACCCTAAACCCTAAACCCTAAGCCCGTGCCTCATCCAACATGAAAGCGGCTGAATCTCAACTCTGGGGTCCAGGTTTTGTGGGCCGTGTAACCTCTTATCAAGGGACTAGAGGGAACCTTGCAAGGGACATTAGGGGATATTTAGGGGTTATAATGTAAGGACGACTTGCGTATATAGGGGCTATAGAAGGTATATACAGGAGTTATATAGAGGAAGAAGATTAAGGGTCCCTTCTTATACCCCGTAATCTTAGTTGAAAGGCAGAAGACTCCAAAAGGACCGGCCTTGAGCCATGGAGGCGTCCACCCAAACCTGGGCTCGGAAATCGACGTTCGCACAGATTTTCAGCCGCATGGCTGCACATACAAACTGTCTTTACCGGAAGGGGCTGCAACATGAGGTGGCGTGATCCTTTCTCCATACAGAAAGAGACCTGCACTAGGGTAGGGTCGAATATGGTAGAACTTGGCAGCTTAAGCCTGTCTCGTTCAAACGACTTCTAACACAAGCCCGCCGTGTCTTCAAAAGAAAATGATATGCAGGTCCTCCGATTGCTGCCATTGCAGGGTGCGCTGCCTTCTTTTCCCACAGCTGGGACCGGTCCGAGTTCCCGATTCAGGTGGCATGGTCTGCAAGCGCAGGGGCGTCTGGGGAGACATGGAAAACGGCCCCGCTTGGGCCCCGTCCTAAGTGTCCAATTTGTACAATGCGACAGTCGTCCTGCCATCCTAAACCTGCCTGAAGCGTGGGTCCTCGGCGCGCTTGGTGTCAGTAGACGCGAGTTCTTTGCCTTCGCCTTCTCCGGCTTCTCCGCTTTCCCCTTCTGTGGCTGAAGCCCGCCCGTTCTCTGCAACCTGGCAAGTTGCTACAGTATCCGGTTCTGCAAGCATCGTGTGGGGCATCACTCGATCACAATGACTCGACACCTAAAGCGTACATTGGACAGACCGGTGGACCCAGCGCACATCAGCGCACGCCCCTGAGCACGCCAAAAGCCCAACGAAGAAGCGTTTTAGGAGCCTACACGTCGCGAACCTTCCAAACTGAACCACCTGCAAAGCCAGTGGTAGGCCCGGACCTTGAAGCGCAGCTGCAAAGGAAAGCGGCAGCAGCAGCAGCAGCAGCAGCAGCAGCAGCAGCAGCAGCAGCAGCAGCAGCAGCAGCAGCAGCAGCTGCTAAAGCATGCGGAAACTATTTTTCTGACAGCGTCCTCGTTTTCTGAATGTGTCTGCGTCTGCAAGTGTAGGTGTAATGTGTGTGTGTGTGTGTATACATATTCCTTATTTTGTAGTGTATGTGTGTGTGCGTGCATGTACAGTGCGCCCCTCTTTTGTCTACACAGTCCGAAGAGTATGATGTCCAAGAAACGTATGTTGAAATGCAGCTGCGAGCCACCCAAGCATGATGCTCGGATGCTCGGATGCTCGCACCACTTACACACAACTGCACGTCACAGCCGCGACAGGGGCATAGGGGCCTCGTGCACAATGTGCTCCGTGCGCTTGTTGGCCACGTCCGCGAAGAAAAGGAGGCTGAGCCCCAGGATGGGCAGCAGCCGGGTGCCGGCCGAGGACCGGGCGACCCGGCGCATGGACCACACGCCTACGGCCTGGCCCATCTGCAAGGAGACGAGGCCAGAGACCATGCTCGAGTACCAGAAGAAGGCCGGAAGCCGCTTCAAGTTGCGGATGAGCTGCACGATCCACTCCGCCCCATCCTCCAGATGCCCGTTGTGACCGCCGTGGCCATTTTGGGCATTCAAGTGCTTGGTAATCGTCCCCCAGTAGGCATACATAATGGCCCAGCCAGACCCTGCAGCGTAGAGGAAGAGCCCGCGGGACAGCAGGCTCTGCTGCATGAGGAGCTCTTTCAAGGCCGTGTCGATCACGCGGTTCAGTACCCGCAGGGCCTTGAGCCCCACCACAACCAAAGCTATCGCCGAGGCTGGCGACATGCCCTCCAGCTCCCCACGCATGTGAGACAGGCCCGCGCAAAGGCCCGCCCAGTCGGTCAGGCACTCTTCCACCGGGCGCAGCTGGGTAAACTCGACTTCGCGGAGCTTCAGAGCAGATTCGGCCACGGCCTCCCGAAGTCTCTGAAGCCTCTGCATCACCTCATCCTTCCGATCCTGCATCTGCTCCCATTTCTTCATCAGGAACAGTGCCATGATCGATCGGTGCGAGAAGCTACGGAGCAACTTTGTCCTACCTAGCTGACGGGGGTCAGTGGCTTTCTTGGGCGCTCAGACGAGGAGTGGGCGCTCGGAGTGGGCTCGTGCGTTTGAGGCTCGTCGTTCTTCAGCTTTAGACGTTCTCTCAGCCAAAAGCAAGGTGTTAGTAGGCTTGGGCCAGCATGTCAGAAGATTTCGTCCCCAGCCCTAGCCGCCTTGCAAACATCTTAGACGATCCTTAGAACAACCCTTCCCATATCCTCCCTTCCTTCCCTGCCTTCCTTGGCTCGGCTGGGTTGCGGGCGGGCTCGCTGTAAGGATCACCGTTCACAATGGGTGGCCGTGCAATGGTCTGGTCCACCGGCGAAGGTGGCGGGGCTCCGCTATAATCCGTGTGCACCTAGCACAGATTAGCACAGGACGTGGCCCAAAGGCAAAAAAAACAATCACAGAAAACAATGTCTCGGGCACCGGCTGTGTGGATTTTTGTAGATGGATACGCTGACCTGCATCAAGAGACAAAAGCGCGACCACAAGGCTTGCAGACGGGCTTTGCACGGCACCATGGGACCTACACGGAGGGCCATCAAAAGCCTCTCCTCCACTCTGAACCTTCTGAGTCCAACAAACTCTTAAGGGCTCCAGACCCTCGCCCAAAAAAGGCTAACCTTAATTTATCTAGTAGGATTCTCTATAACCAAAAAGGTTAGAGGTTACCTGCCCAGTCCCTAAGCATGCTTTGCTCGTGCTCTTCTTTGGGCCTCAAGATGAAGGGATCGTCGCCCTTCTTCCTTCGCAAGGTCGCATCCAGCTGCGCTGCGTGGAGGACTCCACACCTGCAGATCAGAATCATGTGCATTTTAGGGTTTAGGGTTTAGGGCTTAGTTTAGGGTATAGGGTTTAGGGTTTGGGGTTTAGGGTTTAGGGTTTAGGGTTTAGGGTTTAGGGTTTAGGGTTTAGGGTTTAGGGTTTAGGGCTTAGGGCTTAGGGTCTAGCATTCATATGGGCGGTTTGCGAAAAAAAGAGAGCCCGAATATATATAGACCCCAAATAGTAGGATTCCCTTCTTATCAAAATAAGACACCGCTAATTTCGGAGACCCCCATATTCAGTTCTGTGGCCATTGTTGTTGATGTATTGCTGCTATCCTTCGCGTCACAGCTTGGTCTGGATACGCAGTCTGCACAGTTCGAACCATCTGAGAGCCAAGCAAAGGCAGCCACGTGCAAAGGATCCTTTGAAAAGCAGGATAATCGTAATAGTAATAGTAATAGTAATAATAATAGTAATAGCAATAGCAATAGTAATCGTAATCGTTATAGGTATAGTTATAGTAATCGTATGTTTTCCGATCATGCGTGCGCACCAAAGACATGGGGAAGTCTAAGCCTACCCATGCCCCTCTGGCACAGTGCCACAGATTTCTCAGTCATTGCAATCACAATCGCTTGTACGTTGCTTGGTCCTTCTGATGGTTGCCATGTGGGCGCGACACGACCTCAGCTGAACACACCACCAGCGTTTCAGGCAAAACAACTTTCCCAGCACGCACGTCTCAAACCCTGATGCGTCATCCTGTGCATGCCAGCCTTGCCACCAATCCTACCAAGAGCCTTGGCAGCTGTAAACCGACGCATGCTGTCACTACACAAACCTTGGGTCGAAGCCTCCCAGCAAAGCCGAAACAGTACGGTATCGAATCACTGAACCACAATGGCCACGGATCATCTCATCTACCCTCCAAAAGAGTCTACGCAACTTGAGCATTTCCGTCGCTTGCCCATGACTCAAGCACCCTGGTCACAGCAGCCGGCACGCCACTTGCGAAGAAAAACACAGACAGCAACCTATGGGCGTCTGTGAACCCGGCCTGATGAAATCAAACTGCATGAACACCAATTTCATGGGAACTCATGCAGCCCAAGTTCAGTCCGAACTTCTTCAAAAAACCAAACAAAAATCATTAAGCATGGAATGGAACAAGGCAAAAGTGCGGAAAATGAATCCTGAATCCTCTCTTACTTCATTTGTTCATGCTTTTGGAAACCAAAGACCAAAAAAACAAAACATAGTACACGCTGCGCAGAGTCAAGAGAGCATCTGGAACCACGAAATGGAACCACCACTCACATCGCAAATGCTACTCACATCGCCCGCCCGAATCTCAACGTGCCCCAATGTCTTGCATGGCATCGACGCTTGGCACTTCGAACGGCGCCGTCCCAGCGTGGCTCCGAGACCGAGCGCTCTGAGGATTTCGACGCAGTTGCAAACGCCTTTCCTAGGGACTTCGACAGCTGGCGCAAAGCTTGCGTTCGCCCTTGCGCGAGCTTGCGCACGCTCGAAGGGTGCACCTTATTCAGCGATCGAGGTTTTGCTAATCGCCCTCAGAACCATGTCGCAAGAGCCTGCTGAAAAGAACAACCCTCTCATGGTTGGCGATGTGCAAAGACCGGGCGGAGTACGTGCTCCAAATCACCAAATCGAAAGACGTTGCCGAAATGTTTCGAAATGTCTGCTCTCTGGCAGACCTCATGCACCCTGTCCGAATAAGGTTCTGCTTCAGCGCATGTGCATACACTGGACAGCCATTGGCTTGCACTCCTCCCATCGTACTGTCCCAGCAAACCCAGATGCGAGTCCTGGTAGCACATAGCGACACACAACGTATCAGCAGTTGTGTAGTAGTGCGCTTCGCTGGGCATGACAAAAAGTTGCATGGGGTGTGTACGGCTGACCTGGCTGCGTCCGAATGCCATAGCTGATCACCTTCCAGCCTTTTTCTGCACACGCTGCCCTGCAAACGCGCAGCATGTACGGCCAGCCCACCTGCTCAAGCGAGAGGTTCCTTTGGCACTACATTGCACAACTTACTTTTGCAGGTGTGGGAGTGATGGGTAAACGAATCTGATGATTCCATCTGTTCCTCCGTGTTCGTCCATATCCTGGCACAGTTGCCCGGCCTTTGACATGTTGTCAAAGCGCAACGGCGTGCCACATGGCAAAGCAATGGACAAGCCTGGGACGGAGGGAAATGGGGAAGGGCGTGAACTTAGTCGCTCTGAAGGCTCATGCGGCGAAAGGAAGTAAGAAAGTCGAGTCCAAGTAACTACGTGGGGGTTTGCGAGTATACGGGACCCCCCCCCCTAATATAGACCCCCAAATAGTAGGATTGTCCGTGCAGCCAAATAAGGTCACCCCCAATATCATAAAACTCCTTAAGTCCAGCTAAGGAAAGCTGGCACCTCCCAAGCCTGGGCCTGGCCCTACTCAAGCCTTCAACGCGAGAAATCCCGGTTCATGGCTTCCCGGCTGTACTGCTGCAGAGGAATCTCCTGCAACGTGGACCTCAGGCTGGTAAATGCCCTTACACCCCGATAAGCACGGAAGCTGGCTTTTGCAGGGCTTGCCACTGCGGAGTAGGATAAACCTAGTTCATAATTGATCCAACCAGTTTTGCCTGCGCAGATGAATTTGAGTCGAAAGTCCCGCATATGAGCACAAACGACGGAGAGGGGAGAAGTAGGAGAGAAGGGGGAGGGGAGAAGGAGCGGATCCCATCACATCATGGTTGATGCATCAAGGGCGAATCGCCTCACGCGACCCCAAACCAAGTACTTGCTAAACGAGGACTGCCGCTACGCTCCCAGGAACTAGCTTTCGTGACCAGCGTGAAGCATCAAGTTCTGCACTGATCCCACTGATAAACATTGGCTAAGTTGGAGTGCCATCCGCGGTGTACATCTGGGATGCACGCACGGTGTACTTCACTGGCTCGGAGACAGCCTCGCGGCTTCTGGCTTAGGGTTTAGGGTTTAGGGTTTAGGGTTTAGGGTTTAGGGTTTAGGGCTTAGGGTTTAGGGTTTACTGCGCCTCCGGAGAATGCTACATACTCAAGAATTCTGGAGCTGGCGCCGTCTCCATCGTCGCTTCCACATCTCCCGTCGCAGAGCAGTCCAAGTTGTGAAGACCGCCTTGTCAGCCGCATGCCCGCGCTGCGGAGCGTGAGTGCGAGTTTTTGTCATCAAACTCGGAGCTCTCTTGACAAGCTGAAACACCTCCTTTCTACGTTCATCCCCATCTACGATGAAATTTCACAAACTCATCGATCGCGCCTGCGAGGCCGGTGCCCTTGGCCTTGAGCCAAGCTTCCTTCTTCGTCCACATCCCGAAGAAGCGTTCGGCTAAGCCGGGGGCCTGGACTGAAGCAACACGAGCAGTATCACCTTGATGGCAGCTGCCTCGACCTGCTCAGGCCTGGGCAGCATCCGAGGACACCTGCGCATGGCAGGGCTGGAGTGACAGTCATGCTGCAGAGGGGACTGGCAACACTCCCGCAGACAAGGGAAAACACAGTGGCGCCTCGTCTAACGCCGACACTTCAGAAGCCGTGAAGAATCGCTGGGCCAATCTGCGGAAAGGCCTTCGATTCAGCACCAGTATGTTGCTTCCCCTTCTCCTGCCCGTTAATATTATTAATCATATACATACTATTCGTAATATGATAGATACTACAGATATTGTTCAGATTATTCATAGGTTTTTTGTGCGCCTTGGCCGATGTAGCTCGACATCGATTCCAACAGGCAAGGCCTCTCCTTCCAAAGCTCAGCTGGTCAAGCAGCTACTGGCAAAGCAGCTTAGAGCGAAGGAAATTAAGCTGTATGAAACCACGCCAAGCCCCATTAAGGCCATGAGAAGCTGGCCACATTTCCAAAAATGGGTTGAAGCCGCAGTTCAGGAGGCAAACTGGCGAGCGATGGACGATGCTAGACGACTGCCGCAGATCAGTCGACGCGGATCCTGGACCCGTCTGCTTTGGCGAATACACCAGGAGCGCGCCCACCTTTGGCAGCAGGTCATCAGGAGATCATGGCAGCAAGGATCTGCAATGAGTGGAAAAGGCTGTTAACCTGCTGTCACTCAAGCTGCAGCCTCTCCAGAATGCGACACGCTGAAACTGCAGCGCTGCGCAGCCAGAGGCATGGCCAACGACGGCCTCACTGCCATGTCGTACCCGCACAGGATGGCAAGACGCAGCGGTCATGCAGCAGACAAGTGCAGAGCAGAGCCCAATAACAACGCTCGGCGGACGCTAGTGCTAGTAAGCTCGGAGCTTGCCATGCATGCCGTACTGAAACTTGATGCTCGCTGCGTCGAGCCCTGCCAGAGCACAGCTTGTGTCGAGACCTGGGATCCAGCGGATCCCGAGGGCCACACCCAAGCGCTCCGCCAGCAGGCATCGCAAGGAAGCGCGCATCCAAACCTCAGCAGCCGAGTTGCCCCAAATTGGGGGGGGGGGGATATTAAGGGGACATTAGGGGATACTAGGGGGCTAATAGCGGGGGGATCTTGCGGGGATATTGGGGGGGTCTTGGGGGGATCTTGGGGGGATCTTGGGGTCTGGGGGTCATATTGGGGTGACCCGATGAGGCACTGGCGAATCGCTTCCTCGCACCATCAGAGCTGAAACTCTCAGCCCGACGTCGCTCATCCGAGCCTCAACATGAGCCAGAACATTCCAGGACGCACTCAGGACGAGCACCCCCGGAAAACCCTAAACCCTAAACCCTAAACCCGCAACCCTAAACCCTAAACTGAGACATCTCGGTGCCCTACTCAAGAGCTCCATCTGCTCGTCTGGCTCTTCGCCCAAGTCCCAGACCAGACACACCGTGGCACCTCAGGGCATGCCAAGGTCGGGCTTGGCTTGGAAGGGATGGGCCGGGTTTAGGGTTTAGGGTTTAGGGTTTAGGGTTTAGGGTTTAGGGTTTAGGGTTTAGGGTTTAGGGTTTAGGGTTTAGGGTTTAGGGTTTAGGGTTTAGGGTTTAGGGTTTAGGGCTGCAAGGCTTGAGATGGCTTGAGATCGCTTGGATCCGCTCAGGGCAAGGCTTCCGGCGTCAGCGTCCTGCGAACCCCAACTTGGGTGCGCATTGGTGCACACATCCCTCCCTGGAGCGTATGTAGGGCGTCCAAGCTAGAATTGACACGCCACGAGGCTGAATGGAGTCATACAGCACTCCATGCTACAGTGCGGAAGTCGAGTGGAAGTGTGTTGAGCGCAACTTTTGCGCTAGGTTCTCAGAGTCACAAGAATTCCCCATCATGTCCCATTGCTCCCCAGTCCTGCCGCACCCGAGACTTGCGCCGCCGCCGCCTGAAAGATTGAAATGGAAAAGGAGAACATAACTGTTGTCATCAGTTATTACATAGTGATTACCTGATAGCACTCGATTCGAACCAAAACTAGAACCGTCGATCTTCGGGCTGCTCGAGTTGCAGGAACAGTGGCGACGGCCTACTCAGCACAGCAGCGGCACAGAAAATGGCAAAGCCAAGGCGCCCGAGGCTTGGAACGGAAGTTTCTGCCAACACCAGCTTACACCTTTTTGCCCCAAAGCCCTTGAAGTTCCCAAGCAGCACCCCCAAAACCCTCCCAACATCCCAACACCCAAAGGACCTTCCATGCCAGGGGCCCGGCCCAAAGCGCAGCCACGGTCCCGGAACAGGGCTGCGTGGCTCCCGGCGATAGCGAGCCTTGGAGAAGACCACCCAACCGGGGCATCTCCTCTTCTACGATGTGTAGGGGGGGCAACAAGTTTATCAAGTCTCCAACTCTCCAAGAAGCCCCACAGCAGCCGCAAAACACAAACGCAAACAAACGCAACAGGGAACCTGCTAAAGGTCTTCGAATCTACATATATATACACATATATATATATATATATATAGATATATGATTATATATATATATATAAATCGGAAGCTGTCCCTGCATATCTGACTGGAGCCCTCAATGCTCGGAGGTGGTCTCTCAAACTGACGCTGCGCAGAGACCTCCAAGCCCGTCGCGTAGTAGTCCGACCACAGCGCCGCTTTGGGCGCAGGCAGCGGGGCCCCGGCTCCCCGCCTCGAAACCAGAAACTTGCATCGCGGAAGGTCTAACAGTCTAACCGAGCCTGAACAAGGATTCACCACGTGACAGGCCGAGCAAGGCATGGCCGGCCGAGGCTTCTGAAATCCCATCCAAGCCCGCGACCAAAGAAGTGTGGGGACCTGAAGGTGCATAAAAGAGAAAACTCAGGTGCCGAAGCCGAAGGCGCTCGTGGTATTGCATGGTAGCTGCACTGCCTCTGCATGTGCCACTAGGCTCCGAGCCCCACCCTCCAGGTGCAGCACCCGTTTCCGGAGCTGGCGCTCCGCCGGTGAGCCCAGCGCGGCTTGGAGGAAGCGCACACCCTGAGCCCCGAGGCGACGGGTGGCACAACACGGCCACGTCACGTACTACACGCACCCACACCCCACAATACCTCGGACCTCCAGTGTCTGGTCCCATGCGAAGTGCGTGTGGCCGAAGAGGTGAAGCCTCAGACGATTCTAGCACCGCCGAGATCTGCAAAACAACAGGGGTGCCGCGGCCGGCATGGAGTCGCAAGAGGTTGCAAGAAGTCGCGGCTGCGCACGGCTGAGCACGGCTGAGGTTCAGGCGTTGGCTGGAGGCGTGCCAGGCGCTCCGCGAGGAAGCGGGAGCCGGAGGCTTGAGTCAACTGCGGGAAGTAGAGAAAGCGCCTTGGGCTCAGATGGACTGAGGCTTTGGGCAATAAACAGAGGCTCGTCTAAAGGTGGCCAATGACGGGGTCAAACTTGATAGTTTGGGCCTTCGAGCAAGCCAACCCAGCCCTATTTGGGATGTTCCCCCTTATTCTAACATTCCTTAATCGTGATTATAGTGCCCCTATTATAACCCCTATTAAGGACTGTTCGTATGAGGGGAACAGTCCAATAGCTTCTTCGAAAGTCACCAACGACCTGGCGACACGGAGACATTCATGCCCGAGCTCCCTGCTTCTCGGGTAGAAGCTCCAGCCGCGGCAAGAAGTGAGACATGGACACCACCTCAGTTTAGGGTTTAGTAGGGTTCATGGGAGGACGAAAAAAAACAAGCACTATTTGTGCGAACAGCCATGGAGAAATTACAGAACTTCACCTAAAAGGCGGGGCCAGAATGTGAATATTGGGAATATCGACCGACGCTCACAGGTCCACCTGCTCACCGCGTTTCCTTGCTGCCACCGCCTCCTCGAAGCTCACCTTGGCGCATGTGAGCAACCGAACTTGGGATGTTCCTCCTTATACTAACAGTCCTTAATTACTGGGGATTGTACCCCTACTATAGTACCTCTAATCCCTATTGAGGACTGTTTGCTTTAGGGGGAACATCCCAAAACTGAGCCATCACTGAAACCAAGGGCTTGTTGCGCAAAAGCTCAAGAGAAATTGCATGCTCGGGGCTTCATGGGCCTTGCTGGGTACCAGATAAAGGGAGGCCACCTACTTCGCTTCTGAATAGCAATCGGCCTTTGCGCTTCTTCTCGTTTTCATTGGTAAGCCAAGGATATTCCATTCTGCCAAAAGCGTTGTGCCAGCCAGTCTACACCCGAACACACCCTTCACCAGCAAACTTGCAGCGTAAGGACGAGGCCAACTGCACGTTCGACGAGGCCTTCCGCAGTTCTTCAACGAAGACACTTCAGAAACCCTAAACCCTAAACCCTAAACCCAGTGTGTTGGCATGAAGAGCATCGTCATCAGTTGCTTCCGGGCATCTCCTCCTGATGTTCGGCTCTCCTTGTGCCACCTCTGGGTGATTGTTTTCCTCCGTTTCCTTCTGCATCAGCTCCCCGCCCTGCTTCTTGACATTTTGAGACAAAGAGCTCGCTGACTTTGTCGAGCAGAAAGTGGGTTAGGACATCGACGCTTGGAAAAAAAAAACTGTAAAGTTTAGACATAGAGGCTTGGAGAAAATCCTCTGGCTGAGTGCACTCAGCCTTATGAACGCGAGCCTCTCAAGTAAACTTTCCTGCGGAGGCCGCACACACGCCGTAGGCTTTTGCACCCCGAATCCAAGCTTAGTTCCTAGCATAGAGATTTGTGGGCTTCTGTTAAGGGGGCACGATGGTCCCTGTCTGAGTGTTTTTGGGACGTGTTGCGGAGGTCTGTTTCCCTAAAGCAGACCTGGCGGGTGGACGGGCAATGTCGGGCATCCTTCAAGCATTTGCTTATGGCGACACCCCAAGCCCCGCAAGCTTGCGAAGGGGCATCCTACACTTATGCCTGCTCGGACTGAGCCTCCTTCGTCACATGGTTGTCGTTTGCTGCCTCAGATAAACGACAAGTTCGCCAGCTCGCATGTCCCCACCCTTCCCCACCCTTCCCCACCTGGGCCTACCTGCCCTTCAGTTCAGATGCACGCGGATGGGAGCGTCACCGTTCTCTGTCCAAGCTCCGTGCATCAAAGAACCGCGCCAAGTTGAGGTTGCGCTCTGCCTGTGCATGGCATGAAGAATTGCCTACGACACGGGAACTGTACCTGCAACCAACAGAACATGTACAACAGAACATGTACTTCTCAGTGCCCTCTATTGCAGCATGTACCCGAAAATCTTGCAACAAACGTTGGTTTGATGCTGCGCCGCAAAGCTTTAACAACACCTGAGCGTGGCTTCTCTCAATCAGAGCCTTGGTAAGGCCCAGGCCGCCGAGGAGCCGAGCCAGCTAGGCCAGCTGCACTCGATCTCGTCCCCGAGCAACCTGGCCAAGAGCGCACGCCAAGAGCGCAGCAGAGAGCGCAGCAGGTGGGGCGTGCCAAATCCCTTACGACATGCGGCATATAAATATAAAAATATATACATATATATATATATATATATATATATACATATATATATATACATATACATATACATATACATATACATATACATATACATATACATATACATATACATATACATATACATATACATATACATATACATATACATATACATATACATATACATATACATATATATATATACAATATCTATATATGTGGTGTGAGCTAAGGAGGCCAGCAAGGCGCTGTCCGACTGTGTCTTCGCGCTGCGGCTGTCGACCATACGGGGACGTCCGGCCTAAGAACCGCAGCACGCAGCGTGATGCAGCACGGATGCAGTATGCGAAGCATACGCAAGTTTGCAAGAACTGCGAGATGGATCCAACACGGTACTTTGAATAAGGCTCCAGCTCTGAGTCGAACTCCTGATGAGCACAGAAGCCTACAGACCCAACATGCGTCTGCGCATCTCCTAGGAGGCAGAGGACCAGAAAGGACCAGCACGAAACAAGTTTGGGAGCATGCGGTAGCCGGCAGACGGTCCACGCCTTATGGTACCATGACAGCAGGGGCACGATGGTCAGCTTCTCGGAAGCAAAGCGTACAGGTCGAGTCCAAACCTCGAACAGGGAGTGGCAGGTAAAGAGGCGCAAGGAAGCATAACGGTGGCGCTCTGCACCACGAACGCTGTGATGAGGACTCCCATGCGGGTGCACTCGTCCAGCAGCCTGAGCCGCAAGTGCACGTTGCAACTTCCCAAGTGCTTGGGGTGAACTGCCGACCAAGACAAGGCCTCTCTTGTTTCTCCAGCGAGCACTCAATGCTGTCCTTGCTACTGCCTTGGCAGATCTCGGCAATATAGGCACAGATTGACACAGCCAGCTTCACTGCTCTCTCCCGCACACTCCGCTTAATCGCAGACACGGCCAGCGCCATACTCTGCTCTGAGCTGCCACGCTGACATAGACGTCATGATTGCCAGGCCTCTTCGGGGGTCGAAGCTGCGCTAATCACAAAAACCCACCAAGACACGACACTTGGGCCGCCGGCACAAAGAAGACGTGCGCAAATCGCTGCAGCAAGAGCTCCATGGTTCTTTTGAGGACTCCAAGGTCCTTAGCAAGGTTCACGTTTAGGGTTTAGGGTTTAGGGTTTAGGGTTTAGGGTTTAGGGTTTAGGGTTAGGGTTTAGGGCTTAGGGTCTGGGGTCCAGGGTCTAGGGAGTGGCCGGAAGAGGGGGGGAGACTTTTCTCCAAGAAGCATGAGAGACGTCGCCTGCCACTAGCAGCGCATCCTGCTTGAAGGGCCCGACCTCAACTAACCCAAAGAAACATGGCCTAAACCCTAAACCCTAAACCCTAGACCCTAAACCCTAAACCCTAAACCCAAACAAGCTGGGAGGTCTGCAGGCTGGGGCTTTCACAGGTAGCGCTGCCAGATGGTCGAGGTTCTCCTTCCAGTCGGTATGCCTTTTTGACATCTCAGGTCTCTACTATTTGCTTAAGAACCCTCAAAAAAAGAAAATAATACTCCTAATATGTTGAACCCTCAAAAAATGGAAAATTATAGTCCGAATATATTGCCCTATAAGGAAGAATACGTTCTTGTTTTTTTTTGGGGGGGGTTCTCAAGCAATTGGTGGGTCTCACACAGGCTCAGAGCCCACAGCTACTTGCATCCGCTGACCGACCTGAGCTCGTAGCACATCTGAGATCCCGAAGACCTGACTATCTTCACGTCATAGGTCTTTATGTGGCTTGCGCAACAGGCGTACGCCAAAAGAATCCCACGAGAAAACTTTGCAAACACAGCATGCCGGAGCGGCCCTCATCCGTGGGTGAGCCCATCGGCGGACGCGCCGCAGAGCGGGCCCTGTCAAAAAGGGGAGTTTAAAGGGTTTGAAAGAGGGACCCCTAGAAGGGACCCTTAATCTTATCGCCATATAGAACCCCTATATATACCTTAATAGTCCCTATGTACTGAAATAACCCTAAATAACCCCTGAGCTTATAAAGGGTCCCTCCTTTCGTCCCTAGGAGCTTAAACAAGGAGTCTAAGCCATCTAGGAAATCTAGGGCATTCACGTGTGCGGCACGCCCAGAGCACCACTGGAGCCCACGGAACAAGGCGCAACCTCCGAGGAGCCAAGCACTCTTGTGATGCGTCCAAAAGCCCCAAGAGGCTGCGAGAAACTCTGACTCCAACTCTCCCGCCTGGAGCCGATGTCCCTGGTCCATGTCTTGATACGAACGCTGTCAAGGATGACAGGTCCACCGACCGCCGCGGTACACGTCGACTTCCTGCACACGTCCGATACTTGTGCGGCGAGAACGCAGCCCGCTACCACATCCTTCCAATCCCTCCATTCTCTCCTCGGCGCCACCAGCTGCATGGTACCATTCCATGGCTTAATCGAGCAAAGATGTCAAGATGTCAAGCTTCTACGGAATGCACTGAAGAAAAAAGTTCATCGCTGGATCTCTGCTTTGCCTACCGTTTCCATCTTGGAATCTTGGAACATGTCAGGTCATGAGCAGGCTGCTTGGCTGATTCAGCAAGACTCTGCAACACCGCCATCACCGCCTTTTCGCCGCTTCCGCCGCCGCTTTCCGGCGCTTGCGGGCCCGCTGGCTTCCGGCGGGCCCTGTTTCCGTGCCCGTACTTGGCCCAGATCACCACAGGGCTGCCGCGCTGCGCTGGCTGTGGCTCCGGCGTGCCCGGAGTGCCCGCAGACGCCTGAGCCAAAGGAGCCACAGGCCGCTCTGCAAAGATATAGATGTCCTGCGCGAACATTCCGCGGCGTGGCCTGACGAGCATGTGCCTTTCGAGGCTTTTGCTCCCGGAAGGACCAGGATCGATGCCCTCCAAGACGTGCTCTGCCCAGCGAAGGAAGCGGTCGTTGTTGGAGGGCAGCTTCTTCCCATCCAGGAAGTCTCGCGCCGCGAACTTGTGCTCTCCCAGTTGATAGATCACATCCTGGGTCAAGTGCCTCGAGGTCGGAAAGCAACACGGGACAAAGGCAAAGCCTCGCACGTCGGCGTTTTCATTAAAGAGCTGCGCGGCGCGAATCCCGAGGGTGTTGCAAAGATGGATGCCGCACGCATACACGGGGGCGTAGCGGGGGTCCTCCTTTGAGACAGGCGCGCGGAAGACACGGGCAGCAAGCTGATTCAAGGTGGACTTCTTCTTGAGGTCAACTTTGAGCGTGTACATGGGGAACTTCCAGCCCTGAAGATGCTCAATGGATGTAGACCCACTGGAATTTCCCACGCCCAGGTTGGGATATGTCATATCCAGCAGGAAGAACTTCGCGACGCGTTCCGGTGGCAGCAGCTCCGCTAGGAACATGGACAAAAATCCAAAGCCTTGGCCCAACAAAGGGCACGCATAGAGTTGTATGGAAAGCATTCTCAAGTACTTACCACCTGAATCCCACCAGGGCCGGCGGACATCACACAACCCTTCTGTAGTCTAGACTCCTAGACTCTAGACCTATCTAAAGCTATCCCCCCACCTCTTCCCCCCCAAACTCATCATTACGTAATGTATGCAACAAGCCCAGGGGGCACACTCCCCTTCCATTTTATTCCCAAAAACCGCCCGGGTTGGGATCTCGTTTAGGGTGCCAAGCGGGGCAGTGTGTGAGAAGTTTTGACACGGCGGGATGCCATGGGACATGTGGGACGGGCGGACGCCGCGTGGGGCGAGCGACTTCGCCAGATACATGATGCCTTCGCGAACGCTTCACGAACGTTGCTCGACACATTCCAAACGCTTTGGCAACGACTTCCGCCCCACCTCAGACCGCAACACTTAGCGTGAGAACCCTTCTCCTACACATTCGAGAAAAGTGGACAGATAAAGAGAAAGAACAAAAAGAATGAGGGGCTGCATAAGGGGCTGCGCCTCCCAGAACTGTCCCTATAACAGAACGAGGCAAATCCACACGCCGCTGTTTAATTTCCAAGGTGGACCCTTTTCGTACCGTTGTGCAATAGATGTTAAACTGTCGAACATGGGGCCAAGCCTCCACCCCCCAAACCAACCTGCGAAGAAGACTCACTTCATGGCAACTCGCAGCGATTTAGTTGAAATGCTTTTCTGCCCGCGCCTGCACCCAGGTCCACAATGCAGGCCTTCGGGGCCGTGGGAGGCAAGGACTCCACCCACTTCCGCACTTTCATGATGACAGGGGCCGATTCATTCAGCTCCTTCAGCACACAGGGCACCTGGTGCGCAGAGCCCTTGCAGACCTTGACGATCCGGCTCCAAGTCTTCAGATTGAAGCGCCGGTACCAGCGCCCCAAGATCTGCACCACCTCGGCACAAAGCTCGGGGAACAGGGCCGCGACAGGAAGCAGCCGGAGCTGCTCGGCAAGCTTGGCAGGGCTCCACCGCGAGCGCGTCACGTCATCTGCTGCTTCCACTTCGACCACGTCCGCCACGGGCCCTGAGGACACGCGGTCCCACGCCGCCTCGTGCTCCAGCAAGCCGACATGGCGTAAGTAGTCAACATCCATTGAAAATTAAATCAAAGAAGTGATGCTAACAAATGAAGAAACCTGAGAAAACAGGAGACCTGCACTCGGAGAAGCAACATGCTGAAAGTAACTGAAGCGTGCTGAAGCCGTGATGCCTGCGGCCCCCTCTAATGGCACATTCCGTGGCGCAGGCTTCCAAACTTCCGAGGCGCTCTGGCATGGTGCTCAAACCACATCAAGCACGGGCATTTTTGTTCTCAAAGGATGCCGTGGCAAGCACCCTACCCTATGGACATGGCTCCATAACCCTGTACATTCTCAGGGCCTGTCCAGTGGCACTTTGGCCACAACTCTTCGAAAGCTTGAGAAGCGCGAGACCCGTGCCCCATCACGCGTCCACGCTGCGGATCCTCGGGTCGCAGATCTCCCACCAAGGCAGCCGCAGCCGCACACGTGTCACAACTGAGACTGAGATGCCCTCTGCATTAACTCCCGCACCAGCTGGGACACCAGTGGAAGGGAACTCGGCATGGCAGCCTCCTGCATCGCAACTCGAAAATGGCGAGCGATCCGCATCAGCCCCACTGACAAGCATTCTTTGCAAGAACGGGTTGTGGATGAAGCGCAACCATACTCATCCAACGGACCCCCATTGTGAGCTACAGATCTCTCAGCAGCACCACATCAGTGTATAAAATCAACGTCTGCTGCCCCGCCTGCACGGGGGCGGCGGGCTGAGCCTGGTGAGGTGCGCCATATGGGGGTTTCCGAAAGTAGGGGTACCTTATTGGGGTCTATTTTAGAAGGGAATCATACTACTTTATGGGTCCGCATCATGGGTCCGCATCTTGTGCAAAATGGCTTGCAGATGTGTGCAGAGGTAAAACGTCTGACGAGGCGTGCCTGGTCGACAGGCAACTCGTCGGGCGACTGGTCGGGCGACTCGTCGGGCGACTCGTCCATCTGCGCATCTTTTCGAGTGTCTGAACCCGGGTGGGAGAGCTGGATCTCCTCAGGGAAGAACCTGCATGCGCAACGGACCACCGAGAAAGGTGCAGAATGTGAGCATGGCGCAGTGGAGTTTTGAGGGCGCACGCAGCACAGGCGTCGCCCCCCTGCTGGAACTCGGGAGCCATTGGCTTCAGAGCACCACGCGTTGCATCTCGGTCTCCTCATGGTCGCAACACGTGATATGTGCTAAACCTGCACTCCAAACTTACTCGGGGGTTTTCGAAAACCGGGTTACCCTTGTTGGGGGTCCCCTTATTTTGGGGGGAGAAAAGCGGTACCCCTATTTTGGGAAATACCCACTCATGAACCACTCAGTCTCCTGGCCCGCAGGTCGGCTTTGAATCGCCTTTGGCTACTTCTGGCGTCACATCTGGAGCCTGCACACAATGAAGAGCTGAGAAATTAAGGAGGGTAAAAGGAAATCCCCCATGCATTGGCTTCTACCATTCGTGTCTTTAGAGCGCAGAAAGGCGCATGGAGCTTTGCATAAAACCCGAGTCTCACCAGCCTCTGTTTGTGTTTCCACAGTGCACTGCTTCACGCTGGGAACATCAATCTCAGGCTCTTCTTGACCTTCCGCGGACAATCAGAGACTCAGAGAGCGCAAGCAACACAAAAGGACACAACGGCGCATTCGCATGTTCCGACCCGAAAGCTGACACAAACTGTGCTGTTGTTGGTGATGTGTGGTAGCTGGGGCACCGCGGGAAACTATACGGGGCATCGCCGAAAGCGCGGAACTGCGCAGCGAATCCCGTGCCCCAGGGTTCCACAAAAAGCCCTTGAAGAGCCCGAACCTTGAAGAGCCCGAACTCCGGAACAGCTCACCTAGGTCCTACAAGGTAGAGCCCAGGAGGCTGCTGCAGCACTTGAAAGGGAATCCCGAAGGGGAGCGACAACATGATACAGCTGCTAGATGCAACTTCAGCGACCCATCAAGAACTTCTAATAATCAAAAAATCACCATCCATTAAAACAGTTTTATCATGCAATTTTTTCATCATTGCACCCTCTAGATTACTTCCTCTAAAAACCCATAAGAAGCCTACTACATTTTGCTAGACGGACTACCTCGATTTTCACTACATTCACCATATGTTCATGGGAAACCTCGATTGCTTCTCCACTTCTATATCTCTTCTGCAACCTGCTACCAAATCGCATCAGACGACTTGATAAGCCTGCAGGCGGCAAAGCCACAGGTTCCAGAAGCAGCTCCCCACCTGCTGGCGTTGCGCACGCTGGCATGCAGACCCTCTGCTTCTGTCATGTCCTATCTGAAAAAAAATGCCCCGTCCTGCGAAAGGCTGGTGCTTGCCGGCGTAGACGCGCAGGTAGCAGTTGAGCCTGGCCACCCATCGCCGCAATGCTTCGGCTGCTCCCGTTGGCTCAGTTGGCTTCGGACATTGGGGGGGAAACCCTAAACCCTAAACCCCAAACCCCAAACCCCAAACCCTAAACCCTAAACCCTCTCAGGGCCGCGCTGCAGTTCCGGGAGGGACTCGTGCACGCTCGTCATCCTGCGACTTTTTCTGCAAGCTCTTCTGCACACCCAGGTGCCCAGGTGCCCATGGCCACACGGTCTATTGGCTTCTGCTGGCTTGTCTGCTCATTTTTTGGAGTCTTTTCCACAGGCCCGGCGGCTTGTCTCGATGGCTCTTCGATTTTTGGAGCGAGCAGTGGGTGGTGCAAACAAATTCTCATGCGAAAGTAGAACCCGATTGCTGCCCGTCTAGGCAGCACAGGCCTGACCTCAGCGCTAAGCCTCCAAGCATTGAGCGCCTGGGTTGCTCAGCTGTACAGTGCCATGGGCCAACGGATGCACACCCACATCTATGCATCATCTGGCCTGAACAATCTCTACGTCATCTCCTTAAAGCTACTTCATCTTAACACCAATAAAACCTCACAACTTGGAATGAGGTGTGGCGCCTTAGCCGCTTCTCTCAGAAACATCGTATTGTGAAGCCTTAGCCAAGCTGTCCTTGCTGGAACACTTCAGTGCGCAAGATTGTGCAAGTACGTGCAAGTGCTCTGAGCATCCCGCAGTCGGAACGCGAACACGAAACCTGGGACACACAAAGGAGTCCTCCCAGGTCCTTCCATGTCCCTTTCAGAATCTGGGGCGGCAGCTGTGAGTAGTACTGAGAAGCACCAGACCTGGCCACAGGGTTTAGGGTTTAGGGTTTAGGTTTAGGGTTTAGGGGTTAGGGTTTAGGGTTTAGGGATTTTTTTAGGGATTAGGGATTAAGGTTTTTTTGGGTTGGGAGGGCGCCATCTTTTCAGACACGAAATAAGACACGAAATGAGGCTTGCGCCGCGCGTCGAAGGACTGAGGGAAGGCGTTGTGGAAGGTGGGCAAGCCATCTGGTCGCCATGCCTGTCGGCTCTTCTGCAAGCACTCGGAAACCACATGCAGGCCATAGGCCAATGTCTTGGGGCTGCTCGCACATGCTCCTGCACTTCTCCACACTCTGAGACTCAGGCCGGCAGACCATCATCCGTTCGCTCCCTTGGCGCGATCACAAACCCAAAGAACTGCTGGGCACTGCGCACTGCCCAGCCCGACCCAAACCAAGGTCCACACACGGCCAGGGCACCTTGGCGAATGCAGGCGAAGCACGACATGATAAAACATTCGCTCGCGCCAAATTCATAGCTTATCTTTTGCCCCTTGTGTTCTTCCTTCCTTCCTCTCCCTCTCTCTGCCTTCCGTGGCAACATGCTCACACCGAAGATGGGATCCGTGCCCAGGCCGGTGATGGGCTCGGCCAGGCGCGCTGCCTCTCGGGGAAAAAACAATCATCCGAATTTTCCGATGTCAAGGGGTTTAGGTTTAGGGTTTAGGGTTTAGGGTTTAGGGTTTAGGGTTTAGGGTTTAGGGTTTAGGGTTTAGGGTTTAGGGTTTAGGGTTTAGGGTTTAGGGTTTAGGGTTTAGGGTTTAGGGTTTAGGGTTTAGAGGTTTAGGGGGTTTAGGGTTTAAGAACTTCGATGTCCCAGACAAATTTGATTCTCAGCAGGTTTCCTCTCAAAGGCACTCAGAACCGTCCGCCTGCCGCCCGTAATCCTGAGAGCTTTGGGCCCTGCGTGATGGTCTAGCCTGGACCAAAAAAGGTGACGAATGCTAAAGTTGAAAAAATCAATCAAGTTGCAAAGTTGCTAAACGAACATAGGACCGTGGTTCCAAAGCCGCAGTGGAAGCATAACAAAACGGACTGGAATTCGTCTCGCATCGGCTTCCCACCCGCCTCCCCCGGATTCCTTAAAACTTATCTACCTAAGACACACACCTCCCTCACCTGAAGCGTAGCTTGCGCTAGCAGCCTAGCAGTCGTCCCCTTCGTAGCAAGCGAGCCAGGCAGGCCTGTGCCGTGGCTGCGCCGGCTCGCGGAACGATGTCCGTGTCGCGCTTCAAAGCCTGACGCCACTCACACGCACGAGCAGCCCGGTGCTGCATCCCATCTTCAAGCAAAGAAGCTTTGCGAAGTCTCGAGATGGCTCGCTCCTACTTTCTGACGGCGCTCAAACAAACCGAGCCCAACAAGTCATGTAACAAGGGAGGTGGAAAGAACTTCGCAAACATGACTCACACATGCGCGCAAATGCTTATAACTTGCTTTGAGGGGCGGGGCCTGCAGCTGGGAAAGATTCTGAACAAAAAGAGCTTCCAGGAGCTCCCAGCTCTGACCTCCGTCGCCTGGCGCACTCCGAGCCCCTTCAAGACGCATTCAAGAGATTAAGCGAACACATGTCTTAACATCTCGGTTTGTGGGTAGTAACTTACAACTTGCAAGAATCCGACTCTCGCTCTTGGTGGCTTGCATCTGATCCCATACATCCCATGCAGGTCCGCCTGATGCCTCCAGGTCGCAGCTGTTCTGTCGCAGGAGGAGCCTCATGCTTCCCCCCGCCGTTCGTCGGCCCACTTCTTCCATCCCCCCGGGTGGGACCCGGGAGTCTCTTGTACACATCAGCTTGCCTGACCTTGTCCCAACCCCGACTCTTAAAGCTGCCAGCGCGGCGTTCTGCCAGCCACCGTCCAAGCGCCTTCCACCTGCAAGCTTCTGGGACATTTTGGGACCGCATTTTGCGACCACGCCCAATCAACGCCCGTTGCCACTTGCCAGAACTTTCGGCTCGTTCTCTGTGTAAAACGGAGTTGTCGCAAGCAACAGGCCTGGCGATGTTGACTGACTGGGAGGCCTTGCAACCTCGGCATCATAATCACGCTTGCGGCCACATCTCCAACAAGAATTTGGCTTGCTTGTGGACCACATGTGCTGCCAAAAGAAGTCGGAGACTCGCAAGGTCAATCTGCGGGGCGCGCACTTCACAAGAAGCAAGCACCACAGGCCAAGGAAATTCCGGGCACCCCTGGCCCATATCGGCGCAGCAGCGCCCCAAGTGCTAGCACGACCTCGCCTGCACTTGCGCAAGCATGTGCATGAAACATGCCCACGCCGGCGCAAGCATGTGCAGGCGCAACTTGCTATGTTCCAAGTCTGATCTCTTCATGTGGCCTTAATGGGGGTTTACGATGGTAGGGGGTACCTTATGGGCGTCCTTCCTTTATGGGATTCGTTCAGACACTTTCGCTCCTTGCCAAGAGCCATAAGCTCCGAGAGGTGCTTAGAGGGGCTTCGGATCTTGCTTCAGAAAGGCTGCTTGCATCCCATTTCATATTTGTTTCCAAGACAACTCAGACATCGAAAACTTGAAGCTTCTTCGTCCATGTAGCCTGGATCTGCAGATGCTGGTGGGCTTTGCACCTCCTCCACAGTCTCAGGTCCTGTCCTGAGCAAGCCGCGCACAAGCCCTGGACACTTTTTTAGATCGACGAGTCTCCGGCGTTTGCTCCCTTTCCGAGGGCAGCGACTCCTCAGGCGAGCGAATGCAAGCACACAGCTGCTCCGCACCTGCTGAAAGCTGAGGACTTAGCCGACTGCGCGGGCTCTGCCGCAGGCACGGAAACACCTCAAGCTTGATCTTGCTAAAGAGTAGCACCCACTGAGGCACCAAGCGAAAAGCCTCGCAGATCTGGCACCGGGGTGCTCAGGTTCGGAGGGCTGACCAAGCCTACTGAAGCACCTCGTCAGGCTGTCTCGACAAAGGCAGTCAGAAGCACTTTGAGCCAACCAGCCAACCCTAAACCCTAAACCCTAAACCCAAAACCCTAAACCCAAAACCCTTGCCTTCTCCAGCAGAGCCTGTAGTCTCCGTAGTGGCCGAGTTGTCGGCGGGTTGGGCCGGATCGTGGATCCTTGCTCTCAGAAGACAACATGTCCACTTGCCGACACCGAACTTCGCCAACTCCCCCCCAGAGTCCTCAGTTCGGAAGATGCCGAGGGTGCCGATGTAACTTTGGGCACCTCTTTGAAGGTGCTGGAGACGCAGCATGTATAGACTCAACGTCCCTAACCCCTAACATGACCGTCTCCCGAGCCCCGTAGGTCTGCCAGCCTCGACCTTCATTGCACCCGAGTCGGGCCTTGCAAGTCTCTAAGCAAGCAGAGGCATCCGCAAGAGCGAGGATCCCTTGTGGTGGGGCAAACTTAGACTGAGTCCCTGGCTCCATGCCAGCCTCCGCTAACCGAAGGCGCAGGCGCATGTTCTCCATGCGCATGTGCTGCAGCTCGGCCTGCGCCGAAAAGATGCTGCAATTTCACCACGGCTTGCTGTTTGCGTGTCCTGCCCTGAATTGCTCTGTGACTGTTCTCGCTCGGGCTTTCGGCTCGGCTGCACGGAGCAGGCTGCTATGTACATCCAAGATGGCAGTGCTGCCATGCAGTGGTGCCCACTAATACAAACTTTGTGGCAGAAAATCCTGACGGTAGTTGGCCGACCGAGCGACGGATAGCCGCAGAGTCTCATTGCAGTACCTCCGGAAACAGCTTCGCAATCACCACGATCACAGATCCGAACCTGTGCCACACGAAATGCAACCACAAAAAGGACGCCCACGGTGCAAACCCATAATGCAAAAAGCCCTCAACCAGGACGCGGACACAAGGAGTGTGAAGCCAAGCACGAGGATGCAGAAGGAGCCCACGCGCGTCTCCAGCTCTCCGAACTCTGTCACACCCCTCGGAAACAAGGTTTTCGACCCGCAGAACTCTCACGACAGTCCCGGACTGGGCGCGCCACGGCGTGTGGCCAGCGTAAAACAAGAGGAGGCCGGGGAAGACCAGCCTCGAGCGCAGAATGCGCACCACCAATCTCCATGCAATGATGCGTCGCACGCGAACAGGGCAAACCGACATTTGGAGAGGCTCGGGCGTTATCAGAGCTCCAAAGATAGCGCCCCCCAGGCTGTTAACCTGGACAGCACACCATCGGCATTCGACTTCGTGCGACCGCGTCGCATCGAGGCTGCATGATTGCTTTGAACATCTTCGAACATAGCAGATTTGCACAGAGCTCCCCACCAGGCCAAGATCTTGCAAGAAGCAGGCCGCAATAACGATCGAGGACAAGAGCACGAGCGTCACAGGAAGGAACCGCTCCTCTCACCAGTGCCAGTAGTGCACTTGAGATCTGCTGAGAATGCAGATCCGACCAGGCAGATAAAGGCCGGATCAAGCAGACAACTACCACCCACTGCCATTCCCAGTAACCTCGGGGAATTGAAGGTTAACCTTCGGGATTTCATAGGGATTTGAAGGCCCCAAAAAGGTTAAATTGAAGGCTACCCTCTACTAAGATTAGGCATCCGGCGGCTCCTGTGGGATGTTGAAAACGGACATCATGGAGTCCCGGAATCCGGTGAAGCCCAGCGGGAAGGCGAAGATCACCGCCTCGGAGGTTTAGGGTTTAGGGTTTAAGGCTTAGGGTTTAGGGTTTAGGGTTTAGGGTTTAGGGTTTAGGGTTTAGGGTTTAGGGTTTAGGGTTTAGGGTTTAGGGTTTAGGGTTTAGGGTGAAAGGCACTTGCTTCTGAGCCCTGCGCTAAACTGATGGCCATCCGGGCAGCTGTCACGAGGCCATCCTCATGTAGAGGAGCAGCTGACATGCAGGGGTTTCCGAGACGGGGGTACCCTTTTGGGGGTCCCTCTTAAGGAGGAATTCTATTCTATTTGGGGAATAAATGGGGTGCCCCTATTTTCGGACATGCCCTTGTAGAGCAGGTACTGGCTACCAAGACGTGCATCTCTCTCGCGCCTGCTCAGAGTAGTTGTTGAGGATCAGCCCCTCCGCGGCTCGGCCGAAGGTCAGGTACCCAACGGCCATGATCCAGAAGTACACGAGAAGGGAGAAGCCAAACGCTCCTGCGACCACCTGCACCGGCTGACTCTGAGAAACCCTGAGAACTTGGGATGTTCCCCCTTCTACTAGCAGCCCTCAATTGGGATTCTCGTAACCCCCTACTATAGTCCCTGTTAAGGACTGTTAGTAGAAGGGGGAACATCCCAATCTAAACCCTCTCTAAACATGTCTTGATTTTCCAGCTGTGAAGTAAGACCGAACACACGACAGAACGCAGGGCCTTGGTGAACTTCTGTGGCGTTGCATCCTTGAGCTGCGAGTAATACTTCGGTGCATTGTAGTGCCTTAGCTGCGCTTCCTGCGACAAGTCCGAAAGCTTCCGTGGTTTGCATCGACACATTGGGGGCCAGGGGTGCCCAGGAAGCCTCTTATGGATGCAAGAATGAGGTTGTCAGAGGGTGTGGGAATTCTGGGAAGAGATGTCGTCTGCGAAGCCTGGTAGAGCCCAAAAGTCCTACAGGACATGGCGCCGTGGCTGGCTGGGAAAGCCGAAGGATTAAGGCCTAATCCTCCAGAGGAGGTGTTGTGTGGAGATTCAACCCTAAACCCTAAACCCTAAACCCTAAACCCTAAACCCTAAACCCTAAAAAAGGGGATGTTGGACCGCCTGTTGGGGCCTGCTAGGCCCATGCAGGCCGTAGACCCGACAAGGACTGCTAGACTGCAGAAGTAGTTCCGCCACTCTTGAAAATGGGGGGGGGGTTTCTGAAATTTAGGGATTCGTACCTTATTGGGGCCCTTAGTATAAGCGAATCCTACTATGGGGGATCTATATTGGGGGTCCCGCAATTTCGTAAACCCCCAAATCTCCTCTTCTTTGTACCAAAGGGCGCGATGTAAGCAGTGGCCAAGGAGCCAATGAGTACAAAGGTTGCTGCCTAGCGAGGAGCTGCTGCTGATGCGAGTGGCATAGGACTCACACGCTTCTTCGTGGCAACAGTCTGTGAACACTATGACAAGGTATGACACATGGCACCACATGAGTGACCAAGGCTCTCGCACTGCTTTGCCAGTAATTCACGCCGTCGCTGAAGTCCGGCTTGTCCTCCAGGGTTCATAGCCCAGGAGATAGATGGAGCAGCATCACTGATGGCAGGGCCTAAAGAATGGGATGAAAAGAGGGTTCCCCTCCTTCGCAGCAACCAGGTCGTAGAAGTGGCCACCCGGTCTGTAGGAACCATCCACATATCGAATGTGCATCACTAGAACGACCCAAACCTGCCAGAGGCTCGAATGCTTTGTGGCTTATGTCCGTTGCTGTTGCTTGTTGCTTGCTTGTGGCTGTTGCATGCGCCTGTCCCAGGCAGCCGATCATCGATGTGTATGACAACACCTCAGCAGTCATGCGGCGCTTCTCGAGCCATATCTAGGCCATAATCAGGCCCGCTGACATGTGCTCTGGGCCAGTGGCACGGAGCTCTTTCTGAAGGCAAAGAGGTAGGAGTACAAGAAAGCCGATCACTAGCATGGCTGCCTCGCCCCAAGAAATTCTGCCTGTGACTCACATCCGTGCCTTTAGACGCTGCCAGGCCAGGTGCCTGTGACGTTGCCAGCACGCCCTGGAGGCCGAAGTACCGCCTCGCAGAGCACTGTTTTGCCATGCACCGAACGGGAAAGCAACTTCACCCAGCCCTGAAGCTGCGAGAGGCTGTGAGAGGCTGTGTGAATGAAAAGGCCGAGCTACAACGTCCGCGCAAAGGACTCGCTGATGACGATGGCAAACGCTAGGCACCTGTGCTGCAAGCACAGAGGGGGTCTTGGGTGCGCCTGAACACAGACTTGGCCAAGGAGCGTGAAGGAGGTCTTGATGAAGAGCACCACTGCCATGGTTTGAGCCAGGCGCGGGCCCGAAACTTTCGCTGCGCAGTCCTTGTGGCTTGTCTCGCCTTGCAAAACTCTGAATGTCATGAGATTCAGAGATATGCAGGGGCCAGCATGAGAAGCAGGAATCGCATTCTTTCAAGAGAGGCCTGTTGCGTAGCAAGTGCGGCCCATGATGGAGAAAGTGTATCCCATCAGCACGCTGAACGCGGCAGCAATGAGGCTGCCGGCCTTAGGAACATCCCTAGCAGCTCCTTTGTGCCAGCTTCCACGGAAGCGAACCGAGGCACTGGCAAGCAAACCTGCACAGGGTTTAGGGTTTAGGGTTTAGGGTTTAGGGTTTCGGGTTTAGGGCCGTTTAGGGTTTAGGGTTTAGGGTTGAGGGAAATTGCAGATTGCAGCAGTCAGAGAGCCATCTTGTGGGCGTTCCAAACAGGCTGGTGGCGAACGCGTGGCCTGTGCCGCCCGCGATGCCCGCTGGAAGGCTGAGCATGCCCTCACCGACGATGTTTTTGACGATGTTGAAGAGCAGCTGGACCTCGCTCATACCTCCATGATCTGTCGCCAGAATAAAGGACATTGAGGGTATGAGTTGGGATGTTCCCCCTTGTACTAACAGTCCTTCATAGGGATTATACTAGGTACTGTAATCCCTATTAAGGACTGTAAGTATAAGGGGGAACATCCCAAGAGATGAGTTCGTAAGAATCGCAACAGTTAACGTGTGTTTCGGGCAGGCGATACAGGCTGGTCTCGCTGAAGTAAACCATCGCTAGGAGACGGCACGGAGGGCCTTCGGGTCTCAACCATCCTGAGGCCCCTTAGGTCTTCAGACTCAGACTCATGTGTTGCTCGGTTGCTCCAGCGATTCTGACAAGAGCTAACAAAGCGTAGATGGCACGCGATGGTATGGCACGATTACTTCTCAACTGCTGCGTACACTGCACTAGCTGCAGCCCGTCACACCTGTACTAGGAGCATTGAGAAGAAACAAGAAGCCTTTACCGGAATGGAAATGTTCTGCCCTTGCACATGGATACATGGATGCACACGGATGCACAGAGCAGCCTCCTTCTTGTTTGTCAGCCTCTGACTCCTCGCTTTCTTTGTCGAGGGCCATGGGCTTGACCGCTTCTGCCACATGCATTTTCGCCCAGCATTGCTCCCAATCGCTCCGCATCTGGCAAAAAACATCCCTCTCAAACTCGCCTGATGGAGCAAAGTGCTGCATCATCAAGGTCGTGGCAGCGGCCGCCACGGCCTTGGCTTTGGGCTTGTTTGGGGGGGTCTTGGGTTGGGAGGGCTGAGCTAACCTCAGCGGATCCAACTGGCAGTCAGCGAAGCATTTATGCTCAGATTCAATAAGTCCCTGCATCACACAGGCTCACACGCTGAAGCGCAGAGAAGCTGCAACACCAACCACGGCACAAGGAATCATTGTCATCCACATGAGGTCTGTGGGATGGTGCTCTTGCACCTGCATTCAGGAAAACCATGCGTAAAGCCCTGCGAAGTTCGTGTGGGAACGCGCTTTCTGCACAGGTGGCCTATGAGCCTATGAGCACAATCAGAAACTGCAGCGCTCGATGCTACTGTGAACCTTCGGAAGCTATGTTGGGAGGTGGCGAGTGGTGGGCCTTCGATTGCTTCATCGGGCCACCCCCCTTCCCCCAATTTGCTTCGCGCCCCTGTTCTTGTAAGCCTTGGCAGGCATGGCCTTGCACGCTCAAACCTTGCCATTCTGGCACTGTAGCGCTTCTTCGCAAAATTGGCGCTTCAACTACAGTGTGCCACCCCAGTCGCGTGACCGATAAGCAGTGAGAGAGCCCAAAACCAAAGAGAGCTTCCTTCTGCGTGCTTGCAGTTGTTGATTTAGCGGTGGTCGCAGCTTCCAAGTTGATGCCTGGAAACAGTTCATACTTCCAGCAATGTGTTTTTTGCCGCCCCGCCCAGAGCTGTTGGGTCGAGACAGCCTCCACAGAAGACTCATGGAGCTGCCGGGCCTCAGAAAGCGGGCTTCCTGAATCTGCAAGGCCAGCAAGGCTGAACGACCTGGACTTGTGTCCTCTCTGTCGACCTCAACTCTCAGGCCCATGCGACGATGGTCGCATTGGATTCCTTTGTCGGGACAAAGATCTGAGACATCCAGCACTCCTTGATGTCCCGCATCGTGCCCATCTGTATGGAGTGCAGGCCAAGCATCCATCACGCTCAGCTTCACATGGTTGGGTGCTCGGTAGTGACTCCAAGTCCTGATATGCTTCTCAGCAACATGTCCCCTCTCTGCCATCAACATGTGCACAACAAGGATCTCCAGCTGATCACGTACTAGCCCGGCCTCGCCACCAGCAACCACGACGCCAAAAAGCGCTGGCCGAAGCCTCAGCAGTTTTCAGAACTCACAGAGCAGCCTTTTTGATGATTTTCAAGCTCCCGTGTCAACTCTGTAGATTTCCGTGCTCTTTGCTGCATGTTGCAACACATCCTCTTGCTTTCGAGAAACTGTCCACAGCATCAGCGGCGCTAGAACCTCCCTGCACTTGTAGGAGGACGCCTGCAAGAACTCTAACAGCATCGGCGTACATTTGCATGAAGGGCAGGCGAGCTGTGTTGGTAATGCGTGTGTGATTGTAATTGAAACCGTCATTCCTTCCGCGGAACTCCTTTGCAGCCCTTCTGCGAGTACTGGTTGGAGTGTATCGGGGGTTGCTTCCGCAGATGCTTTTGCGAGCTCATTGTGCTGCTTGAGCTCACCAAAGGCTGTCTTGGAGAGAACGTACTCGAAGAAGGCCCAGTCTCCGACATTCTTCCGCGCCGCTTCCGCGGCTTCAGCTGAACTTCCGCTGAGCTTCCGCGCCATGTCCGGACGGCTATCGCCGAGTTCGTGTCAACCATCACAAACTGAGGCCCTCCAAAGTGGGGGTCGATGCAATACTACAATACTCTAGCAAACCATGTTGGCTCAGTCCAGGACGGGAGCTTCCACGAAGATATTCTTCCTGCAAACCCTCCGGTGCGCTTCCGCGGCCAGTCCTATGCAGCTGCACGCCCGATTTCCCTGAACTATGAGGCGCTGCTCGATTCGAGGTCGTCGCCGACGACTGGACCGTGCTCGCAGGGAGCGAGCGAGCGACGCGGGCACAGTATTGTGATGTACTGTGATGGCGGTCACACTTCGACCTACTCCCCGGAAAAAGACGACTGGGAGATCAGGCGTGGCCTACAGTAGGAAACTGTTTCAGCAGCCGACCGATGATGAAGCGAGCCGTGTGAGATGTCATGAGTCTCAGCCGGTACGGACTAAAACGAGAAGTGAGCACAGAGCTGGGCCAGGCACACTGGTACTTACCGCAGTCACACCGCAAACCTACTTTCTGCTGAATACTGCAGCCGGCACGCATATTCAAAAAAGCTACGATTCACATTCTTTACATCTTCAGCACCCATGCGGCCCATGTCCATCTGCCTACATCCTCCTCCTCCTGCTCGTCCATGCACGCAGACGTTGCTGTCGTGTGGAAATTCGCAATGACTGCCAGCCCGAGCAGCAGCCCTGGAAGTACGAAGCATCAACATTCCAAGAACCATGTGCATCCTCAGCAAGACAACTGCTCAAAACAAATCAGTGCACACCAAGAGGCATTTGGAGGTCATCATCACGAGCAGCTTACTCTATGAAAGACATCATGCAATCGGTTCGGTTTGACTCATTGCATATTCGCCTTGAGCCGTAGCATGGTCGTGACAAACAACGAGACATGCGAGACATGGTCTCTGGCACACCCCCGTGATTCCCCGTGATCCCCCGTGAGGCCGAGGATGCCGATGAGGCCTCCAAAGTAGCCATGGCTGCACAATGGGCGGCCAGCAAGCGGCCATGTGCCTCAAAACAACAGACATCAGTGGCTTCGCGATGAGCTTCGCGGACAGGCAAGCGAAGGAACTTCTGGAGGAATGGGTGATGGGAGTCAGCAAGTGGTGTTCAGCACATGTCCCGATCATATCCCGCCTCCTGTAGCGCCCCTTCAAAGGGCGAGAAGTTCGGGCCTCACACTCCAACAACGCTCGAAAAATCGAAGAGAAGGGGGGCTACTTTGTCAAGTCTCGCCTCGACATCTTCCCGATCTTGTTTGCATGTTTGAAACCGTCAGGGCTCCACTATGCTCCACTCTTCAGACATGGGCAGTGGTTTTTATTCCTACAAGATTTTCCATGAAAGAAACGAACCCTTCCGCGGAACGTTTCCACGGTCCTTCCGCGAGCACTGTTTCTACTCCGCTGCATTTGCTTCCGGGGACGCTTCTGCGAACTGATTTTGCGCAGTTTCGAAGAACTTGTTTCCGCGAGTAGGTCTGCAAGATAAACTCGAACACGCAGCGGGTGGTCCGAAGCGAACGAGCTCGACGAAACCCTGCTGAAACCGGGGTCCGATCGCCATAGGCGGACTGCTTGGAACGCGTACGCAATGATAGGGAAGGGCGGGCATGGTTTTAGGGTTGATGGCTGAGGGCATGAAAGAAGCCGTGTTGCGGAGCTGCTGAGCCATCGATTTCTCAAGAGCACAGACTCAATGGGAAGGGCCTGGCCCTGACATCGGCGTGCAGGCTTCCGCGGAGCTTCCGCGGAGCTTTCGCGGCACTTCCGCCGAGGTCACATCAAACTTCGCGGATTGTGGTGTTGCTTCCGCGGGAGCTGCGGAGACGTGCTTCCGCAACCCTTCCGCATGCGTCCGCAGCCACAATCCCGTGCACTTTCGCCCACCGAGGGCGAACACACAACCAAACAGGAAAGACTGCCACTTGATAAGGATAAGGCGCCATAGTAGGTAAGACATGCCGAAACTTGGCTCAATTAAATAGAACTGGAATTTGGCTTGCGCGTGGCAGCATGCAATATTGCCTGAAGGTTGCGTGCAAACCAAATCACCTCAGCAGCTAACTTTTCGGCTTGACATGCGTGCTCGACACTTGCAGAAGGTTGCAAAAGAAGAGAACTAAGCACATGGTCCCAAACAACAAACAATCTGCAGAGGCACTGTCGCCCTAGCACAAGGGAGGGGAGAAAGGAGGTGCTCTTCGCATGAGTTACCCAATCCAGACTTCGTTCCTGCTCAAAAGTGATACTGAGCTTCCTTTAACGACACTCTTTGCCCCACCATACAAGAATTTGAGTCAACTATCCACTCAACCCGGTGTCAAACCACCTGCAGTGATCGTACATCTCCATCGCTATGCGACTTTTGTTACAGAGAAGAAAAATGCTGCAGCTGACCTTGCCATATCAAGAACAGCATCCCGAGGCGAGCGCCCGTGTCTGCAACCGAGACAGCCGCTGCCATGATTCCAGATGCAGGGCGATTCCGCACGATGTAGAAGTTTTAGGTTTCAAGAAGGGTTCTTCTTGCGGGGTCTGCGTCCAGAGTGCGCTGGCAGTTGTGTTGTGCCTTTCGCCTGGGAGGCTGGGAGGTGGCTCGGAATGTCCCTTTCGGCATGTTGTATGCACGACTCACGGTTGGATGCATGAAACAAGATGGACAAAGCCTTCTTACTGGATCATGTCGAAGTGCACCTGTCGCAGTACTTGCACTACTCGCCCGTGCTTCTGCTCCACAAGGCGATGTTCCCTCCACAGATCAACTCGTCCAGCCCTGCTTGCTGTATAAACTCAGCAGGCACACAGCTGCTCTTTTCCACCGAAGAAGTATGCAACTCATGATGCACCAGGCTCGAAGAAGCTGCCCATTTAGTAAGGTCTCTTTCCTGATGGAGCCGCCACGGAAAGCTCGCTTGAATCAGAACTCCAATGCGAGGCACCCAGCCTAGCTGATTGTTGCGATCGACGATGAAGGATATCTCGTTTCTGGGACCCGAGTCGATTTGTGCCTCAGGGTGCAGCCGAACCCCGCTTTTGCACCCAAGCTGTATGTAATGAAGCTGTGTCAGATGTTGAGTTTCCGGCAGCTCGAATGCAGTCTGTCATCTCGTGCACGGTGGCAGAGCTCCTTACACGGAGAGAGCAAGCTGCACCCCAGAAACTGTAAAAGCTTAAACAGGGCAGCTTTAACCGCAGCTTCAACAGAATGCACAAAAAGAAGAGCCTGTAACATATGCCCGTCTCGACCGCTCTGATAAGGCAGCAGCGGGACATCGACAGTGGCCACGAGCAGCTTCGGAGACTCCAACCGAATTGTCCGGCAGATTGCCCAGACCTGCTCCAACTTCTGTCCAGGAAGTGTGAGCAATCTCTACGACAAGCCATGCTCTGATGTGCTCTGTACTATAACCTTCCATGAGCCCCGGGCAGTGGTTCCAAGCACACCTGTGTACTGCGAAGGCACCATCTCTCCGGTGTGCCGCCCCATGACACCGCGCGTCAGCACCTGACATCGCAAGCAAGGGCATGGCCAGGCTTCGCGACATAGGGTTTAGGGTTCAGGGTTCAGGGTTCAGGGTTCAGGGTTCAGGGTTCAGGGTTTAGGGTTTAGGGTTTAGGGTTTAGGGTTTAGGGTTTAGGTTTAGGGTTTAGGGTTTAGGGTTTAACTCATAAATCGCGCGCAGTGTATACTGTGACGAGATACGAGGTCAATGGAACAGTGACGTTTTGAAATGGCTTAAACTACTGGCGGAGGACATCATGAACCGTTCCTCCAGATATATAATGCCCGCAATGTATGTGGAGCACATAGAAGGCGCACTAAGATGCTGCGCAACACGCCAAACAATTGGAAAGCCAACCAGACTGCCTTGCTCCTTGTGCACACACAACCGATTGAGCTGCGGAACCAGAAAGGCGATGCGGTCCGGGATGGCTTTGAGGTCATCGACAAACTTCAGGAGCTCAACACAGTACCTCAGCTGCCCAAAGAGAAATTCGCGAGAGCTTCCAGTGGGATCATCGTGGACGATGCGCCGCAGCGTTCAGGATGCTCACCTGCGAGCTCTAAGTTCTGAACATAATGTAGCTCATCTGAGCCACGGGAAGAGACCACACCTCAAACGGCCAGCTGCTGCCACCGCTATCATCACACGGCGTCTGCACGGACCATCACCGAGCACATCAAGGCTTCGGCAATGCAATTTGTCGCTTGGGTGAAGATTGAGTTCTGCTGGAGGTTGATGCTTGAATCTTTGGGCCTCAGCCAAAAGTACGACGCGCATAATCGCTAATCGTGCATTGCGATGTGCTTATTCTAGAGATTAAACCCGGTCCGCAGTACTGGTAGTGGCAGTTCAGGCCCTGTCAAAACAGCCACACGAGGGTTCGGATGGATCTTTGGCAGCACCTGAGCTGAGCTGGGCGGTCCACACTTGTCCATACGTATAAGACCTTTTCGAAGTTAAGGTCTCCGATAGTTCACGTTGGAGAGGCGCCTCTTCGAGCTGTTGGACGAGGGAATCCATGGCTTCCTCGATTTGCGGAGACCTTTGCAGGGAGGGGTTTTGCAAAGTGAAGCCATCATGATGCACGTGGGTGCCACGAACACAACAAAAGTGTCGTCTGGCTGAAAATGGCTGGACAACGCTGGGCACATCACCCAATTCGGTGAAAGAGAGTTTTGACCTCTTTGGCCATTCGCAATGCCTGGAGCATCCCAGTGTCTTGAATTTCGGGGCGGGACTGGCGTGCTCACTCAAAGTGGCGTGCTCACTGGGGGCTTCGAGATCCAACATGGAACTTCTGCCCTGGCGCACCTCAGCATGGCAGCCCTTGGAGACCTGTCCGGCAACGGCTGTGCGCCTCAGAACCCAAGCTTGCTTTCCGCATCGACAAAGCCGTTGAGCCACACTTGCTGGAGCCACATAGGTACATCACACCTATCTATCTCTCTTAGGTACATATTACCTATCTATCTATGCAGGGAATTCCCGGCAGCTCGTACACATTCTTCTGCTCTTCTTCTGAGCCCGGACTAAGAGATCGAATGTCGAACGTCTGTGGCCAGGACATGGCACAAGCCTCCAGCCACCGGTCGGCACAGCTGCGCCCCAGAACGGCGGCCTTGCGTGCGCTCGCGCGAGGCGATTCCTAGACCCTAAACCCTAAACCCATCAACCAGCATCTCAACATCCCGGGGGGGGGGGCCTGCATGGCAGCTTCGACACCTCCGTCCAAGTCATCCAGCAGAATCTTGCCTTGGCAGCTGAGCAACTTTAATGCGGGCAAGGTGGCAGGGTGGTGGCAGCTGGGGCACTTTGGGCAGCGAGGTGTGATGCGCGACCCTGGTTCCTGGTCTGTGCCGGAAGCACGTCAGCCCACACGCACGGACACACGGCGCCGTGCCTCTTGTCTCCCAGAAGCAGAAAAGCCACCCGAGCTTGCTCGGCCACTGCAGCAGCTTCCTTCCGGTTTTCGAAGATGCTTACGAGAGGACCTGCCGAGAGGGGTGGGTGCCACCGCACCGCCACAAGCTTGAGCGACGAAAGCCGTTGAAGAGTCGCAGTGGCACGGCGCCTTCAAACGCCAGAAGCGACCCTGCGAGCTGAAGCTTGGCGGCAGCCTGTCAACTTCGACACCCCATGACGACACCCCGCAATTCGAGGTCAGGCTTCCGGCCTCGGCTGCCTGATCACCACTGCCCGCCAAGAGCGAAACGGCCTTTCAACATGGTTAGGGAGACGGGGTTCATGTGAAACACAAGAGAACCTCCATTTGGAACACAGGACAGCGTCAATTTAGAACATATGGAGCCTCGAAAGGAAGCAGCTCTAAACACTTGATTTCGCACCGCGGCTCGGTTGTAGCTCGTTTTGGAAAGGTGCGTGCATTCTTTTTGGGGCCTTGGGGTCTGGGGCTTCAGGGCTTTTAAGGTTTCAACATACTGTTCTAAACTGACACTTTCCCGCATTCCAAATCTTGCCGCTTTCCAAATTGACACTTTCCCGTGTTCCAAATTTCACGCTCCCGTTCAGCACATGAGAAAACCAAAACCGCAGGAAATGGGCAGACCTGTCAGGAAAAGAGTCTTGACATTCAACACAAGTTAGCCATTTAAAAAACAACAAACAACAACCAACAAACAACAAACCACAAACAACAAACAACAAACCACAAACAACAAACAACAAACAACAAACAACAAACAACAAACAACAAACAACAAACAACAAACAATCTGATGCATGGCTTTGTCAAGGTTCCCTTCTTCCAGTGCTCCAACAAACGTTGCAATTTCAAGGCCAAGGACTAGCAGAGGACACACAAAAACCTGGTTCAACCATGAAGTCAGGCAGCCAGACTGGTCGTTCATGTCGATCCCAGAACAGAAGAACAAGACGGAGACACCACTGATGCGCAGGCACTCCGCATTGCACGAGAAGCACAGAAGCATCCCTGATCCTTTTCAAGTTCGGAGCCATCTGAAACACCTGTGCCACACCTCAAACCCTAACCCCCTAAACCCCTAAACCCCTAAACTGCTAAACCCCTAGACCCCTAGACCCCTAAACCCTACACCCGAAACCCCAAGACCCCTAAACCCGAAACCCTAAACCCCTAAACCCGAAACCCTAAACCCTACACCCGAACCCATCCTCGCGGAGCAGGTCACATGCTTCTGCACCGTCGGCCGCGGAGGCCTCAAAGCAAAGCAGAGGTAGAGAGTGCAGATTTAGGGTTTAGGGTTTCGGGTTTAGGGTTTAGGGTTTAGGATTTCTCGGCTGGTGAGAATCAAGACAACTCGATCGGACAGACTCTCATAGTGGGTGATCTAGAATCTAGATTCGTCAGAGTTCTGAGAGATGAACCGCTGTTCTCAGCGCGCATGCTTGCGAGATGATGTTCTTCTCCTCGCCTCACCAGACATCTGCACAACAGACGTCCAAGATCGTCGCGTCACTTGCTCAGGCCGTCGCTTAAGATGCTGGCAGCTTCCTTTGCAAGCCCCAACGCCTGCTAATGACAACACAAGGGCTTCATACATACGACAGCACCTTGCTGCAGCTCGCTCCTACACTGAGTACTGGCATTGGCCGAAGTGCCCGTGAAACTCAGTCCAGACCTCTGCACGCTTCTCCAGCGTCAGACTGGCAACAGCAGCAGCATGTTTCGCTCGTCCTTCGCCGGACCTGCCCACTTGCAGACTGCTGATGCACTGCGGTTTCAAGTGTTCTTCCCTTTCTCTTCCGAAATCATTACTGTAATCTGCTCGCTGCATGCATCACGACACTTGCTGCTGACAGCAACGATTCATGCTCTGCGACTCACTGGCCTGTCTCCGAGCTTTTTGGCCAAGGCCTGCGCCTGCAACAAAAGTCTACGTTCGACCAGCAGAATGCTCAGGATGGCAAAAACATATAGGCTAAGTATGCGAGCCAAGCACATCCGCCTCCTGCGCCCGCGCCAGCGAGGCCTCTCCACGCAGCACTGCACTGAGGGCGATCAGCAAGTCCACCTTGACCAATGCGAGTGTGATTCGGGTGCAGGCGGTTCTTCGGTGTTTTTGCCATGCAGCTACAGCCAGAAGCTTGCTGGGAATGGAAAACTGTGCGAAGTTTAGGGTTTAGGGTTTAGGGTTTAGGGTTTAGGGTTTAGGGTTTAGGGTTTAGGGTTTAGGGTTTAGGGCGAAATCACCAGCGGATCTTGTGTGAGATGTCCGAAGACGCCTGGCCCGCTTCGTCACCGATAGACTTGCTGATCTGAAGCGCCTCGGAGACAGGAGTCGGAAACCCTAAACCCTAAACCCTAAACCCTAAACCCTAAACCCTAAACCCTAAACCCTAAACCCTAAACCCTGAAACCCTGAAACCCTTAAACCCTAAACCCTAAACCCTAAACCCTTAAACCCATAAACCCTTAAACCCTTAAACCCTTAAACCCTTAAACCCTTAAACCCTAAACCCTTAAACCCTTAAACCCATAAACCCTTAAACCCTTAAACCCTAAACCCTTAAACCCTTAAACCCATAAACCCTTAAACCCTTAACCCTTAAACCCTTAAACCCTTAAACTCTAAACCCTAAATTCCGAAGGTCCGAGTCCAGTGGATGCCCTGGGCCTCCTCGGCTGCAGCGGCTCCGTCGGCGCTCTGGGCCAACGCTGCCTGGGCACATGCAACAGGGTTTAAGCTTTAGGGATTAGGGTTTAGGGGTTTAGGGGATTAATCCGAGCATCAGTTTGATTAATACCCCCACATTTAAAGATTTTTTTGGCCGGAAGGCCGCCGGAAGACTACTTTCCACTAGGTTGGATTTCGTATGGGACAAACCCCCCACATTTAAAGGAATTTTTTGGGGGGTTGCAAAAATTTTGAGGAAAGCTTTTTTTGCTATTGTTTTCAATGCATTCGTATTGTTTTTAAATAGAGAATCAATACAGGGCCATGGTCCAACTATTGCGGAACCCTGCCTTTCTCATTGTGGGGGGGGCCCCCCCCCCAAATAAACAGAAGCTCGGATTAGGGTTTAGGGTTTAGGGGTTTAGGGTTTAGGGTTTAGGATGATCAGCATGTGAGTGTGTCAGTCATGAGGAATATGCGAGAACCGTCTCTAAGCTGAAGCCGGCCCCACGCGCTTGAAAATACTCCAGGGTACGTGTTGAGTCCATCTAGCACGGACGCCAGATGAATCCTACAGTCCTACAGCTTCCTACTGAGGAACCTCTGCCGCTCCGCTTGCGAAAGGAAGCAAGGTAAATCGGAAGAAGGGCATAGTTCTTTTGGCCCGGCTGGCCAATTCATGTGCGGACCGTTGGTCATCTTGGAAGCAAAACTGCGAGCGCGGAACGCCTGTGGCAGGTTCAGTGCCAGATCCTTGTGCGAAATGCCGAAATGCAAGACCCCGTTGTGGACGCCATCGTAAATTTACACCGAGATCACAGAGCACTGCGAGTTCAAAGCCCTTAGAGCACGGCCCCTCCATGCTGGGCACCAGGCTGTTTGAAGAGCAGAGGCCTGCGCCTTCTTGTCGCCAGCCTGTCTGACATGTCTGCGTGAAGCTCCAACAAGGGCCAGCTTGCTGGGCTGTGAGCCTTTCCATTCATGGGACATCTTGTGACATCATGAACCCCGTCCCCTCATGTTATATACACCCCACTAGAGTGATATCATATTACATGCACCCCATTAGAGTTGTATTTTCTTACATACACCCCAGTAGAGATGTGTTATAGGAGGGGCGGGATATTTTGTATCAGGGGGGAGGAGGAGGAGGAGGAGGATCCACGCCCCTGCACTCGCACAGGCACCCACCCAGCCAGCTGCACCCGGTTCGGCGCTGCTCCCAGCGGATTGATCCACACGCGACCGCACCATTTGAGGCTCTCAGGTGGGTAGGGGGGCGGTTTGATAGTAGGGGGAGGTATTTAAAGCGGTCCGTGGTGGGCCTGCACGAAGAGCGCTGCGGCCTCCCTTGCGCACTTCGCTGCCTGACAGGGTGCTTGTCAACATATGCACATATGTTATATGTAGAATATGTATATGTATATATGTATGTACATATTATGTTTGTCATATGCTTTATCTATCTTAACTGTGCCAACCGGTGAACACAGCCTTCGTCAACTGTGGAAACTTGAATTTATAACCTTGGCAAATCCCATGTTCGATCTTCGATGACATCCTAGAGCGCCTTTATCCCGTTTCAAGTCTCTTGGCTCGTCATTTCTCTGTGTTCATTCTTAGAGTAATGTCTCGATTTTCTGTAAGTTCTATTAAGCTATCCACGCCCAGCACAGAAACTGACAACTTCAGAATATCTTGTTTTTGTTTCGTTCATCTAACCGAGAGCGGCTTGGGCTCGAGACTGATGATGCAAGCAAAGGAATGAACCAAGAAGCCAAAAAGTCTTTCGTTTCGAGCCTCTGCATGTGCATCTGGGAAGGGCAGGAACCCACAGATGCTGCGATCCAAAAGACTAGTCACCCTCGAAAGCTAACAGGAAAACCAACGAAAGAGACTCAGCAGAAAGGATCTGGGAATGAGGATGTGCTGGGTTCTTGGTGGCTTACCTGTTGGTTTGGAAACAGACGACCAAAGGATTTCCCTGCCCTTTGGTGGGACGGGCGCGCTCGTGCAAGCTTCCGCAAGACCTAGCTGAACAGGAGGAGGCAACTACCCAACTCCGAAGCCATGATGGGGGGAGGCCTCGTCTTTGGCGCTGCTCATGAGTTGCTCCGCAAGCTTCTGCAATGCCTTGCCCTGACACGCTTCAGATCTCTGCATGTCCATATGTCGGGAATCGTGCGGCGCCTGCCTCCCCAAGCTTATCACCCTTGCTCTTGCAATAGGCAAGGCGCTCCTTGCTGACCTGAGGGCATGTGATTTTTTAGCCCCCAAGCCTGCCTTCCTTTAGCTTTACAGACAACCCTTGCAAGCATGTTCGCTTCATGTCCTCTGACAGCTCTGAGGCCAGGGCCGTGGCAGCGCCAGCAACTGGGCCCTCTTTCGCACACACGAGATCCAAGAGCGTAATCCTTGCACTTTAGATGCAAGACAACACACCATATCCGAGGCTTTTTGAGGCTCTGCTGCTCTGCTCCTGCCCTTTTTGCCAGGGGCTCCCCCAAGACCCTGAGGATCCGGCTGAGCTGCCTCTTCGCCATCTGTGTCACCAAGCCTCGCACCAGCAACACCAAAAACAAAACCCTTTTCAGAATGAATCGGTTGGAAACAGGCCCCACATCGTGTTTTTTTTGCCAGCACTGCGAGCAGATGCGAGCAGGTTCCAAGCGCGCGGCTCACGGAAGAGCCGCAAGGCATCCTTCACTGCCGCCTCTCCGACACTGAGCTCCTTCCTCGCGAGGACTGGACAAGGCGAGCATGTCAGTAGCGCAATTCTGGTCAACTCTGTTTCAATAACGCTCTGATGGCGCGGTTCATGTGCAACTCCCACTTTCCGAAGAAGGCGGTGACTCCAACTCTGAGAAACCGGCAGAGAGAGTCGGGCATTGGCCATGGCTGTCAACGTCGAAGCTTCCATCTGCTTGTCACCGACCTGCTTGGAGAAAGAGAGAAGTATGTGAGAAGCTTCGCTCGTTCCCTCTCTCTCTCTCTCCCAAAAGGCCTCTTTGAAGGTGCTCAGAGCTGCTGTCGCGTGTCCTGTCAGATCGGATTGATATCGCACCACCGCAACAAGCACGTGAGATCACGTGAGAGCTTCGGGCTCTGGGTCCCAAGCCCAAAGCCACTTTGGGCTCCGTATCCAGCATGGCCAGGGCCAGGGCCAAGGTGGCAGAGGCTTCGCCTTCCTGCTTGCTCGGATGCATGGGCCACTGCATATATCTGCATATGTAGTGTATGACAGTGTATGAAGCTGACCCTCAAAGCAACCCCCGACCCGCATCTTGAAGAACAAGTCTGAACTCCCGAGCCTCTAGACCAAAATCAGACTTCCGACAACCCTCTCAACCGAGGTTACCACGGCTGCCTGCCCCTACTCCCTGCCTTGTTGCCTTTCAGCACGCTCTGGGCTTCCTTGGCGGCTTCGGCTGCCGGAGAGGTTTTGCCTCCCACTGTGTGCCGGTGCGGGGGCTCTCTTCTCAAGCAGCAACACACTCGGAACGCTGAGGAGCGCTCCATCCGCTAGGTAAGCCAATGAAGCCAGAACGCGGCCAGCTCCATCCTGCAGTGCTGGCACCAAGACAGCAAAGTGTGGGGCTGCACCCTAAACCCTAAACCCTAAACCCTAAACCCAAAAGCTACCAGAGTTCTACTGGAACCATGCGCTCCTTGCCAGCATCCTTCAAGGACTGCGGGACACCTGCAGAGGACCGAAGCCTGGGGGGGGCCTTTTGCAGCCTTTTGGGGCCTTTGCCAAGGTTGCCACATGAAATATTGCTTAGGGTTTAGGGTTTAGGGTTCAGGGTTTAAGCTTTAGGGTTAAGGTTTAGGGATGTGTGTGTTCCATGCTGGAGCCTTTGTCCAGGATCTTCGCCTCTGCTTGGGCCACCAGACTCTTGCCCTGCACAGAGGTCCGAAGGTTTGCTGAAACTACTCTCAAGCTAAGTGGTTCCGAGTCCAACCTGGAACTTCGCAGGCACTGCCTCGCAGACTTGCACATCTCTGCACTACACGGAAATAAAGCACACGCACACACACAAAGAAGACTAAGAATTGAGAATAAGGTCTCTTTATGAAGCAGCTCTAAATCCCATATCCCTGAAAGCTCTCACATCGTATGCCTTGCCAGCATCGCACTTGCTAAGCAGCTTTGCGCCTCAATTCTTCGCCCACGGTCGCCAAGTGGACAGTGAGTCACAATCGGGTGCAAACATGCATAACGATGGTCAATCGTATCTCATTGGGGCTAGGCTAACCCAGCCACTGTCCGGACCGGAGCCTCACGATGACAAGGAGGCGAACCCACCCATATGCCGGAACCCTGATGGAAAGCACATCTTGCCTGACACCTTCTTGAATCGCAGGCGCTCTCCAACCTGCAAGAGTGGCCACACGCTTCTTCCTTTGCCATGACAACATGCTTGCAAGGCACCACGCTTAGGACCCTGAGGTCTCCACACGCTCGAGTTCCGAAACCACGGCACCTGCTTCTCTGCAGCTTGCAGAAGATGCAGCAGAAGCCGCTACTCATCAGTTCAAGATGCAGCGAGCCTATGCCAAGCCGTGCGAGCTGCTGGGAGGTCAGGCCTTGGCCCGCTCTCTTGCAAAAACAAGATAAGCCGGTGTCATGTTAAGGCTGCAGTTACGTCAAGAAAGTGCCAAGTTCGCTGCTTTTTCCCTCGCGAACTAAGGCACCCCCAAGCTCTGCGCAGGATATGACCTGAAGCGATTTGCTGATGTGAGCCGCCAGACGATTTAGATGCTTCAGATTTTGTCTTGTTGAGCAATGATTCTTTGGGAAGTGTCCGGGTGCCCAAGTTGGGTTCACCTGAAATGCAAGAACTCAAGCCAAAAGGAAGCGCCTCATAGTGCACCATGGCAGCTCTTAAAGCTTGCACTTAGACTGGCTGCTATGTCTGCCCAGAAACTCCTCAGCTTCTCAGCTGTATACGAACAGCTTTATTTCAAGTTTATTGTACGATGTGTTGGCAACATCTTGCAACTGAATGGGACCATGTGAGTTGTGCGAAGCCATGACCCAACGTTCAACGGAACACTCGAGCCACAGACCACGGAAACACAGGAGAACGAGCATGAATTATGGTCAATGCAAGACACGACGCATCTTCTCGGTACACGTTGCACCTTCCATGAAAAACTCATACGCCGCATGGCATCCTGAAACACGATCTCTGGAAAACAGCAGGACCAGAACCTAAGCCAGACAGCGCCACCCTCTTCTCACATTGTGATGGAATGACAAGATCAAAACAAACGAACACACACACACACACACACACACATTTGCCGTCGTTCTGACTCTTCGTCCTAAGTTGCAGGCAGGTGTGCAAAGTTGCCCTGGAAACCTCCGCGTAGGAAAATGGCACGTCATGGTAAACATGTATCACAACCGTCCGATCTCGGGCGGACCTCCTGGCGCATGTTGATGCATGACGAAGCCATCAGCACCGCCCGCCTGGGCTTCAAAGTTTGAACATGCTGTCTTGGACTCGAATGTGCAACGTCTGCCCACCTGCCTGGCATCACAGTCACGCTCCAAAGGCTGCAAGCTGAGGGCCATCAGCCACAACCTGCACTTCCAGCAAGCTTGAAGAAAATCAAAGAACGCAAGCACGGCCAAACGAAATTCCAGAACATCTTCAACGCTGTTGATGTTTGTGACATTTTGAACTCTCTGGACGTCCCAAGACCCGAGCGGCAAGGTCTCCTCCTCCAGCATGCCGAACGGCAGTTCAAAAACCAGCGCCTGCAGACATGAAAGTGGCGATTGGCACAAGTTGGAATCTGATTTCCCCGACCTTGCCCTTGCCATTGAAATAGGCAATCCCATTGTTGGTCATTGGCGTGGTCGGGTCTGCCTGACATCATCCACAGCATGCCGCATTTGCCATACAACCTATTTCACTGATCATGTGGGCTATCGGTGCAATTTACATATCGGGTATGCAGAATACAATCGATCCTCGATCACGGTTGGATTTGCATCCAAAAATCTCAACGCCAAAGCTGGATGATGCCTGCCAAATGTTCCAACCGGCAAATCTCAATACAAGTTCAATCAAGCATTCCCAGTCTGCAGCTGTCTGAACTGTCGGGTGCAGCAAATACATGCTGTCGCGTCCTCCGTTATTGGCGCTTCACATGGCTTATTGTAGAAACTACGAAACAACAGAAGGCCTCTGGTCTCGCTTCTGAACTCCACGCACGGCATTGTGCCATCCCTGCAGGTAACCATCCCAGGCTCAACAATGTCATGATACATGCATGCCAACATTTGTGTCATTGACACATGCTTGCGGGCCTGAATGTAATCAACAACCACTTCCACCGTGAACATCAACATGTACCGGCAACTGGCTGAATGCTCTACTTGGCACCTTACACAACGTCATTTTGGATACATCACTGACGTTGTCATCACTTGTACCACCAAAACACACAACTATTCTGAAGGTAGATTGGAGGCCACATCTACACATCCTGAACGGTAAGCCCGACAGCCAAAACGCTCAATACATCTCAACATGGGTGTTTCGAGTGAAAAATCTTCGCACCTGCTGTTCTTGTACTCCTGGGATCTATTGGGCCAACCACTTCTGGAGGCGGCGCCAAACTACGGAACCACTAAGCCAACCGCTACTTGAGGGCGGCACAATACCGGAACCGGGAGTTGTTGCGAGTGTGGGAACATGAGCACGTGCTTGGCAGGAGATGAGAAGGGTCAGTCCAGATGTTGCACCACTTGGCACCACTCGTGCACAAGGAAACCGCGTCGTGCGTCGCACTTGAAATGGCTGCAAGCGCAATGCCGGCTTTTTTGCGAAACACGGATTGCGAAGGCGACGTTAGTTCCGACAGCCACGCGGACGAAAACGTGCGACATCTACAATAGTTGGGCTTGGCACAAGCGGCTAAATGCAACGACAAAACACGCAAGAAAAAGACAAACCCTTGACATGTTGCTTTTCCACGCCGAGCATTTGAAATTTGAACATACAACACGAAGAAGGCTCAAACGCAATTTCTTCTTTGGTCTTGGCTCCAATCCACATTTTACGGGCCCCGAGAAACCCTGAAACAGTGAAGTGGCAGGGGCACGGACGTCAAGGCACGATCATCCTTTAGAAACTCACGCATGCGGCGCAACTTTACGGAGGGCCAATCAACATTCTCTAAAAACGCCCAGACCTTGGGCCTGACAAGAACCTGTAATTCGGGCTTAGTGGCAGAAACAGTGGTCCATAGCCACGTTCAGCCCTTTCTTAATTTCATGTTTTGCAGGCAAGACCTGGTACCGGAACATGGCCTTGTAATTGTTGCGGAATCAGGCTCCAAGGTCTCATTATCTGCAGCATCTGTGGCCACAGAGCCCTGCACATCCTCGGAAGCTGAAGCGGCCTGGCTGCATCACATTGCAGAATGTGGCAAGTGGGTCCTCGTTGGCATAGCCCCACGGCAGTGCGCGCAGGTGCCACCGCTGGTGGCAAAAGCGCAAATCCGGAGGCAGGCAAGAAGCACCTGAGCTGCGGTGAAAGACTCCCGCGTCCACGCACTTTGCCTCGCTGCAGGTCGCTCCAGACCGCACGGAAGTGATTGCTTCCGCACTTCCGCCACAGCCTCGTTGCAGGCCGTGTCCAGGCCGCGCGGAAGAATCTGCCTGCTCCACAAACCCTCCTTGGAAGGTCCAGCTGATGAGTGTGAACACTCCAAAGGGCAGCAATCTTTGTTCCTGCGTTGCGCACATGACTCAAGGCCTGGGCCGATACAGGTTGGGACAGTCGCACATGCTTTTTAAGAGTGTACATGGACTTTCTCAGTCCCCAAAACTTAAAGCTGGCCCAACTTTAGGCCTTGACTTTCAGTCTTTGATCACCCTGCTTGCCACGTTGAAGAACCGTGGTCTCTTCCTCTACACGCAGGGTGTTGCGTTTCAGCAACTCCATCATGGGCTGCATATGGGCCCCATCCAGCTTGGTGAGGGAGTCTGCGGGGTTGCAGTTATGGGGGATCCACCTAATCCTACCCTTAACCTTCTGCAGGCTTTCATGGATAATCGCAACCTCTAACGCTGACCGATCGTCCTCACCTTGCGATTGCTCGGTGCTTGCTGCATCATATAGCGACTTCGCATCTACTACTGCCACAGTCAGAGGATCTCGAAATTCTTCCGTCTCGTTGACTCGTTGGCGATGACCGTAGTGGTTCCACGCAGTCCCAACTCCACATCGTCGCCCCCAAGCTCCAGCCGTGGTGAGTACTTCGAGCAGCAGAAGCTGTTCCACATCGAGACTTGTTTTTCGATGGCCCCCAACGCTGTGGACAGGCTGATGGAGCAGTGTGTTGCCTGCCTTTCTGCGAAGGCGCCGCGACTTCCATCCCATCAATGAAACAGGCGCTGGCTGTCCTGCATTCAATTGCGGAGTGGTTATCGCCTGCAACCAACCATGTTGAGCTTTGTGCTTGCCGGTGGGATCGAAGGAGCTGTCGCTGATGAGCAAGTGTCTTACCTGGTTCTCCGGGATCGGGTGAAACTGTAACTTCAACACGACGCGGCGGGCCTTCAAGTGGTCGATCACCTGGTTAACGGCATAGATGTCGGCCATCGTAGGTCCCGGGAAGCATCCGGAGAGGATACTCGCGGCGGCCGCCACATCTGGCCGGCCTTCTCGGGCCACCCAGTTCACGGCAGCAATTGCGCCGCGAAGCTGGGATTCCTCTTCGGCGTTCAAGTTCACGTCCTTGGCGTCTTTTTTACACACCTTCCTTTCGGGCTTGATGACCTTCAGGCGGTTGGCAATGTAGTCGGCCATGGTGTACATGACGGTGTTGTCTTTCATCTGCATGATTCGTCGGCCTGCGTAGGCCGATCCTTCCGGGCGGTCTTTCAGCCGGACTACCTTTCCGAAACGCAGTCGTGCCTCGAGCTTGGCCATGTTTTCCCGGTGACGCCGATTTCCAGCTTCCAGGATGTCATCCACTTCTATCACGATGACTCCTTGGGTCTTCTCTTGGTCGCTGTCCTCTTCGTTGGCGTCAAGGGTGAGCACGCACTTGTCGAAGGCGGAGATCCGGTACCGCAATTCCTTAACCAGGATGTCCAGCAGTGAACGTCTCCACCACGAAGGTCCGCTGACTATGCCGTAGACCTCTGTCTCCAGGATGATGAGCTGCTCTGGGTCATATCCGGGAAAACACTCGTCCGGAGGCATTGCGCAAGCCAACTTCTGTCTCCTCGTCGTTGGTTTAGCCTGCAGGAAGGCCGTCTTGGCGTCCTTCACCACCGCATCCCATCCTCGCGAGGCTGCCAACTGCAAGAAGAGGTAGATCGAACTTGACAAAGGTGTAGGTGCTGAACGTTCGATCTCGTGGATGTGTGGGTCTCGCCATCCTACCACGCACCACCGCGATTTCGCCGCCACTTGTTCCCGATGTTCTCCAGGTTGGTTAGCATCGAAGTCGTCGGGAAGTACAGGACGACAGGACATGGTCAGGATGTTTTCGGCGAAATTCCCTGCTTTCTTGAACTGACAGAATCCGGATAGCCCCCGAATCCAAGAGCGACTTGATCTCTTTGTCTCTCGCTGCCCGGAAAACCACCTTCTCTTGCTCTCTAAGCTTGCAGAAGTTCACTTGGCCCGGCGACTCCTTCTTCTTGACGATGAAGAACTTCCTGTCCATCTGACTGAAGAACGCCTGTGCCAAGTAAGCCGGGAATTCCTCGCTCTTCCTGACTGCTACTGGTTCTCGTCGTCCATGGACCTTGTCGTACCAGTACTTCGCGCCATCCTTTTGGTGATCACTACTTCCAGATACATTGATCTGCCAGGAGGTGTAGGCATCGAAGGCATTGGTTGAGTCCATGGGTACGGCATAGCCACGTTCTCTGCTGAAGAGCTTTGCCGTATTGGTCCAAATCTCATCGTTCCAAATGATCCTTCATCTACACGGACCGATCCCAGGGAGCTTGGCCTTCGGGAGGATGGTACTGACGGTGTCCGGGTGGACCCTCCTTCTTCCAGCGAGAAAACTGGATCTCTAGCCGTCTGTCCGTTGTCCGCCTCCTGCCCGGTCATTGGTGATGGCTCGTCCACCTGCATGTCGGCATCGGCGATCGACGGAGAGTATTCTACCTCCGTGTCCGGCTCCTGAAGATTCGACGTGGTTGGAATCGCTGACTCTGGCGACTGGTTTGTCGGAGATCTCTCCAGGTCTTGCAATTCGGCCGCTTCCGCGGCCAGTGGTCCACCCTCCTCTTGGATGTCTTTGTAGTGCTTAACCGATGCCTGGTTGAGCTTCTCCAACATCTCATTCGACAGTATCTCTGCCAATTCCACTCCAATGTTCTCTTCGCTGGTTGCCAGGCGAACTTGTTCCCGAGAGGCTTTGACGAGATATCCGCGCACGCTAACCCATACGGAGCGGTGATTGGAAGCCAGAGCCACCACCAATCCAGGCCCTGACCAGTGGAACTCCGCGTCGGACTTGACCACCATCTCTTCACATATCTTCTCCAGCTTCTGTTTGAAGATTCCACCTGCCTTCTCGGTCCTGGAGTTTTGCCACGGCGCCCTTGCATCGGTGAAGTGCACAATAGCTCCAGCGTCCCCTATCACATTGCAGAAGAAGTCGGAGGCGAATTCGCCTCCCTGATCCACGACGACTAGCCGAGGGACCCCGAAGCGCATTATCCAATCGCGAACAAAGGCCTTCGTCACCTCCTCGGTGCTCTTGTCCCGGCACGATGCTGATGATCTGATAAGAGGTTCCCCAGCAGATCTGGTTCAACAGTATCTTCTTCTGGTAAAAGACTAGGTCCAGACCGATGACTTCGTTGAACGGCATCGATCTAACCAGATGCGCTGGTCGATGGCTGGCTGGTCGTTGCTTGGCTTTGCAAATAGGACACTGAAATTCATCCTTCACGTACGTCAACACCTCATCACGACATCCGGCGTGCTTCAAGGCTCGACAAAACGCTTTTCTTTCAGGATGTCCCAAATTGCGATGGATCCGGTATACTTCCCGACGCAGATCCGGCGCTAGGATGCTTCTCCCAATGGAGTTCGGCCGTACAGGTAGATCTCGCAGTTCTCGGCGGGCGGAACGTTCATCTTCGCCAAGTTCCGGTTTCTTCCCAGCAACAGCAGGTACTCCTTCATCTTTCTGCGACTGCCGAAATCTTTCTGGTTCCGTCGCCACATCCGCTGAATCCACAAAGGTGTCGAAGTCGAAGTCCTCGTCGGGAGCAGCGCGACTCGAACTTGCCGAGCGCCCATCCCCCAAAATTCTGTGCGACGGAAACATTTGAAGCCATTCTGTCTGAAAATCGGTCTCGTCTGAGACAAAAGCATGAAGATCGTGGGCGGCCGATTTGGCCACCCACAAGGCTGTGCTCCGATAGCTGTCCGGGAGCACCACTGTAGGAGTGACCTCGAACTCGGTGAAGCCGGTCCACGCCACAGAACTGTGCAATGAGGGCGTGGCCAACTTCCAGTTGTCACGAGTGACGACGCTGCGGCCGTCGACGAAGTGCTGGTGGGTGACACGCTGACCGGTGAACTCGAGGTCCTGCCCAGAAAATTGTTGGCATTCTTGAGGAAGCGCCAAGGCATAGCGGGGCACAAAGTGTTGGCACCGTAAGTTGCCCCAACACCGGAGCCATTGGTCCGGCATGTGAAACACTGGAAAGTGTCTCCATACAAGAGATTCTCGCAAACCACGCAAGATGGCCTGCACAAAAGAGTCGGTGTAGCGTGCTGCATCGCGTGCTCGCCCGCCACCAAGAAGAGGTCGATGTGTTGGATGATGACCATTGCACCGGCGTTGTAGGGCTTTGGCCACACCTGCCAGGTTGGTAAGCACTAGGGTCGGCTTCAACACGGCCTCGCCGTCCTTGGTCTGGAGCCCAAAACGGCACATGTCCAACTCTACCGAAAACACTCCACGTAAAGCTGCCAGCTTGCGCAATGAATTGGATTTCCAAGACTTTGCTCGAACAAGAACCCTCTGCCGGCCTCGTGTTGAATGATGGCCAGTCTCACCGCGAAGTCGGTGTGGCGTTGCCCTTCGGCTTCTTCTCGGTCCACCACATCTGGATCACGCTTGTAGTTGGTGAGGAATCGCAATGTGGTCGCGAAGGTGCATTGTGGACATAGCAGGACCAGCGCGGGGCGATGGGACGCCACCAATCGAACAGCCTCGGCTCGATGACGCTGTAGATTGAAGTCCCAGCCAGTGGCCAGGTCTAAGGCTTCCGCTGCTTGGAAACCATATTGTTTGGCCCATGGTGTCATTCTGGGTGGAGAGTACACTTCCATGACCTTGGGCTTCTTTTGGAGGTAGTGCGAGAGTTGCTTGCGATCTTCTCGAGGTAACGTTTGATGTGTGCCCTCAAGATCAGGAAGCCATTGTTGCAGAACCGCTTGAGGGAAGAACTGGCACCATACAGATGCCATAGAAGTCGGTTCCTCGCCAAAATCCCATTCCTGATGATCATGGCACCATCGACCGCAACCTCTCGAAGCACCACTCCCTTCGCAAAGATCCTCGAGTCCACACAGATCCAGGCCATTAGCGACGGTGAAGAGTACCAGGAAGGCCTTCAGCACTATGCCATGCTTGACTGCATCCTTCTTGAGCTGCTTGAAGACCCCATGTTGACTCTTATCTATGCGCTGTCCTTCCACTAGATATCGTCGCACCCGAGCGAGTGTCCCCCGAGTGCATTTCGTAGATCTCCGGGCCGTTGCTGTGTGGAAGCGTTTTGGTTCGCCTCGTCTCCCGCAGACCGCTGGGGACCCGACTTGCTTCTTTGGGCTTGCTCGATGATCTCTGCGACGGGTTCTCGGACCGCTGCTCCAGGACTTGTAGGTCGTGAAGATCCACTGCCGGGCGGCTGGCCTCCGCCTTCCCGCCTTCCCCTTGCGATTGATTGTCACCTCCTTGCTCCAGTCGTCCACGAGGTGCTGGTAGATATCGTGGATATTCTTGACCCCGTTGCGTAGTGATCTTCTCGGCCTTGTCGTCCACCACCGCTGTCGTGCTCGAGGAGGATTCCGGATGTGGTTGCGTTGGTTGGATCTCTTCCGGCCGATTCCATCTCGAACCGCACCGAGCGCACGTCCACCACTTTGTCCACGCGTTCCCTCGGCACCTTAATGCATCCGCGGGGTGGTTGCATTCCTGACGAGTCTTGGGGAACTCCTTGTGGGCTTTGCTCTGTTCCAATGGATTGCCGATTGCCTGGCTCACCGGGCCCGTACGCTTGACCTTGTCCTTCTTCTTCTTGTAGGGGATCTGGATCTCCGTCACGGTCTTCTCCTCCTCCAAGCTGCGTCGGGTCCAGTGATCCACCAGGGTTTGTTGCCGCGCCGTAGCGAGCATCACCATGACTGCGGTGGTCAGGCGCTTCCACGCAGCCATTGTCTTCACAGATCCCATGCGTCGCTGTGGCAAACTCCCCTCCTCCTTCTTCTCTTCTTCGGCCATCCGGAGCGCTCGATCTCGAAGACTGGCCATGCCGTGCTGGTCGAGAAGGTCGAGGGGTGGCACTACAGAACCACTTTGAGGCTGCTTTCAGCACATAGCCGCTGCGGAGGGGGCAGAATCAGTGTAGAGCACCTGGTCGAATGCTTGCTCATACTCTGACTCGACTGTCGCATCCAAAGGTACATCATCGCAATCCCCAACAAAGTGTACATGCTTGCAAGGAAGGGCTACCTCGTGCTTGGGCGTTGGGAACTCCAGGGCCTGAAGACACTCCCGACTGTCTTGGGACAACTGTTGATACGTTCTTGTGGTGTATGCTGTGATTGCCACACGGTATCCCGTCCACCTCATTGAGGCGTGTCGGCGTCTGGGATCAAACAAACAGGCACGGCATGATGTGCGTGTTCACCACCGAACCCCGAAGTTTCCGCTCTCGGAGAACCTTCTCAACAGTCCTTGCTTCGGCTTCTTCACCCTCTAACCACAGCTGCCCACCATCGAAACTGCCGACGGTCACGGTCACATTTCTCGAGCGACGACAGTTGTTCGAATCTCTGTGGGGTCTCGCCAAGGTCTGGATTCCGATGAAGACTGAAGACCAACCATCATGTTCGCAAGATCCCAAAGTGTGCAATAACCACCTATTGATATACCGACACAGGTTGGGGTACTTCTTGGTGTTCGTGGTGAGTCCATCGAATCCTCCATGAACAAAAGCACCTAGCGCGAAGCACACGCCTTGTTTGCCGCCTTGCACTTTGTTGGGCTGTCCCGACTTCATTTCCATGGAGAGCTGGATTAAGCTCTGCTCGGAGAAGTCCTCGGCATCTAAGAATCTAGGAGGCTTCGAGCGAATTGCTCAACTTTGGCCGCGTTGGAGTTCTTCAGACCCCGCGATTGGTCCAAGCATGCACGACCAGAGCCGCCACTGCAGTGCCCGCGAGTACTGCCGAGCCACCAGCAGAACCACCACCGGGAGAACTCTGAAAGGCGCTGCGAGGTCCATTGGTGGAATCGTTGTCAGGAGGTTCCAACGACGTGCCAGACTCTAGCGGTGCCACTGCGGTAGCCGCATCCATCTCCTGGAAGAAAACGCGGCCTATGTAAGGCTGCGTCACAGGTTGTCGGGCCGTTGACGGGCTCATCCAGGAATCGCGAATGTGTTGGGGCTCACAGGATGGACGCACAGCAAGAGTGTGCCGCTCAGAAGTGAGATGCCGAACTCGATCCAAGCCAAGATCTTCTGGACAAACAAGGTGATGTTGCCATCCCAAAAGTTCATGCACGAGATGGAAAATCCCCGGCTGAACTTGCAGGAAGCCTTGCACTTTAGGCTCAGAGTGCCAGCACGAGGCACAGTCGAAGATGGCGTCGTGAGTCCAAGGCGGGTACTGTTCCCAGTTCGATGCCGGCGTGCTGGTGAGGGACATGCTGCGTTCAACCTGCATCGCGGGCAACACAACTGAGGTCTGGGACGTGGTCGAGTCTATGCGAAAGGGATCACGACCGTTGACAAAATATTCCTTGGGAAGCTCCCAGGGTTGCTTGTGGAACTGCAAGATATCCACGGCTCGATGTCCTGATTGAAGCCTTGTCATAGGCGAAGATAGTCCCGACGGCAGCCGTATCATCCCTGACTCTAAGTCGATGACCGCTTTAACAGCTTCCAGGTAAGAGATTGGCAACAGAGGTGGCGTACAGAAAGCATCGGAATCTTGCAGCACATTCATGAAGCACTCCTTGTTGCCCTGCCAGAGCAGTGGGTATATCCACAGTTCGCAGCACAGTCGCTGCGCCGCCAATGCCTGCACAGGGATTCGCCGCGATGCCCGACTCAACTTCCACGGGGCGCAAGTTGTAGCGCTGGAGTTCCTGGGTGAGCTTATGCAAGGCTCGATCTCCGATTACTCCATCTTCTGCAGCAGTGTCAACAAGTGCCTCGAAGCCTCTGACTTGCACTCCTGCAGTTTTTTTTTGGGTCTTTTTTTTTTTTTGTTTTTTTTTTTTTTTGGTCGATTTTCTTGGTTTTCTCTAGGAAAAACCCTACTTTCCTTACATTTTGGACGGATTTTCTGTCATTTCCCTTAGGTTTTCGTTGGTTTTTCATAGGGAAAAACCTATTTTTTACATTTTGGACGGATTTCCTGTAATTCCCTTAGGTTTTCCTTGGTTTTTCCTCGGGGGAAAACCCTATTTTCCTTACATTTTGGACAGATATCCTGTCATTTCCTTCGTTTCTTGGGCTTTGAAGCACGCTTGGTACGGCTTAAAAGAAGCTGGGGGGTTTGGAGGGGGGGCGCAGCCCCCCCACTTGCAAACACCTCTTGGGCTTTGAAGCACGCTCTGCGCGGCTTCAAAAAAAAAGAGCGGGGGGGTTGGGGGGGGCTCACATGATGCTTTTCAACTAGTTTCTTGGGCTTTGAAGCAAGCATGGTACGACTTAAAAGAAGCGGGGGGGGTTGGGGGAAAACACAGCCCCCCCCCCCATTTGCAAACACCCTGCTCACATGACGAGTGTCAACAAGTTTCTTGGGCTTCGAAGCACGCTCTGCACGGTTTGAAAAAAAAACAAGGTTTTCGTTGGTTTTTCCTAAGGAAACCCTCTTCTGATTACATTTTGGACGGATTTCGTCAAACGTCAAAGCGTACGTTGCTTTTCCTTAGTTTGTCCTAGGGAAAACCCTATTTGGTTCGTTTTCTTGGTTTCTATCATTCCCTCTATATTTTCATCGGATTCATACTTTTTTTTCAACTAGTTTCTCGGGCTTTGAAGCACGCTTGGTACGGCTTAAAAGAAGCGGGGGGGGGTTAAAGGGGGCGGGCGCCCCCCCCCCATTTGCAAACACCCTGCTCACATGATGGGTGTCAACAAGTTTCTTGGGCTTTGAAGCACGCTCTGCACGGCGGGGGGGGGGGGCGCAGCCCCCCCCCATTTGCAAACACCCTGCTCACATGATGGGTGTCAACAAGTTTCTTGGGCTTTGAAGCGCGCTCTGCACGGCTCAAAAAAAGCGGGGGGGTTGGGGGCGCAGCCCCCCCATTTGCAACACAATGCTCACACGATGTTTTTCAACTAGTTTCTTGGGCTTTGAAGCACGCTTGGTACAGCTCAAAAGAAGCGGGGGGGGGTTGGGGGGGCTGTGCCCTCCATTTGCAAACACCCTGCTCACATGATGGGTTTCCACTAGTTTCTTGCGCTTTGGCTGAAAAAAGCAGGGGGGTTGGGGGGGGCGCAGCCCCCCCATTTGCAAACACAATGCTCACACGATGTTTTTCAACTAGTTTCTTGGGCTTTGAACGGCTTAAAAGAAGCGGGGGGGGGTTGGGGGGTCTGCGCCCCCCATTTGCAAACACCCTGCTCACATGATGGGTGTCAACAAGTTTCTTGGGCTTTGAAGCGCGCTCTGCACGGCTTAAAAAAGCGGGGGGGTTGGGGGGGGGCGCAGCCCCCCCCATTTGCAAACACAATGCTCACGATGTTTTTCAACTAGTTTCTTGGTCTTTGAAGCACGCTTGGTACGGCTCAAAAGAAGCGGGGGGGTTGGGGGGGGGCGCAGCCCCCCCCCCATTTGCAAACACCCTGCTCACATGATGGGCGTCAACAAGTTTCTTGGGCTTTGAAGCACGCTCTGCACGGCTTAAAGGTTGGGGGGGGCGCAGCCCCCCCCATTTGCAAACACAATGCACACACGATGTTTTTCAACTAGTTTCTTGGGCTTTGAAGCACGCTTGGTACAGCTTAAAAGAAGCGGGGGGGTTGGGGGGGCTGTGCCCCCCATTTGCAAACACCCTGCTCACATGATGGGTTTCAACTACTTTCTTGCGCGTTGGCTGCAAAAAAAGCGGGGGGGTTAGGGGGGGGCGCAGCCACCCCCATTTGCAATGTTCACACGATGTTCTTCAACTAGTTTCTTGGGCTGCCCTTGGGCTTTGAAGCACGCTTGGTACGGCTTAAAAGAAGCGGGGGGGGTTGGGGGGGGGCGCAGCCCCTCCCATTTGCAAACACCCTGCTCACATGATGGGTGTCAACAAGTTTCTTGGGCTTTGAAGCGCGCTCTGCACGGCTTAAAAAAAGCGGGGGGGTTGGGGGGGGCGCAGCCCCCCCCCCATTTGCAAACACAATGCTCACACGATGCTTTTCAACTAGTTTCTTGGGCTTTGAAGCACGCTTGGTACGGCTTAAAAAAAGCGGGGGGGGGGGTTGGGGGGGCTGTGCCCCCCATCTGCAAACACCCTGCTCACATGATGGGTTTCAACTAGTTTCTTGGGCTTCGGCTGAAAAAAAGCGGGGGGGTTGGGGGGGCGCAGCCCCCCCCATTTGCAAACACAATGCTCACACGATGTTTTTCAACTAGTTTCTTGGGCTTTGAACGGCTTAAAAGAAGCGGGTGGGGTTGGGGGGTCTGCGCCCCCCATTTGCAAGCACCCTGCTCACATGATGGGTGTCAACAAGTTTCTTGGGCTTTGAAGCGCGCTCTGCACGGCTTAAAAAAAAAGCGGGGGGGGTTGGGGGGGGCGCAGCCCCCCCCATTTGCAAACACAATGCTCACACGATGCTTTTCAACTAGTTTCTTGGGCTTTGAAGCACGCTTGGTACAGCTTGAAAGAAGCGGGGGGGCTTTGAAGCGCGCTTCTGGGCTTCGGCTGAAAAAAAGCGGGGGGGTTGGGGGGGGCGCAGCCCCCCCCATTTGCAAACACAATGCTCACACGATGTTTTTCAACTAGTTTCTTGGGCTTTGAACGGCTTAAAAGAAGCGGGGGGGTTGGGGGGTCTGCGCCCCCCATTTGCAAACACCCTGCTCACATGATGGGTGTCAACAAGTTTCTTGGGCTTTGAAGCACGCTCAGCACGGCTTAAAAAAAGCGGGGGGGTTGGGGGGGGCGCAGCCCCCCCATTTGCAAACACAATGCTCACACGATGTTTTTCAACTAGTTTCTTGGGCTTCGAAGCACGCTTCCTTTCTTCCTTCCTTGCTTCCTTCCTTTCTTCCTTCCTTTCTTCCTTCCTTGCTTCCTTCCTTTCTTCCTTCCCTCCTTTCTTCCTTCCTTCCTTCCTTCCTTCCTTGTTGTTTTCTTCCTTTCTTTCATCCTTCCTTCCTTCCTTTCTTCCTTTCTTTCCTTCTTTCCTCCTAAAACCTACCAGAAATAACGCTTTCCTATGAAACCACAGAGAAATTACTGTTTTTCGTACGAAAAACCACGAAAATGCATCAAATCCTTTAAAAATATGGAGGGAATGGTGGTTTTCTTAGGAAAAACCAAGAAAATCAACCAAAAAAAAAAAAAAAAAGGCCCCCCCCCCCAAAAAAAAAAATAAAGACCCAAAAAAATAGGCCCTCCACCCTAAACCCTAAACCCTATACCCCTAATTTCGGAAACCCCTAATATGACGACCAAGGCCTGGTCTCCATGTAGCTGTGACTCATCTGCTCTTCATGCTGGGCCCGAGCAGTGCCTTGCTTTGTACGACTTCCACATGCAGGGTTCAGGGTTCAGGGTTTCGGGTTTAGGGTTTGGGGGTAGGGTTTGGTTTGAAGTTTAAGGCTGTTGCGGCTGTTATGGACTATACATGGCTCTCTTAAGCTGTGAAACTTCACCACAGTCGAATTTGCACGTCATTTTCACAAGGCACCCACACCACACCGGAAGAGTTGAATCCGATGCCCATGGGCTCTCCCATGGCCTCACGAATCCAGATACTGATCCCCTCTTGCAACTTTTACACAACCCAAACCCCCAAACCCCCAAACCCCCAAACCCTAAACCCCTAAACCCCTAAACCCCTAAACCCCTAAACCCCTAAACCCCTAAACCCCTAAACCCCTAAACCCCTAAACCCCTAAACCTCTAAACCCCTAAACCCCTAAACCCTAAACAGCTGCACGTCGCTGATGGCTTCGTCGTGGAGCACCCGGCCGACGTGAAGGGACTGTTCATGCTGAGTCTGGCTCATGCTCACGGACTCCTGGAATTAATATAGGGGCCTGAATACTTGGAATCAGTTTTCTTTTCTTTTTTTTTTTTTTTGGGGGGGGGGGGGGGGGGGTATTATAGTATAAGTACAAAGGGACCCTAGGCCCTAAGGGAATACTATTAGTATTTATTCCGACCCCTATTCTACGGTGCAGTTGGAGTAACGAACTAAATATCAGGCCAAACCAGCGGGGGGAAAGAGAGTCACTCTTGCTCATGTCCGAAGTATCGTGCTATTTAAGCGCACTGCGCCTTGGAAATTTCCGGGTGTGCTGTGGCAATGGTTGGACGGATTCAGTTCTTGACGTGCTGAATGTGCTCATGTACGTAGGTTGCAAACCTCCTCGAAGTATGTCTCGATATACCTCACCTCGTGACGCTTGCGACCCAGCAATACTTTGCATGAAGGTACCCTGTATCCTGCCGAGGCACTGTCAAGTCCAGAATCGACTTTGGGCTTGCCGTTCGCGGCATCAACCCTAAACCCTAAACCCGCATACTTTTGGACTCTGGTGCGGTTGCCCTGATGCGGAGATCCGTGTGATAAAGTTGCAGATTCCAGTGGAGACGAAACTCAGTTTGTCTGGCTGGTTCTAAGTAGGAAATGAAGGATTGGGGATCAGAGGCTTTACTGGGTTTAGGGCCTCTGGGTTTAGGGTTTAGGGCTTCTGGGCTATACCGGAAGCACCTGAGTCCTGAATGTTAGACCCTATAAGCCTACTATAAGCCCTAGGCGGAGTCCTCGTGCTGATTTGAGCTGCACCGGACCGACCTGCGTGGACTCAAGAACCCTAAACCCTGAACCCTAAAACCTAAACCCTACACCCGAAACCGTTGAGGGCTGCAAAGGCCCGCCGGAGCAAACTTTGCGAAGCGTCTGAAGGTTTCGGGTTTAACGTCTTCAGGGCCTACCTAGAGCAACTGTAATATGGGGAACTCTACCCAATAGTGAAGGTGCATATGTCGAATACAGGGTCCTCTAGGAATTGCATAGGGTTTCAGCGGTGGCGACGAAGGTTTGATCTTCAGGGCGTTGGTTCAGGGGTTGGTCCTGTGCTGTAGGGTTTACCCTAAACCCTAAACCCTAAACCCTAAACCCTAAACCCTAAACCCTAAACCCTAAACCGTTTAAGGTTTAGGGTTTCGGGATTTGTCTCGAAAGGGTCGATCTCCGAACTGAACTCCAAACCCTCCCTCCACCCAAGCGAAGCTCAACACGGGAGCTACCAGGGTGTTCTGGAGGCTACAGCGGATTTTGGGGGGGTCATTAAGCACAAAACCCCGGAAAACCCTTAAACCCTATAACCACTACATCCCCTAAATCCCTAAACCCTTGTAACCCGCATAACCCTTCTGACCCTTGTAGCCCCTAAACCCCTAATCTCTACCCATATAATTACAACCCCTAAACCCCTAAACTCCTTGATCCCTAAAACCCTAAACCCTTAAACCCTTATAAGAACCCTAAAACTCTAAAACCCTAAAACCCTCAAACCCTAAAACCCTAAACCCTAAAACCCTAAAGCCCTAAAATCCTAAAACCCTAAACCCTAAACCCTAAACCCTAAAACCCTAAACCCTAAAACCCTAAAACCCTAAAACCCTAAACCCCTAAACCCCTAAACCCTAAACCCCTACATCGGTGCCACGGGGCTCGAGGTGCTGGAAGGAGCTGGCTTTCATGGCCTCCTGGTGCTGCCTGTGGCGTTCGCTGGAAGCCGCTTTAGGGTTTAGGGTTTAGGGTTTAGGGTTTAGGGTTTAGGGTTTAGGGTTTAGGGTTTAGGGCTGCCTGCGGCCGCACGAAGGCTCGGTGGAAGCCACGGTTTGGAGTTCGGGGACTTTTTGGGGTTAGGGTCTAGGGTGTGGGATTTATGGGGTTTTATAGGGTTTTATAGGGTTTATAGGGCTTTATAGCGTTTATAGGGTTTATAGGGTTTATAGGGTTTATGGGGTTTAATTCTAGGGTTTTCTTCCAGGGTTTTTTTATAGGGTTTTTAGGGTTTAGGGTTTAGGGTTTAGGGCTTAGGGCTAACTGGGGTTGGAGGTGTATAGGGTTTATAGGGTTTATAGGGTTTACAGGGTTTTAGGGCTTAGGGCTAGCTTAGGGTTTGAGGTTGAGGGTTCAGGGCTTAGGGGCTTATTTTGGGGTCTAGGGCGTTTAGGGCTCGAACTCTGCATCTGCTGCGGATACAAGGAAACTTAAGGTAAGATGCGATCATCATATATGTACATGTCTATATGAAAGGAATGTAAGTTTCTTCACGGCAATGCAGCACGATGTCGCAGTGGACAGGGCGCCGCATGAACGCAGACTGCTTTCGTTGCAACTAGCGAAAGTGGTGGTGTTGTCGCCCACCCCTGTTCCTGAAACCCCAAAGCCCTTAAATCCTTGAAGCCTTCACCCCAAAGCTCGAATTGAAGACCAAACCTATAACTACAGTCCTTAACCTGTCCCAGCTGGCCAGACCCTCACCCCCTTCAAACCCTCAAAGACCCTTGAAAACCCGAAAGACCCAAAAAACGACCTAAAACCTCCAACCCTAGAAAACCCTCTGAAACGCCGAAAAAACACCAAAAAAACTACCCAACAACCCTAAACCCGGATAAAACCCTCTAAACCCCCCTAAATCCTAAATCCTAAACCCTAAACCCTAAACCCTAAACCCTAAACCTGGAGGGGGGCCTCTGGGCCGCTTCTAAGGCATCCAGATGCTGTCGCCAGCTGTCCCGCACCCCGAGGATGCCTCGGGAGCTGAAGCTTCTGAGGGTTTAGGGTTTAGGGTTTAAGGTTTAGGGTTTAGGGTTTAGGGTTTAGGGTTTAGGGTAGGGTTGAGGTTTTAGGGTTTAGGGTTTGGGGTTTAGGGTCTCTAAGGGTAGTTTCAATCACTTGCGGGATTAGAAGGGTTTAAGAAGGATCTAAGGTTCAGGGGTTGAGGGTTCGAGTGTTGGGGAGTTGTCTCAAAAATCTGGGCCCTGATCAGGGATATACGATCGCAGAGACCCTGCAGATACCCTAAACCCTAAACCCTAAACCCTAAACCCTAAACCCTAAACCCTAAACCCTAAACCCTAAACCCTAAACCCTAAAACTTAACCCTAAACCCCTAAACCCTAAACCCTAAGCAGAGGCCCGTAGTTTGGATCGAAAGGTTTAGGGTTCAGGGTTTAGGGTTAAGGGTGTAGGGTTTAGGGTATACCTTAAACCCTAGACCCTGTCGACCCCAAACCCTCTGGTGGTGTTTGGATTTGTTGGGATTCGGGGTTCTGGGAGTGCGGGTCTTCAGGACTTTCAGGGCTTAGGTTGTTTTTGGAGCTTAGGGTTTAGGGTTTAGGGTTTAGGGTTTAGGGACCCTAGTTAGGGCTTAAGGTTCAGGGCCTTCTGGGCTCACGGCAGCGAGGGCTCGTGGCTGCAGAGTTGAGGTCGGAGGGATTGGTATCTGAATGTTTAGGGTTCAATCCTCAACCAAAAACCAAAACCGTGGGGGGGTGGGGAGTGTTGAAGGTTTTGGGGCTTCTTGTGTTTTGGGCTTAGGGGTTCGTCTGTGGCGGGGGGGGGGGGGGGGGGGGGTTCAAGCCTTCAAGCCTTTAGCCCTAAACCCTAAACCCTAAACCCGACAACCCTAGGGCTATCTTGGCCCTAAACCTTAAGACAAGAAGCTCACACCCATGTCCACCGCAGGCATGGAGTTTACCAGCACTTCCTCGGCACAGGCAAGGGATAAGGTCTAGGGTTTAGGGTTTAGGGGTTTAGGGTTTAGGGTTTGGGGTGTAGGGATTGTCCGGGATTGTTCTTTGAGGGAGCCCTTCTAAGTAGGGGCGGCTCTCATTCTTGGAAGGAAATAGAGCATCGGTTGCCTTACAATCATGCCTGAGCAAGGAGCGTTCCCGAAGCCCTCTTGAGAGGGGACCCTACACCCTGAACCCTAAACCCGCAGAACTTAGCTGACACCCCCAAGTACCCTGAGCACCGAAAAGCCCCCAGGACCTGGGGGGCCCTCTCTGATTTTCAAGCTATCGCTACAAGGGTTGAGGGTTTAGGGTTGAGGGTTAAACAAAAAGAGTTTAGGGTTTACGGTTTAGGGTTTAGAGTGTAGGGTTTAAGGTTTAGGGTTTAGGGTTAACCAAAAAGAGTTTAGGGTTTAGGGTTTAGGGTTGAGGGTTGAGGGTTAAACAAAAAGAGTTTAGGGTTTAGGATTTAGGGTTGAGGGTGAAAACAAAAAGAGCAGAGTAGCAGCGCAGGACAAGAAAGGGCTTTAGGGTCTCGGATAGCCCGTCTAAGGTATATTCCCTGCTGTGGCGTTCATCGATGTGAAGTAGGGTATATATTTCTGTTTTTGGTGAGTGTATATAGGCTCCTTTTTAATATTGGTGAGTGTATGTACCGGGTGTCCTTTTGGGGGTACAAGAAATATATACCCTACTTCATGTCATGAATCTGGGGTCTCCCAGAAAGTAGGCCTCCTAAGTACACCCTTAGCGGACCCAACGACTCAAAGCCCAGGTAGCGACAGAACTGGTGTGAGACTTACTTAAGCATCCCCAAACCCATAAACCTTAAACCCTAAACCCTAAACCCCAAACCCATAAACCTTAAACCCTAAACCCTAAACCCTAAACCGTAAACCCTAAACCCTGAACCCTAAACCCTAAACCCGAAACTCCTGAAGCCTAAGCCCTTGTTTGCCACGGCAGCAATGAAGGATGAACGTTTGGCCTCTTTGGTGTAGCAACCACATGTCGGAAGCCCCAAACAAGATCCCGAACATGGACACAACGCCAGCCTAAACCCTAAACCCTAACCCTAAACCCTAAACCCTAAACCCTAAACCCTAAACCCTAAACCCTAAACCCTAAACCCTAAACCCTAAACCCTAAACCCTAAACCCTAAACCCTAAACCCTAAACCCTAACCCGAAACCCTAAACCTAGGCTTAAGAAGCTTCAACCTTTTGAGCTGCGGGTTCCCTAAACAGTAAACTGCTGTGTGCCTGGCTGGGACCAAATGATTCCCCTGATTTTTTCTTTTTGTTGGTTTAGGGTTTAGGGTTTAGGGTTTAGGGTTTAGGGTTTAGGGTTTAGGGTTTAGGGTCTAGGGTCTAGGGTCTAGGGTCTAGGGTCTAGGGTTTAGGGTGGGGGGGTGTCATACACCCTGTTCTACAAGAATCCCGGTTCCAAGGCGCCGAACCCAGAAAAAACGAAACTTGCTGGCGTTGGGGTTCATGTAGTCAGGGGTAAGGAGGCAGGGTTTCTGATGCCAGCAAGCGTCCAGCACGGCTCTGAGCCCATTCTGAATCATGGCGGCTGCAGAGGTTCGCCGCCAGGCCAGCGTATGGAAGAAGCTCTTAAGTGCTTCAGTTTTTGTTTTTTAAACCTTCAGCCCTAAGCCCTTAAACCACGACTGGCCGTGTATGAATCTACGCAGACATGCAGGGATGCAGGGGGTCGAACTTGGTAGCCAAGTAACCAGATTGTAATAAAGGCTGCCCTGTTTAGCGTAGGTGACGTTAAAAGCCCCCACGAAAGGCAAAAGGGCACCACGGGCTACCATAGTCGAGGGCAAGACCAGCATGTGCACGTAGCTAGTGGCATTTCAGTGCCCATGGCGGCTTATGGGTGTTGGGTTTAGGGTTTAGGGTTTAGGGTTTAGGGGTTGGGCTACAGGCTCAGGGTTTGGGGGGCTACTTTCATGTGCCCATGTAAAAGATAGGCTTCTGTTGGCCTAGCGGCCTTTCTTCGTTCAGAACTGAGCCCGAGCATTTCCAGTTCGGTGGCACTTGCGCCTAAACCCTAAACCCTAAAATCCGAAATTACTCGAGAGTATCAGCTTGGGACCTGTAGGGCATTTAGGCAAGCTTGGCCCATGTCACTGCGGATCTGGGAAGGGTTGCTAGGTGTAAACTTCGGGACTTGGGGTTTAGGGGCTCAGGGTTTAGGGCAGGCTTGGGGAAAGTTTAGAAAAGGCTGGACCATAGGGTCCTTATGAGACTGCTCGAGGCTTTAGGACTTTAGGGCTTTTAGGTTTAGAGACCAGGCCTTCTCAAGTTTAGTGAGCAGACATGAGGGTTCAGATTCCGGAAACCCCCAAATGCTCAACTCCCGACCTTTTGCCTTGGGGCAGTGCTCAAACTTTGGTTCGAGGATGGATGTTTAGGGTTTAGGGTTTAGGGTTTAGGGTTTAGGGTTTAGGGTCTAGGGCTTAGGGCTTAGGGTTTAGGGTTTATGGGGTCTACAGTTTTGGTAGCTGGGTTGTTTGGTTGGTTGAAGGGCACTGGGTTTAAGGTTAACATCATCCCGGAAGTCCAAGGACCTAAGCCCTAGCTAGGGCTTAGGGTTTAGGGCTTAGCGCCCTTCGCGCCGAACTCGCATACCCGAAAAAACATAGCTGTTCCCAAAAACGCTTTAGGGTTTAGGGATACTTCTGGAGAGCAAGTCAACGTGCTTACCTACGTACCCTATGGCCACAAGAGCCGCGACTGGAGGCCAGGATTCCCTCAGCCCTAAAACCCTCTCCCCTAAACTATAAACCCCAAACCCTAAATCCTAAATCCTAAACCCTAAAACCCTAAACCCTCAACCCTAAACCCTCAGCCCCAAACCCTAGTCCCTAAAATCCTAAACCCTAAACCCTCAGCCCTAAACCCTAGTCACCAAAATCTTAAACCCTAAACCCCAAACCCTAAACCCCAAATCCTAGTTCCCAAAATCGTAAAACCTAAGCCCTAGCCCCTATTACCCTAAAGCCCTAAAACCCTAAATCCTAAACTCTAAACCCTAAACCCTAAAACCTAAAACCCCTAAACCCTAAACCCTAGTCCCTAAAGGCCTAAACGGAGGGCGCCCAGGTCCTGCTCCTTTGGATCGGTCGCAGACAGCTTCAGCATTTCCTCGGGGCACCCTAAGCCCTAAGCCCTAAACTCTAAACCCTAGCCCTAAACCCTAAACCCTAAACCCAAAACCCTAAACCCCAGCTTTAAACCCTAAAACCCTAAACCCTGAAACCTGAACTGCTAAGCCCTGGACCCTAAACCCCCTGAACCCTGCACACCCGAAACCCTGAAATCCGACGAAGGGGCGTAGAAGCGCCTCTTCGGCCAGCCAGCAATGTCCAAAACCTCCGGGTTTTGGGTTAGGGGCTTAGGTTCAGGTTTAGGGGCTAGGGTTTAGGGTTAAGGGCTTAAGGTTCAGGGTGCCGGGTTTAGGGTTTAGGGTTTAGGGTTTAGGGTTTAGGGTTTAGGGTTTAGGGTTTAGTTCAGGGTGTGGGGTGTGGGGCTTTACGGCTTGGAGCTCGTGGCTTCGGGATTCTGGTTTACAGTTTGGGCATTTTTGGAGTTGGGGCGTGGCGTTTGTCGTAGGGTGTAGGGAGACGGGGGTTTATGGCTTTGGGCTTTAAGGTTCTAGGGCTTTAGGATCACGTTAGGGAAGCCCGGTAAGGCCTACTCAACCCAAGAAGAAAGCATCCACCCTTGAAGACTATTAATTAGCTCAATCCCCTACCCCCTAAACCTGCTAAACCTTGGGATGTTCCCCTTATTCTAACAGTCCTTAATGGGGATTATGGTTTATACTACCCCCTATTACAATCCCTCTTAAGGACTGCAGGGAGAATTTCCCCGCCTAAACACCCCAAAACCCTAAACCCCAAACCCCAAACCCTCAACCCTAAACCCTAAACCCTTAAACCCCAGACCCCAAACCCTAAACCCCAAACCCTAAACCCTAAACCCCAAACCCCAAACCCTAAACCCCAAACCCTCAACCCTAAGCCCTGGCACCCCCAAGTCTCCTAGGAAATTGCTTCGCGACGTGCTCCCATTCTTTTCAACAAGGTCAAGAATTCCCTTCATGAATGACACCGAGACCCTGGTCTCAAATTAGGGTGTAGGGTTTAGGGTTTAGGGTTTAGGGGTAGAACCACTAAACCCAAACCCCAACCAAACTTCAACAAAGATGCCTTCAAGACTGACGCCGAGACCCTAAGCCTGAAAACTTCGAAACCGCGTAATCCACGAAACCCCAAGCGCTAACCATCAACTTCAAAAACAAATGTCTTCGGGCAGTGTTCTCACGCCTGTGGTTGTTCTCACTCAGTCCATTTATGGGGTTCCTTTCTAGATCAGTCTACTGTATTCCGCTGTATATGTATGAAGGTACCCTGGAGAGGCCCCGAACCTCAAACCCCTAAAGCGCAAAACCCTAAACCCTAAACCCTAAACCCTAAACCCTAAACCCTAAACCCTAAACCCTAAACCCTAAACCCTAAACGCCACACCCTAAAACCACAAAGCCCCTCTCTGATCGACAGAGGCCTCGGTCAGCAAGGTCCTGGCCTTGAAAGCGTTAGGGTTTAGGGTTTAGGGTTTAGGGTTTAGGGTTTAGGGTTTAGGGTTTAGGGTTCAGGGTTTAGGGCTGGGATGAACAGATGAGCTCTTAGATGCTAGTCTGATACCCCTCGCCAACGCACGCTGATCTGCAGTTGCATCAGGCAAAATGGCTTGGTGTATCTCCGGAATTGACTCGCTCGCTCGAACGTGCTTTCGTTGATCCCAGTCCAAAGCCGCAGACCTATACCTTAAAAGCCCGAAGCCCTAAAAAAAGGAAGCCGTAGAGCATGCGTTAAACACCCTGAACCCTAAACCCGTAGGCCTATTCACCTTACACCCTGCTACCCGCCGACGCACAAGTATCACAATCGGCCCACGCCTTAATTCAACATAAACCTGGAGGCCTAAACCCTAATCCCTAACCACATTAACTAAGGAACAGCGGCTATAAGGGTATATGGGGCCACATACCCTTGAATTGGAAGTGTTCCCGTGGTAACTCACTCCCTCTAGGGATACACAGTCTAATTCAAATCTTACCCAAAACCCAAACCCTGAGTTCAAAATCAAAAGCCCCATGGCGCAAAACCCCCCAAAAAACCAAGCCTCTCAGGGTTTAGCCCCCCAGACCCTTAACCCTCACTAAACTCGAACTCCACACCCTTAAGCCCTAAGCCCCGCCCCCTTGCAAAAAAGGTAAGCAAAACTAAACCATCCACCCTAAACCCTAAACCCGAAACCCTAAACCCTACACCCTAAGCCCTAAACCCTAACCCCTAAACCCAGTTTAACCCTAGACCCTAAACCCTAACTTGCAAGCTCGGGGCCGTGATCACTTCGGGAAGGGGAGCCGAACGATTGGAGTCGATGGGCTGGATGTGCAGGATCTCGTCACCTCATTGAAGGTTTAGGGTTTAGGGTTTAGGGTTTAGGGTTTAGGGTTTAGGGTTTAGGGTTTAGGGTTTAGGGGTTTAGGGGGGATTAGGGTTTAGGAGCTTAGGAGCTTCGGGGTTCAGGGTTTAGGGGGGCTTGGGGGACTTTCTCGAGGGCTTGGGGGGGTTTAGGAGGGCTTGGAGGTTTAGGGGGGCTTGGGGGCACTTGGGGGGTTTAGGGGGTTTAGCGGCTTCGGGGTTTAGGGGTTTCGGGGTTTGAGGTTCAGGGGTTCAGGGGTTCAGGGGTTGAGGGGTTGAGGGGTTCAGGGGTTGAGGGGTTTAGGGGTTTCAGGGTTTCGGGGTTTAGGCTGAGGCTTTCAGGGGTTTCGGGCTGAGGGCTAGTGCGTGAGGGTTAAGCCACCTAGCGCTTTAGGGCGTGGGGTTTCTAAGGGTAGCTGGATGGTCCTGTGGTATGGGCCCTTAAAGAGGGTACCCCTTATATGCTCCTTACATACTCAAACAAATGAAGGTTCAGGGGTTTAGGGGTTTAGGGGTTTAGGGGTTTAGGGTTTAGGGTTTAGGGTTTAGGGTTTAGGGTTAGGATTTAGGGTTTTTGGTTTAGGGTCCCATACATCAGAACCCTGCTGTAAAGGAGGTTAGTGACCACATTCAGTGCCCATGTGGGGGCTTCTGCATTGCAGCCGTCCAACCCTGCACTCTGAACCTGACACCCCAAACCCCAAACCCCAAATCTCAAACCCTAAACCCCAAACCCGAAACCCGAAACCCTAAGCCCTAAGCCCTAAACCCTAAACCCTAAACCCTACAAGAGCTGCGGAAGAGCCACCGTTGAGCTGCAAAGCCTTCAGGCAGATGTCGACCTGGCACTTGCGAGAGATTGTCTGGTCTCCGCGTCTTTGGGTTGCTTACGGAAGCCTCAACCCCAAACCCTCAAAGCCTCAAACACCTAAACCACGAACAGTTAACCCCAAACCCCAAACCCCAAACCCTAAACCCTAAACCCTAAACCCTAAACCCTAAACCCTAAACCCTAATTAAACCCTAAATTAAACCCTAAACCCTAAACCCTAAACCCTAAACCCTAAACCCTAAACCCTAAACCCTAAACCCTAAACCCTAAACCCTAAACCCTAAACCCTAAACCCTAGCCCTAAACCCTAAACCCTAAACCCTAAACCCCGAAACCCCACCATTCCTGAGGGCATGTCCCCACCTGCTGCGTGGAGTTCTTGGGCCACACGCCAAGGGAGTCGCCCTGATCGTAGGAGAGGCCGCTGCCTCAGGGATCAGGGATCAGAGGAGCTTGGGAGTTTAAACCCTAAAAACCCTAAACCCTAAACCCTAAACCCTAAACCCTATAACCTAAACCGCGGCCAGAATCCAGTTTGCGACCTGTACGGCCCAGGACACGATCCCGGACTTGCTTGCTGAGTCGGTCCCGATACCTGGATCGACTTTGCAAAGCTGATCAGATCTGGGGCCCCTGTCGTTAGGAGCTCCTGGTATTTTTTGAGCTCTTCATCTGTCAGCTTGCTCCGAAGAGATTTCCGGGTGGGCCGTGCAGGTGCTCTGCCAGTCCTGGGTGGAGTCATCGATGTTCTTCACGCCAGGTGTCGCCAGGGTGGGAGACCTTGGTGCAAAAATCCTCGTTGCGGCCTTGAGCAAGACCAATTCGTCCTGCACGTCGTCTCATGAGCGTCCGTCAGTGATGCGGATTCTGTTCCCGAACTCATCCCGGGAACCAAGTCTGGGGTATTTGGGGGTGTTTTGGGCTTTGGAGGTTTAGGGTGGTGGGGCTTTGGGGCCTGGTGTGGGCTTTTGGGGATTCAGGGGCTATAGGGTTTACGAAGGAGACTGGCTGTGATTTCAGGGTTTCGGGTGTGGGGTTTCAGGGTTTGGGGATTTCGTGACCAGGGTCTAGGGTTTGGGGCTTAGGCCATCTTTCTCCGGCTTCTGTGTACTTGCCTTTCCTTCCCTAAAATCCTAAACCCTGAACCAACCCTAAACCCTGCAGCCCGAAACCCGAAACCCGAAACCCGAAACCCGAAGCCAGCAACCCGAAACCCTGAAACCCTACACCCGAAACCCTAAAAACCCAAACCCCAAAACCCAAAACCCAAAACCCCAAAACCCTAAACCCTGCAGCCCTAAACCCACAAAAAAAAACCGAAACCCTGAAGCCTAAAACCCCTAAACCCTAGACCCGAAGCCCTAAGCCCTAAACCCTAAACCCTAAACACACTGGAAGCCTTCCAGGTTGAACTCGAAGTGGTCGATGGCGCGCTCGTAGCCCTCGGGAACGGTCGACCTTCTCGCCGCATAGGTTTAGGGTTTAGGGTTTGTAGGGTTCAGAGTTTAGGGGTTAGGGGTTTGGGGCTTGCAGTTTCGGGTCAAAGGGTTTGGGGTCTACCATAAACCCTAGAACCCTAAACCCTAAGCCCTAGTTTTTAGGGTTTAAACCTGACTGTCTTGTGGCTTACACATACCCTGATGTCTCCCCACGTCGTTTAGGCCCTATTTACATGGCTTCGAGTTTCAGGCTGAGGGATGGGAGCTTAGTTTGGGCTTTTTCGGGCTTTAGGATTTAGAAGACATAAGGATTCAAGGTTAAAGGGTGTAGGGGTTAGGGCTCAAAAGACATAAGGGCATAGGGCTTAGGAATGTTTAGAAGAAATAAGGGTTTAAGGGTTTGAGGGCTGGGAGGGAGGCGCAGGGCGTGCCTGCTTGCTGCCAGTTCGCCTTGTGGTGCTTGGTTTATAAACAGAGATTAACTTACTTAACGCGTGCTTTAGTGTCAGTCCCCTAAACCCGAAACCCTAACCCCTAAACCCTAAACCCAAAACCCCAAAACCCCAAACCCCAGCCTCTTCACCGTCATGGACACGGCCTTGGAACCGTGTGGCACGAAGGGCTCGGAGGCCATCTTGGCCTGACAGCAGGACGGGTGTTTAGGGCTTAGGGTTTGTTTAGGGTTTAACCCCTTCCCCCTAATACTAAATCCCTCCCCCCCCTCCCTAATTCTGAAATTTGCCTGGGCCCGAAAAATATTTAAGATTTGGGGGGGGGGGGGGGTCTAGATCCTAAAACCAGAATTCCGAAACCTAATAATTTAACCCTCTAAGCCCTGAGCCCTGGATCCTAACCCTGGAACCCTAATGGCTCAACTCAAGGGCGAAGGCCCTGAACCCCTCCCCCCCTAATTCTCAAACAGGTTTAGTATTGGGCTGGGTGCCGGCAGGGTCCGGGAAAAATATATTTAAAATTGGGGGTGGGGGGGGGGGGGGGGTAGCATTAGGGGGAAGCGACTAGGTGGTTTAGGGCTTAGAGTTTAGGGGGGGCTGTGACTGGGAGGCCCCAGCAGAGTAGACAGGGTTGAGGGTTTAGGGTTTCGCCAAGAGAAGCTGCGAGCTGGCCCCGCAGCGTCGCGTCGGGGCTCTTCTTTTGGGGCTTTTGGACTCAAAGGCTCTAGTCTATAAGGTTCCTAAACCCGAAAGGCTAAAGGGCCTAAGCCCTAATCCGATGTGTAAGGGTTACAGGCTTTAGGATGGTTTCTGCTCAGGAGGTGGTCTCTGCTTGGTGGTATTCGGGGAGCAGGTGTTGAGGGTTTCGGAAGGTTGGGACTTGGTGGGGTTGGGGGGTTTAGGGGCGTTGAGGTTGGCTCTCAACCCTCAACCCTAAACCGCCCCTAAACCCGAAACCCACACGCCGTCCCCAAGGGTTTCGGGTCTAGGGGGTGCCCTAAGGCTCCAAAGACTTTTTGGGGCCAAAGGCCCTATTATCAAAGGTTTTTGGGCTATTTTGAGCCTAAGGGTTAGGGTTTAGGGTTTAAGGCAAGCCCTAGACCCTGATAAAGAACTTTTTTCAATCACGAAGCCACAGGCCCAAGCCACGTGCCTTGGGATCCTCGGCCGGCAGGATTTCCACCAGGTGCGATGGCGGGCTCAACTCCTGCAACGTGCTGAGCTCTTGGGTTTAGGGTTTAGGGTTTTAGGGTGTAGGGTTTAGGGTTCAGAGGGGAAAGGGGCTTCAGGGTTCACGAGGGTTGAATAGAAAGTACGGTTTAATGTTTAGTAGCCCCCTAATCCTTATACAATCCTTCTGAAGCCATAAACATTTAACTATTTGATGTATAGGGCCGGCCCCCAAATGGTATTCATGAGGGTTCAAACCCAAACCCCAAACCCGTGCTGAAGCTTGTGCTTCTCCCCACATCCCTTTCCTGAACCCTGAGCCCGCGTTCTCCCACCCTTCCCAGCTGCCCCTAAACCCTAAACCCCTCCCCGCCCTAAACCCACAAAAGCACATAAACACCACAAGGCCTGCGTCTTATGAGAAGCTGTAGACCCCGCGAAGTCGAAAAAAGCAAGCCTGAACCCTAGTTTAGCAGCCCCTCCGTCAACCTTTCAGAGTCCGCAGCCCCCCCCCCCCCCCCCAAAAGCTCAGCCCTCAACATAGCAAAAAAGCCCCGAAAAACCCGGGTCTCAAAAAGCCCTCGCACCCCAAAAGACGCCTCAAAACCCAAACCCCAGACCACCTATATGAAGCCTGAACCGCGAGCCCTCAAACAACAGAACTCAACAGACCCCTCAAAGCCCAAAAGCATGGCCGTCTGTCAGGCTTCCTACGGGGGTGGGGCAAGCCGCCAAACCCAAGCTCTCACTCCATTGCCATAGCTTTACGAAAACAAAACGCTTGCAAAACCTGCGTGCACGGCACGCCCACGACATGTGGAAGAACCCATCCGTCGGGCTCACGTCCGCAGACGCAACCAGCACCCTGACCTGCTTGGCCTGAGGCAGCGGTCTCAAGATCACCAGCCTCTCTATGGTGGCAGTCTCCTCACAATCTGGTGCCAGAGCCAACGCCCAGGCGTCGACGCCAAGCTGGGCTGGCGTCTTCCATCTTACCAGGAGTACAGACTGTTGTATACTTACCGGCCCAAAACCCAAGGAAATAAAAGTTGAAACTTTCAGAATAAACTACCTTATAAGAAGCCCAAAAGTTGAAAAGTTGGGTTTTGAACCAGTAAGTATGTACACCAAGGCAGAAGATTTTGCCGTGCAGAAATAAATTGCCGGGACCTCTGGCCTCTCAGCCTTGGGCCCCCAAGCACCGCAACCCTAAGCCCTAAAACCCTGAACTCTAGGCTCTTAGCTGGGGCAGGTTTGGGGGCCCAACAAAATTCAATTCTGGCTTTATAAGAAGTATATAAGGATTAGGGGGCGCGCCCTGTACACTCCCCTAAACCGTGAACCCTAAACCCGAAACTATGAACTCTAAACCCTAAACCCCTAAACCCTCAACCCTAAACCCTCAACCAACAGAATTCAAAAGAATGCTCGCCTGAGGAGGCTCAGGGGCTTCGATGCTGTCAAAGAAGTCGGGGCTCCATTCCTCAGGGGGGGGGGGGGTGGGTTTAGGGTTTAGGGTTTAGGGTTTAGGGTTTAGGGTTTAGGGTTTAGGGTTTAGGGTTTAGGGTTTAGGGTTTAGGGTTTAGGGTTTAGGTTAGGGTTTAGGGTTTAGGGTTTAGGGTTTAGGGTTTAGGGTTTAGGGTTTAGGGTTTAGGGTTTAGGGTTTAGGGTTTAGGGTTTAGGGTTTTGAGCCAGACAGGGCTTCACAAGGGACATTTCGGGGGTTGATGGGCATGGGACTGCAGCATAGCACAACTCGTTCGGTGGTCCTTCCCTGCGGAATGCCTGATCCCCAACCCTGAATCCTGATCCCGAAATCCCAAACCCGAAACACCACACTTGGCATCTTCCCCCCTATACTAACGGTCCTTAATAGGGATAAACACAAGGGGTATGATAATCCCTATTACAGACTGCTAGTACAAGGGGAACATCCGAACCCCAAACCCAACTAAACCCTCTGTGGACTCCAACCCCTCAACCCCCTAACCCCTCAAACCCTAAACCCTAAACCCTAAACACTAAACCCAAAACCCTAATCCCTAAAGGCACCTAAGCCCTCCCCCAAAGGGCCTCGAGCTCGGTATCGAAGCGTGCCTGGGTGTTGGAGAAGGGCTCTTAGGGCTTTTAGGGTTTAGGGTTTAGGCTTTAGGTTTTTGTTTAAGGCTTCTAGGGTGCTTTCTTGGGGCTTCTAGGCTTCTTAGGTATTTTAATCTAGGGCGTTGCAGGGTTTTAATAAGGCTTTTTAGGGCTTTTAGGGTTGCTAAGGGCTTTTAGGGCTTGTTCGGGCTTTGCAGGGTTCTTCGGCTGTTTAGAGCGTTTAGGGTTTTAAGGGCTTCTTAGTGCTTTGAGCTTCTTATGGCTTCGTAGGGTTTTTGGTGTTCAGGGTCATCAGGGTTTCGGGGCTCAAACGTCTAAAGTGCCCTCCCCTCCCCCCCCCCCCCCCCCCTCAAAGGAACAGAGGGGGTTGGGAATACATTTAAGCCCAAGCACGTCTAAACACCCTGAATAACCCTAAACCCTACTAAGCCCACCCCCAAAATACCCACAAACGAAAACCTAAACCCTAAACCCACCCCAAAGGAACCCAAAACCCTGAACCCACACCCCAAGGAAAACCGACAAAGACCCCCAAGAAAACCCTAAAAACATCCTGAACAGTACCTAAACCCTAAACCCTAAACCCTAAACCCTAAACCCTAAACCCTAGACCACACGTTCGAGCAGCACAAAAAGATGTCCTGCCAGGTTGCCGGGTGCTGGTCGTCTCCCATTCCGAGCCTGGGCAGGGGTTTAAGGGGTTGGGTTTAGGGTATAGGCAGAGTGTGTATCTAAACATATATATATATACTTTTTGTATCTAAACATATACATATATATATATATATATGTATATATACTTTTTTTAGTTATGTTTGTCTATTTATAAAAATCTAGATAGTCATTTGTTATTCAAGGCTTAGGGGAGCAACATTCTAACACCTGAGCAGAAACATCACCTACCCGAAGCCCCAAACCGCAAACATCTCTAAGCAAACCTAAACCCTAAACCCTCTGAACCCTAAACCCTAAACCGAAAAGCCTAAACCCTAAACCCTAACCCCCCCCCCCCCAAAAAAAAAAAAAAAAAGTCTGCAGAACAAAAATGCTGCCCAAGCTGCTGCTGCACACGCTCGGCGCCCAGTTTCTCGAAGGCCGCGTCGATCTTCCGGGCGGCCTCCACGCCGAGGGAGCACTTGGAGGTTCAGGGTTTAGGGTTTAGGGTTTAGGGTTTAGGGTTTAGGGTTTAGGGTTTAGGGTTTAGGGTTACCCCGAAAGACTGGCAGATCCAGACCTCTAAGCAGTAGGGTTTAGGGTTTAGGGTTGTTGCGTGTACCCGGGTTTAGGGTTTAGGGTTTAGGGTTTAGGGTTTAGGGTTTAGGGTTTATCTGAATCTCGCCTCGTTGAAGAAGACGTAGGAGGAATCGCCCAGGCCGAAAACAGCAAACTTGGTGTCCTCGCAACATTCTCAGTTGGTTTCTAGGTCCGAGGTCCTAGGTCCTAGGGTTTAGGGTTTGGGGTATGGTGTCCTCGCAACATTTTCAGCTGGTTATTAGGTAGGGTGCAGAGAACGTTTAGTTAAGATTTTTTGCAAGCCCAAACTGGCCCTCCTACAGCAATCCGTTCCTTTACTTCCGTTCAAAAATGGCGGTATTTGGGCATTTTCCAAAATAGGGGGGGTACGCCTTTCATACCCTAAATAGACTAGAATCCCCTTAAAGGCCCCCGCCACCCCCCCCCCCCCCCCAAACCCTAAACCCTAAACCCTAAACCCCAAACCCTAAACCCTAAACCCCCCTCCATCTGTCCTTGAGGTAGTCCGCCGGTGCGGTCTCCAAGAAGGTCTCCATGTCCTGCAGGGTTTAGGGTTTAGGGTTTTAGGGGTTCGGGTTTCGGGTTTAGGGTTTTGAGCCACCGGGGAAGGGGGGGGGGGGGGGTTGTGGATGGGCGTGGAGGGGAAGCTGTGTAGGGCCTTATTTTGGTTGTATATAGTTTGTTCTGACACAACAATACGATAGAATAAGAGGAGATGCAACATCAACACATAACAGAGCCTGGGCTCCACAACTTGAACCGGAATGAGGGTTCACCGCCCAGCACCAGTCGAAGGTGTAGGGAAGCCCAACCATACCCCCCACCCGCCTTCAGGTGTTGACTAGCTGCATCTCGTCACGGCCGCTTGTTTGGGATCCCCGGCAACATACAACTTCTAGGTTCGGGCCGTTTTTTTACGTTTTTTTAGGAACCTAGAACCCCCCCCCCCCAAAAAAAAAAAAAAAAAAAAAAAAAACTAGAAAAAAAAACCCAGAGGAATATCTAGCTAGACTTACCGCCTCGCCGCATCAAGGCCATGGCCCTGCGGGCCCTGCAAAAACTATGTCCTTTATGGCCGTATAACCATAAGGAATATACAAGGATTGGGGGGGGGGGGGTAACCCTAAGCCCTAAACCCAAAACCCTAAACCCTAAACCCTAAACCCCTAAACCCTAAACCCTAAACCCTGTACAAAAAGTCAAACACCGTTTTCAAACCAACCCCTGCATATTGGTCCTGCCAGAACTTCACCGCCGACTTGGGCATCTCACCTCAAAAAATGTGTCCAAACGTTTAGGGTTTAGGGTTCAGGGTTCAGGGTTTAGGGCGAGCTCGGTGGTTGATGACATGCATGGTTTTTTCGGGTCTAGGCTTTAGGGTTTGCAGCTTTAGTTGGGGTTTAGGGGCTACTGTAGGGCTTTTTTGGTTGTTATAGGGGTTTAGGGTCAGGGGGGGGGGGGGGGGGGTAGCTAACCTCTTGTTGAAAGTTCTGGCGACGACGAATTCGGGCTTCAGATGAACATTTGTGGCTTAAAGCTTGCAATGGTGCGCCACCTTCAGACAGACATGCATCTTGCACCAATCCCTGCACCGCCGTGCTTACTGCAACATGGCACATGGTCAGGCAAACTTGGCAAACACATCAGCGTCGAAACACATGGCCTACCCACGAACGTTTACAATTCCCAATGGGCCCATGCACCTATAGTATATACTTGGGCCTTAAAGGGATTCCCATATACTACCTTTAGGGCCCAAACCCGAAACCCGAAACCCTAAACCCAAAACCCTAAACCCTATCATGGATTCTGAGGGGGTCCTACTATAGGGGCACCTACGGACCCTTGGGGATTGAGGGCCTTGGCCAGCAGTGGCAACAACGGCCAGGATCTTCGACTCCTGGCAGGGTTTAGGGCTTAGGGCCAGGGTTTAGTGCTAGGGTTTAGGGATTTGGGATTAGGGATTAGGGCTTAGGGTTTAGGTTTAGCGTTTGAGTTCTAAGTCCAATTCTCGTGGACGGCTGAACCCTAAACCCAAACCATATACCCTAAACCTCTCTACGCAACCCTAAACCCTAAACCCCAAATTCAAACCCTCTCCCCTAAACCCGAAACAATAATCAACCTGGCTTTAGGTTTTCTAGTTGTAGGGCGCCGGCACCCCGTCCTCGGGGAGATCGCTGAGGGAGACGTCGTTGAAGGAGAGGCATTTAGCCTTCATGCCTGCTTTAGGGTTTAGTGTATGGGGTTTAGGGATGTTTGGGGTTTTGGGCTGAGGGATGTTTACGGTTTAGGGTTGAGGGTTTCTGGTTCAGAAGGGCCGTGTAAACAATGCGCCCCTGACTTCTAAGTCAGGCGCTTGACGCCTGAACTCCAAACCCTTAAACTTCGATTCCTCAGCATCTTACACTTAAGAAAATGTGCTGGGGTGGGGGGGGTTCGATACTAAGGGAACCCTATAACAGGACCCCGTGATCATAAAGACCCCCCAATCAGGTACTCCCCTCCCCCAAAACCAAAAAAAAACAAACGTGGGAAACAATCGGAAAGCTCCTCAGGTCCTTGTTGGTTTCACTTGGTTCATAAGCGAACCCGGCGATGCATAACACAGGAAAGCAGGGCATCATACTGGGCGTCCATGTCCTATCGGTTCGTATGGACTTTCCTGGGCAAGGTTTAGGTTGTCGGGCTTAGGGTTCATGCTTTGACTAAATTAGGATTTCGGGCTTGTCCCTAAGGCCCTAAAGCTCTATATGTCTAGCATAGAGCCCTAAGTGGTTCATGGCCCTTTCTCATGCCAGGTTGTCGGGTTCAGAGTTTAGTGGGCAAACCCTAAACCTTAAACCATAAACCCTAAACCCTAACCCTAAACCCTAAACCCTAAACCCTAAACCCTAAACCCTAAACCCTAAACCCTAAACCCTAAACCCTAAACCCTAAACCCTAAACCTAAACCGTAACAGCAGTTGAGGCTAAACCCTACAACGCTAAGCCCTAAGGCCCTGAGGCCTCTTCGCTTGAACTCGAACTGGAAGTTCTTCGCCACCATCTCGGCATTTCCTGCCATGGATGGGTTGGGAAGCAGCGTGCTGGGGCCTTCTGGGACACCCTGAACCCGAAACCCTGCGAACCCTAAACCCTGCGAACCCTGCAAGCCCTGTGAACCCTGCGAACCCTGAAGTCTAAAACCCTAAACCCTAAACCCTAAACCCTAAACCCTAAACCCTAAACCCTAAACCCTAAACCCTAAACCCTAAACCCGAAGCCAAACAAAACAAAAAACCAGACTTAGACCCCGAGCCCTCAAGCCCGAAAGCCCGAGCCCCCAAACCTTCAACTTACCCAGGTTTTTAAAGGGAGTTCTGCTCGGACCCCTGAGGATGTACCACGAAGAGGTGTCCCTTAAAACTACTCCTAATATGGCCGTTCTATTCCCTCTAGGAACCTTTAAAAAGGGTACCCAAACCCAAGGCTAATCATGCTCCTAAAATGGCCCTTATATTCGTCTAAGAGCCTTTAAATAGGGTACCCAAACCCAAGGCTACAACCTTCAGGGTCCAAGGCAGAGTCCCAGGATGGTCAGAGAAGCCGGGGAGGTTTTCCCAAGCCCCAGGCCCTAGAATCCTAAACCACCTAAAGCCCTAAACCCTAAGCCCTAAGCCCTAAACCCTAAACCCTAAACCCTAAACCCTAAACCCTAAACCAACGACCTGTCCGAGCCAGCACCTCGAAACAACGATCCGTGAACGCCAAGTACAAAGGTAGCTCATACTGAAACCCTACATCCGAAAATCTGTACCCCCAAACCCTAAGTCCGAAAGCCTGCACCCTACACCCTATAGGCTTTGGGGGTTCGGGTTTAGGGTTAGTTTAATTGGGGTCTAGGGCGTGATGGCCCTTATAAGCTTAAACCCGACAAAAACCTCTGACGCCGAAAAAGAAAAGGGGCCCCTGGCCTGTGTCTGTGCCGTAGAGGACAGTCACGCGCTCACCGGTAACCTGTTACTGCAAATCTAAAGTTCGATGGGCCCTGTTGAGCTTCAAGGCTGAGGGTTTAGGGTTTGGGGTTTGGGGTTTAGGGTTTAGGGTTTGGGGTTTGGGTTCACGGCTGTGGGGTTTAGGGTTTTTCAAGTCCATGACATCTCGTTCAAGTCCGGTGCAAGGGGAAAAGGGTTCCAGGGGCAACCTCCTTGCTCACTTGGGTTTAGGGTTTGGGGTTTAGGGTTTAGGGTTTAGGGTTTAGGGTTTAGGGTTTAGGGTTAGATGCCAGGAGTAGATCGATCTCGCAACGATCGGGCCGGTCCGAAGTCCTGCATGTGTTCTGATCCTTCCTGGCCACTTGAACCATGTAGTCGAGCGCACCACAGTCAGCGGAAACCCTAAACCCTAAACCCTAAACCCTAAACCCTAAACCCTAAACCCTAAACCCTAAACCCTAAACTCATGCTTCCAGGAGTTGATCCAGTCAACGAACCTGCGCGACGACAGACTGAAGGCATGATCTCCCCAGAGAGGATCTGCAAGCAGCACCAAACCCTAAACCCTAAACCCTAAACCCTAAACCCTAAACCCTAAACCCTCAACCCTAAAAGACCAGGAGAGCTGCGGACGCGAAACCTTAAGCTGACATTCGCATGCTTCTTCCTTACCTTCCCTTCCTAAGGGGCAGGGCCCGTAACTTACATGAATGGCGTGTGGTTGACGATCTCTTAGTTGTCCAGTACCTAGGGGTTTTAAAGGTTAACCTTTGGGAATATAAGGGGAATATATTAACCCAAAAAGGTTAAAGGTTAGCTACTCTACTACTAAGATCTGGGATCCAGAACACGGTACCGAAATGGGCTTCTCATCTTGGTTGTCCTATACTGAGCCTGGAAGCCTAGCAAAAATCTCTATAATTTCAGCTGTTCCTGAGGAATCACAGTACCCAAGAATGAGCAATAAAAGCAAAAGGTACCAACGCACTGAAGAACCCAAAAACTAAAAACATGTCACAAGTGTCACTACAGTACCCAAATAAAAAAGGGCTTAGGGTTTAGGGTTAAGGGTTAAGGGTTTGGGGTTTAGGTTTAGGGTTTAGGGTTTAGGGTTTAGGGAGTATCACTAAGTTACCCCCACTTGATGTAGGGTGATGTAGGGGCGCCTGCTCACCCATGCACTTCTTCAAGTACTCGAGGAGGTCCTGCCGAGGCTGAGCGTTCCCTAAGCCCTGACCCTAAACCCTAAACCCTAAACCCTAAACCCTAAACCCTAAACCTCCAGGGGTGCTACCTCGGACCCTTAAGGTTGTACCCTTGGGTTTTGGGGCCCCTTTTTGAGGATCCTTAAGGGAATATGAGGGCCATATTAGGAGTATATCAGGGGGAACCTTTAGGGGTACAACCTTAAGGGTACGAGTCTGAATCCCTTGAAAACCCTAAACCCTAAACCCTAAACCCTAAACCCTAAACCCTAAACCCTAAACCCTAAACCCTAAACCCTAAACCCTAAACCCTAAACCCACCCCAAAGCCCGAATAAACCGCGAACCCACCCAAAGAAAACCAGATCTTGTAGTCTGAAGCGGGGTAGATGTCGCGTTAGCCCATGGCGCTGCAGCCAAAACCCCGTCTATGTTGATGGTCACACAGCTGCAAGAGAAACAAACAACGTCATCTCAATACGGGTGGATCTGAACACGTTAGCCCTAAACCCTAAACCCTAAACCCTAAACCCTAAACCAAAAAACGAAAAAACGAAAAACCCTAAAACCTAAACCCTAAACCATACTTGGTCGGTGCTGGCCCGTCACCGCATGCTACCAGGATTAATCACCCAAGCACATCCAAACTACCTGTGAACCATCGAAGGTTGCCAGACGACTGATGAACCATCTACTCGAAACCACTCTCTGTCAAAGAAGTTTACCAGGTTGGGTGAAGCCGGTGAAGCAACATCTATCCCAAAGCCTGTCTTTAATCCTACATGGTTTAGGGTGTCGGGTCTCTCCTCAGAGGCCCTAAACCCTAAACCCTAAACCCTAAACCCGAAACCCCTGAATCCTAAACCCGAAACCCTAGACCGGCGAAAGAAAGCAGCTGTCCTCATCTCCCATGGCCTTGCGGCGACGGGCCTCATGGCGGCTGGTGAACCTCGGCTGCACTTCATCTCGGCTTTCAAGTATGGTTTGGGGCTTGGGGTTTGGGGTTTAGGGTTTAGGGTTTGGGGTTTGGGGTTTAGGGTTTAGGGTTTAGGGTTTGGGGTTTGGGGTTTAGGGTTTAGGGACATGGGCCCCTTGTTGTACAACTTGGGATGTTTCCCCTTACACTAACAGTCCTTAATGGGACTACCTACTAAGGACTGTTGGTATAAAGGGGGAACATCCCAATACATAACCACAATAGACAACCCTTAAAAAATATGTATTATGAAGGGCCCATACTTCAGATCCCTATAATCCTAAACCCAAAACCCAAAACCCTAAACCCCAAACCCCAAACCCTAAACCCTTTACAAACAAGGGTCGGGGACCATATGATGGGCCCATGGACTTGGGCCCGGGGCGTTTTTGGGTTTAGGGCCTCTGGGGTGCCCCAGTTTTCCGGCTTTACGGGAGTTTAGGGTTTAGGGTTTAGGGTTTAGGGTTTAGGGTTTAGGGTTTAGGGATCACAAGTTCGGTCCACCTTGGTAGCCCCTGAAGCCCTACATCCTCAACCCCAAACTCCACAACCAAGGATGCATGAAACGACTCATGCTGGGTAAGTGTTGATGCATGTTTAGCATGCCCGAAAAACCTACATACACCCTAAACACCCCAAACTCTCCCAAGCCACAAACTCCCCCCCCCCCCGTCAAATAAACACAAACTACATCAACAACAAAAAGAATCAATAGCAAGCAAATGAAAAACAACACAATCTCAATGAGAGCTAAAATCAAAATGGAAGCCAGAAGGGGCGGAGACCTTACATGGGTTCAGGATTAAACGACTAGAGTGCAGGATTGCGTACTGGACCCGCAATATAAGGTTCCGCACAATACAAAACACAAACTTAGAGAGCAGGGAAAAACCAACAAAAAAAACACCCGTGTATATAGAGTTACTTTGCTTAACCCCCATAGAGTAAACGCTTGTTTTGCCCATTTGGGGTCTGCTTTAGATGATGGGGCCCTTTTCGGGGAACCCTCGATTCCCCTAGATGTAAAGCTCCGCATTATCATGGGAACCTCAAATCGGACCGTGGTTTTCAGAACCACCCGCCCCCAAACAAGAAAAAAAGGAGTCCGTAAACAGAAGGGTGAGCTAAGACTTCTGAAGTCACTGATCCAAACCCTAATCTCTACATTTGTAGGCCCTAGGAGGTTTAGGGCTTAGGGTCTGGCCCTAAACCCTAAACCCTGAAGGTTTAGGGTTTTTAGGGTTTTGGGTTTTTAGGGTTTAGGGTTTAGGGTTTAGGGTTTAGGGTTTAGGGTTTAGGGTTTAGGGTTTAGGGTTTAGGGTTTAGGGTTTAGGGCTAGCCCAGGCGCTCGTCCTTCATGGCGCTCTGGAGGAGTTTGGCATGCTCGGGCGCAGTGCGCTGCAGGGAGGTGAAGCGGTTCCTGGAGGCTGAGGGCGTCCTACTACGGTTTGAGTTTAGGGTTTAGGGTTTAGGGTTTAGGGTTTGGGGTTTAGGGTTTGGGGTTTAGGGTTTTAGGGTTTAGGGTTTAAAGGGGGGGATCAGGGTTCAGGGATTGTCGGCGGCTTTGGTCTGGGGCTTACGGTTTAGGGTATTTAGGGTGTAGGGATTAGGATGTGGGTCCTCGGGCTTGAAGCTGGGGGCTTAGGGCTGAGGGGTTTCAGAAGGGGTACCCTAAACCCTAAACCCTAAACCCTAAACCCTAAACCCTAAACCCTAAACCCTAAACCCTACAGACTTAGGGTTCAGGGTTTTCAGGCCTTCGAGCCCCCTGGCTTCCAAAAAAGCGTTCGCTTGGTGGTGTTCAGGGTGGCTTCCCTAAACCCTAAACCCTAAACCCTAAACCCTAAACCCTAAACCCGAAACCCTAACTCCCTAAGGCAAAAGCTCCAACCCTACATGCCCGAATCCACAAGCCCTAAAATTCCCCCAAGCTCGAAACCCTGAACCCTAAAACCGAAATTCCGGTTCAAGGCGGGAACTCAGCCACTGCGTTTTTGGGGTTTTACTGCAGTGACTTCCCGCCTCCACAAAAGAAAAACAATCTAAAAGCCTTCAAGTCCCATATCTCGTGCTGAGACGCGATATTTGTGCTATATTTAAGAGATAAGTACCAAACTACATTTTGCGAGGGTATACGAAGCGTACGTTCCTTTTGCAAACCTTCCACGCTGAATCATCGGTGCTTCTGCCTAAGCAATGACGAAAAGTCAGGCCATTGGCCTAGCTAACTCGGGCCATGTTCTTGAAGTCAACCATTGTGATATTTTCACGACCGAAGCATTTCGGCGACTGCGTCTTCAACAAGTTTCGCGTCTGCTGCTCGTTCAAAGAGCTGTCCCGAGAGTGCGTTCTGTGAAGAGACTTCCCATCTTGGGTTGTGTAGTGTTATCCAGACCATGTGTTAACAGGGTCTCAAGGTGCGATGGCTAAACAAGGTGAGGGAGTTAGTACTAAATTACCTGTCCAGCCGTGGAGACCTTAGCTGCCCAAGAGTCCGTCCATGAAGAGCACACGTTAATAACATTGTTTTACGGGTGAGTGAAACGCACGGCGTACAATATATAATATCATAACGTAGTGCATTCATGAGGTTGTTTCGTTCATGTGTTCACACCCCTAATAATCATAGTACTTTGAAGGGACCGCATGAATATTGCTATAATGTGGCCCCTTAACATTAATATTATTACAGGGATAAATATACAGACTTTCCTTAGGACTTTCTCCTCTATTCAGTTCACCCACGACATGAAGATACTAATCATAGATCCGTGAATGACATGAACGGGGAAAAGTACAGCTTCTTTCTATGGACAAAAGACGTCTTTCACCCTGTCATTTCTTTAAGAATGGCATTATTAACCCAATCCTTCAGAATCAACTTAGTCTTACATTTGCGTAAAAGCCCTTAATCTATTTCTGATTTTGGGGGGGTTGTCCTGTTTCTGAAGCTCTATTATTTGTATCCTTGTTTTGGACATCGTTGTATTTATTATCTTGTCCAACTTTAGGGATGTGGCCTGGAGAAGCTTTGTGAATTAACTTATGCTAATACACTTATTTTATGTAATGCTGCTATATCTTTAGGAAGTGCTTTTGTTAATTTAGGAATTTCCTCACAATATACTATTTTCTTCACTTTGTGGTCATTCTATTTATCTTATCTTTTTATTAGTTTGTGGATTAAAGAATTTCGTATTACGTTAATGATTCACTTTATACTCGTAGGTGTTTCTTTCTGTTTTCTTACAGCATTACATTTGTTTCTTCTAATTCTTGGTATTTGCTTCGTTTTACTATCTTGCTTTTCGCATTCACGCCTTGCCTAGCTCCAGATTTGGCCCGGCACGTGTGCGCATGCTTCAACAAACGTGAGAGTGCTGTATTGGTTTTTTTGGTCGGCTGCATAACTTCCCATGGTGTGCACAGGTGGAGTACAACAAAACTCTAATCCTAGTAAGCAAGGCTCATAGAAACTAATAAACAAACACCCATTCCCAAAAATAATGCAAAACAACAAAAGCCTAAACATGCAGGACTCGTGGGAAACTAGGACACCGAAACCAAAAAAATCAGACACAAAAACCAATTCCCCAAAACCAAAAAAACCAATACCAAAAAAATCAAAAATACCAAAACAACCAATTTTCCGGGACTTTTGATTCGTAAGCTTTATTTCCACAGCTTTCACAGAGTCCCGGAAAATTGGTTTTTTTGATTCTTTTGGTTTTTTTGGTATTGGTTTTTTTGGTTTTGTGGAAATTGGTTTTCTGGGCTTTCTGTGTTGATTTGGTTGGTTGTCGGTGTTCCTGTTCTCCCAAAAGTCTTGCAAAATTCATATTTTTGGGGTTTTGCCTATTGTTTCACATGGTTTCTGCGGTTTCAGCAATTCTGGCCTGATTGCTAAACCTCAAAAACGCAGCGGCTGAGAAACCGCTTTGAACCGAAATTCCGATTATTCCCACAAGCCCAGAGCTCCAGAAACCCTCAGGCCACAAACCTCCAGACCCTGGAAGGTTCATGGATACAGGTTCATGGATACTTGTCACTCCAATTATAGCTGTGCTTATACTAAGGTCCCCTGAGCCCCCTGAGTAGCTTACAAGTAGTTATAAGTCCCCATGAGCCTCCTATAGTACCCGGAACCTTAGAAAAGCTTAGGGAGCTTTAGGAAGTATTGGGAGGGGGGGGGGGTATTAGGGAACCTTGGGTTACATGCCCCCGTTGAACCCCTCTCCCTTAAGAACCCTATAATCGGATGCCGCCCCGGCACTCGTTGCGCATCAGGGTGTCCATGGCATCGCTGGAGATGCGCTTGTTGTCAAGCTCGAAGCCGTTGAAGTCCGTGGACACCTTGCGGAGCTTCTTGGGCTAGGGCTGTTAGGGTTTAGGGTTGAGGGTTGAGGGTTTAGGGTTAGGGTTTAGGGTTTAGGGTTCAGGGTTTAGGGTTTGTTAGGGCCTTAGGCTGTACAAGTTTAGGTTTGGGAGATAGGAGAGATTGCCAACAACCTAGTTAAGCCCAAACCCTGAACCCAAAATTCCCGAATCCCTGAATCCAAAACCCGATAAAGGCTAGCATATCCACGACTTCTCTTTCTAGACCCTTTCTACCCATAAATTTCTCCATAGAACCACCAAGAACCTTCTCACCTCTGGGCCCAACTCTGAGGCCCGAGCCTAAACCCTCGGGCAGCCGCACCCGGCTACAGGCATGGCGCAAGAAAGACTGGAACTGCAAACACAGACTCTCTAATTAGTCCCATGCAGCCGGAGTACTCGCATCACCTGGCCTGCTAGGCCCTCCTTTTGCCGCTGGCGGTGCTTGCGGTGGTATTATAACCTGATGTGGCACGCTGCCTTTTGGGCAAGCATCGAGGACCGAGGAACATCCAGGTAACATTGGTGCTGGGATTCCAGACAACGTGTAGACCCCTTGCTGCAGCACCACACTGGCGGTTTTTGCTGGGCGGGTGGCGGCGGCCCTTCCACCACCAGCGGCGGTCTGTACATCCGCAATGGAACTCGAATTTAGGGATTTAGAGCTTTTGGTTTCGGGTTTAGGGTTTAGAGCTTAGGGTTCAGCAGCTTAGGCTGTTGCGGGTTTACCAGGAGCAAGACATGAACATCAAGAACCTAAAGCATGAGCAAACATCCAGCATTGAAAGCTGGCATATCCAACATGTCCACAAAAGGGCGGATTTACGCAACAAACCCTAAACCCTAAACCCTAAACCCTACACCCTAAACCCTAAACCCTAAACCGTGGCAGGCTGAGCGCCTTGTCCGGGTTGTAGCGGTACATCGGCCAGTAGCCGCTCTCGACTGCATTCACCTCGGAAGTATAGGGTTTCGTGTTTGGTTTCGAAGGTTTGGAGGTTACTGGTAACACCTTCGTAGGTGTTCAGTGTGGAGTCTTGATTCTCCAGGGTATGAAGCCCCCTCAGTGTCTGCAGGGTTTGGGCAAGAACAACGAAAGACACTGAGACTCAAATAGGTCCCCCCACCCCCTGCACCCCCCCCCCCCCCCCCCACCTCCCGCTCCCCCAACTCACGGAGGACCCCAAACCCTACAACCCTAGACTCGAAACCCAAAAACCCGAATCCCGAAGCCCTAAACCCCAAACCCTACAACCCAACCCTACAACCGCAAACCCTACAACCCAAACCCTACAACCCAAACCCTGAACCCTCGAAGGACCGATCAACTGCCTTGCTGCGGCGCCTGCTGCTGCACCCTAAACCCTAAAACCCTAAAACCCAAAAACCCAAAAACCCAAAAACCCTAAAACCCTCAAACCCTCAAACCCTCAACCCTAAAACCCTAAAACCCTAAAACCCTAAAACCCTAAAACCCTAAAACCCTAAAACCCTAAAACCCTAAAACCCTAAAACCCTAAAACCCTAAAACCCTAAAACCCTAAAACCCTGAACCCTAAACCCTAATGCCTAAAACCCAAGCCCTACAAAAAAAAAACCCAAAAAAGACCCTTTAAAACCTATAAAACCTTTTAAACCCAAGCACTAACTCCCCGCCTGCTGCTGCACCATGGCCTTGTCGCCTGCGCGGTGGCCCCAGTCAACGCAGGTGGCATAGGCAATCACAATGGACGGACCTGTGTAGGCTTTAGGGACTTTAGGGTTTAGGGTGTAGGGTGTAGGGTTTAGGGTTTAGGGTTCAGGGTTTAGTGTGCCTGTGCAGCAAGCTTTGTAGTTTAGCCCGATGCTTCCAGGGACCTAACAATTGAGTCCTGCAGGGTTCCGGTAACCTAACTGGTAGGTCCCTGGAAGTTTGAGGTTTGGGGTTTGGGGTTTCGGGCCTGAAGAACCCAAAACCTTCTTTTGGTAGGTCATTCCTAGAGAATCCGCGCATAGGATTCGTAGGTAACCTATATAAGAAGTAGGTTTGGGTTCTTAAGGCAGGGGTTTAGGGCCTACAGTGGGCTTAGGCTGTCGTAGGTTTTAGGTTCGGGTTAAAAAGAAGGGGCAGCTTTTGGGGTTGTCACTGAAACTCGACGGGCCCAAAAGTTCGGTTAGTGGCTTAGGTTACCTTTGATTTTTGCGAGTGAAAGGAGATCTGTGGGACGAGATCGCGAAGCCCGGAGACTCAGGGTTTAGGGTTTTAGGGCTCAGGGCTGCTCAGGAGAGTCTTTAGGGTTTTAGGGTTTAGGGTTTTAGGGTTTTAGGCTTAGGGGTGCTCAGGAGAGTCTTTAGGGTTTTAGGGTTTAGGGTTTAGGGTTTAAGGGCTTAGGGGTGCTCAGGAGAGTCTTTGTTGAGGGGATTCTGGCCGCCGGAAGCTTAGCAGATGCACGGGGGTTTGAGGCTGTAGGCGAGAAAAAAGTGCAGGCAATATCAGTGCCCCACTCGTCCTTGCAAAAGTCGATGACAAAAGCCGACGCATTGCATTGCTGCCAACGGAAATTTGCAAATTTACTGTCGACTCGAGGCGGCAGCCAGGCCCCTCGGACTGGGCTGGAAGGTCAGAGAAGGCATAGCCTCTCAAGCCCTGCATCCACCTGCAGACGCCACATGGCGCAAGCGACACCAGCAGCCTTGCTGTAAAGCTCCAGCACCACGTTCTCGTCTGGCTGAGCCAACTGACGACACTTCCCAGGGTCAGAGTCTGAGCCCCCCAAGAACCCGAACGGTTTCCCTTAACATACTCCTAAGACGGCCCTCATATTCTTTTAGGGACTTAGGGATCTTCAAAAATGACCACCTTAGCAGTCCAAGAGGTAGAGCCCCTTGATGGACCCTATAATGCCCTAAACCACCGCTAAGCGCTCGAAACCCCTGAGCCCCACCCCCCCCCCCCCTAAACCCTTCAACCAGTGAAGCCCTTCTTGTAACCCCCTTATCCCCTCCCCCCCTAGTAAAAGACCCCCCCCCGCCCCACCACCCCCGAATGCAGTATCAAGTACTCCCCAACAGTATAATTGAACTACAGTGGGAGTATTTACTATTAGGGGGTAGGGGGGTGGGGGGGTTAATCTTCGGTGAAAAAACTAGAATAGAGTTTTGGGGGGGTGATTATAGTATAAGTACAAAGGGACCACAAGGGAATATTGCCCTAAAGCCCAAACCCCAAACCCTAACCCCTAAACCCCCCCTCCCCCCCCAAAAAAAAACACAAAAGGAACAAGGGCTTAACCCCCCCCCAAAAAAAAAACAGAAGCGAGCCCCGGGCCGTTGTAAGCCTCGGCCTCCTTGAAGGCCTTCGCGGCGTGATCAGCTTTTAGGGTTTAGGGTTTAGGGCTTAGGGTTTAGGGTTTAGCGTTTAGGGCTTCGGGCTTAGGGTTTAGGGTAGCAAGGGTGAGAAGAGGCAAAGGGAAAAAAACAAACATGCTGGAGACAAGCCTGTACCTCAAGAACTTGGATGTGCCACCAAATGCAGCACGCCGAACACCCCCCCCCCCAAAAAAAAAAAAAAAAACACCTTATAATGTCTGCCTATAAACCCCTGAAAGGACTGGCCCCGACACCCGACTCCCGGCAACCCAAAAGCGTGCGTAAAAATCGGAGTGCCGAGGCCCCTCAACGTGCAACGTGCCTCGGCCTTAAACGCTAAACCTTTACAATCGTTAGGGTGTAGGATTCAGGGTTCAGCTTAGGGTTTAGAGGTTTAGGTTTCTCTAACCCCTAACCCTAAACCCCTTATGAGGACTTAGGGCTTTAGGGTACAGAATCCTCGAACCCGAAACCCTAAACCCTAACCCCAAACCTGCTGAAATTCGGGCCTTCACCGTCTGGTTCACATCGGCGGAGAGGGACACGGAGGCCACATAGGCATTCTCGTGCATCATGGCCTGAGAGTCCAAAGGCCCAGACCCTTGAGGTTTAGGGTTTAGGGTTTAGGGTTTAGGGTTTAGGGTTTCAGGGTTCCTAAGAATGACCTTAAGAACTAGAATAGGGTTTTGGGGCGTTATTGAAGTAGAATTTTATAGGGACCATAGGGGAGTTTAGGATTTAGGGCTTAGAGGTTCCTACGAATGATCCAATAGTAGTAAAAGCACCCAGATTCAAGGGGCCCCTACCCAGGCCTTTTGGGAGGATCCCAAAAAAATAGATATGGGGTCCCCTAAACCCTAAACCCTAAACCCTAAACCCTAAACCCTAATCCCCTCCAAAACTCGCCTCGGCCGGAAAAATAGTTAAAACTAGGGGAGGCCTAGACCCTAAAACCTGAAATCCGAAGCCTGAGAGGAGAAGGAGGGAGTTTCGGGTTTGGAGTTTGGGGTTCTGGCTTCAGTTAGGGTTTAGCCTTAATCCCTAAACCCGAATTAACCCTCTGAGCCTTTAGCCCTAAACCCTGACCCGAATTGAAAACCCTAGTGGCGCAACTCAAGGGCGGAGCCCAGCAACCCCCCCCCCTAATTTCTCAAACATGTTTGGTATTGGGCTGGGTGCCGGGAGGGGCCAAGAAAAAATAATATCTAAAATTAGGCGGGGTTTAGTATTAGGGGGATTCGATTAACCCCTAAACCCTAAACCCTACACCCTAAACCCTGAATCCTAAACCCTAAGCCCAAACCCAAATCCTTCTGCAAGAGGCGATGGCTCCGAGGTCCTTCTTCTTGATCTTGTTTCCTCCCGCGGCCATCTTCATCGTGGCGCCCTGGTGCGTTTTGCGGGTTTAGGGTTTAGGGTTTAGGGTTTAGGGTTTAGGGTTTAGGGGTTCGGGTCAGCTCTAAGGGTAGTTCCATGGTCCCTTAATATGGCCACTTACCTTCTTTAAAGGGTTCTGAAGTATGAGCCACTATGGGCCCCTGGGTGTTATAGGGTATACTATTATTATTATTATTACGATTATTACTATTATTATTATTATGTATATAGTGTTATAGGGATTATTATTATTATTATGATTATTATTCTTATATATAAGGGTAAGGGGTATACAAGGGGTCCGCATTTAATGGGCCCGTAATACTTGAGGAGTTTGCGGGGTTTGGATTTCAGGGCCCCATGGGCCCCGAATGCAGCTAGTACCCTTGCAACCCGAAAAGCCCTAGAGGGGCAGGACTAGCCCTAAACCCTAAACCCTGAACCCGCCTCATCTCTGGCCTTTACCCTAACAGTCAGGGTTTTCATGTGTTTTGAAGAAATTCCGGGAGAAACAGAAAAAGAGCCCAACAAAAAACCAGAAGAAGTACAACACAGCAAGACACTGCTTGATGCTAAGCGAACAAATATGCGCTGACCATCACGGAACAAAACATATCCCCCCAAAAACACGATAAGCTACCAAGACCCTAAACCCAAAACCCTCAACCCTAAACTCTGAAAAAACAAAGGCAAAAACCAAGGGCTGCTATCAGCTGCCTTGGGCGTGGCTTTGGAGATTTGCGCACCGGTGTTGCTGTAGCCCTCGGTGTCCAGCACCAAGATGTTCACGTTCTGGCCTGTTAGGGTTTAGGGTTTAGGGTTTAGGGTTTAGGGTATAGGGTTTAGGGTTTAGGATTTCGGGTTTAGGGTTAGGGTTTAGGGTTTGGGGTTTAGGGTGATAGAGTGTAGGGGGATCCCGAAGCTCCATAAACGCCTTTTAGGTGCGCTGAGACCCCATAACGCTGCAAGGCAAGGTCATGTAATTCCTAGGGACCTACATCCCCAGGGTTTAGGGTTTTAGGGTTTTAGGGTTTAGGGTTTAGGGTTTAGGGTTTAGGGCATAGGGTTTAGGGCTTAGGGCCCAGCAGTCACCACACCTTTGTTTACCACTAGCCTCGACCCTGAGAAGCACAGCCTGGTGCAATTTGCCACATCACTTTCAGGGGTGTAGGGTTTCAGGTTCCCCAGGAGTACACAGGGGGATGAAAGGCCAAACCCCAAACGCCCCTAAGAACCACAATCCATCCAAAACCCAGCAACGGGAGCTTCGGGAGCAGGGTTTAGGGTTTAGGGTTTGGGGTTTAGGGTGTAGGGTTTAGGGCTTCCTGTGCCTGTGGCAAGCACGTGGTCCAGGCCACCGAAGCCAATGTCGTAGGCCCAGCCATCGCCACCGATGATCCAATGGGAGGGGGCCACGAGCATGTCCTCATCTTTAGAACTTGGGTTTGGGGTTTAGGGTTTAGGGTTTAGGGTTTAGGGGTTAGGGATGGTCAGGGAAGTCGTAGGCAAGGGATCTTCGGGGCAAGCTTTCGTATCAACCCTCACATCCCAATTTTGGACTCTTAAGGCCTAAACTCCAAGCCTGGAATTTGGAGCGGGAAATTTCGAAAAGCAGCCGGGGGGGGGCAGTTCAGGACATGTAGGATGGGGAGAGGTTGGAAAGATGCCACGAGGCCCTACCACCCCATCGCAGAGCCCAGGGAGCTTCTGACACCCAGATCTTCCAAGATCCCTTCGTGGAGCCCATCGTCTTGTTTTGTTGAAAAAAACTTAGTTGTCCAGTACCTAGGGGGTTTAAAGGTTAACCTTTGGGAATATAAGGGGAATATATTAACCCAAAAAGGTTAAAGGTTAGCTACTCTACTGCTAAGAAAAAGATCCTGCTGGGATGTAGGGCATACCCCTAAGTTCTCAAGGGGTATTGGAAGATCTGGGCAACAACATGGGCCCAGGAACCCTAACCCTGAGGTCCATGTACCCAAAGAAGATATACTTCCCCCCCATGTGTTGCTATGTTATGTTAGGTTATGCTATGTTATGTTATGCTATGTTATGCTATGCGATGTTGTGTTGTATTATGTTATGTTGTGTGAGGTTATGTTACGTTATGCTACGCTATGCTATGCTATGTTATGTTATGTGGTGTTATGTGATGTGATGTTATGTGAAGTAGGGTATATATTTCGTGTATCCCCAAAAGGACACCCAGTATATACACTCACCAATATTAAGAAGGAGCCTTATATACACTCACCAGTAACAGAAATATAAGCCCTGCTTCATGTGATGTTATGTTGTGTTATGTTATGTTGTGTTATGTTATGATCTCCGTCATGACGATTAATAAACATCTTCATTATCAACTTTAAACAACCATACCAAGAAGGATGTCCATGCCATCTGGACACATAGCCTTAGAGCGCGTCCCCCGAGGACAATTGCCCGCAGACATTGTGCAGCATTGGGGATTTAGAGTTTAGGGTTTGCGGCGATTTAGGTACAAGGACCCTCAAGGTAATAAGATGGACATAAGATGCACAGAACAGGAACTAAGGATCCGTAGTTTGCACGGTGTTGTTGCAAGCTAAAGCTTTGGAGTCTAATTAGGGTAGAGAAGTGAGAGTTTACTGCAGCATTTGGGGTTCCCCAAACCAGAACCTGAACCCTAAACCCAGACCACCCCTAAGCACCAAACCCTGAACCCCCCACCCCCTGCACCAAGATTTGTGTCCAGGCACGGATTCCCGACGCACACTGGCCAACTGCGGTGAAGCCTGCGAGGTCAAAGTTTGGGGTTTAGGGTTTAGGGTTCAAGGTGTAGGATTTAGGGTATGGGGTTTCGAGTTCAAGGTATAGGGTTTAGGGTTTAGTACCTAAGAACCTTTCAACTACAGAGTTTTTGTGGGTTCAGGGTTTGGGGTTTGGGGTTTGGGGTGTAGTGTTTAGGGGGTTATACCCGTCAATCAACGCGTTCCAAGGTTTGGGGTAACCCCCAAGCCAAAAGCTCCCTCAACCCTAAAACCTGAACCCTGAACCCTAAACCCTAAACCCTAAAGTACCATGATCCTCAAGCTCCCAAGACGCTGCCTCATCTCCCTGCGGCTCGGCTGCCAGCAGCTTCAGAATCTGAGGCTGCAAAGCCTGGGTTGATCTAAGGGTAGTTAGGGTTTAGGGTTTAGGGTAGTTAGGTTCTAGGGTTTAGGGTTTAGGGTTTAGGATTTAGGGTTTAGGGTTTAGGTTGGGGCTCTCAGGGGCTTTTAGGGGCTTCTGATCTAAGGGTAGTTTCATGGGCCCTTAATCTTGTCCCTGACCTGCTTCAATTAGGTTTCTGAAGTGGGTTGTATAGGGTATTTAAGGAGGGGTAAATAAGGGGTCCCCATTTGAGGGCCCATACTAAGGGAGGTTCAAGGGCTTCTGGGGGGGCTTTGGGGGATTCCAGGGGTAATGCGGCAATGAGGGGGCATTAGGGCCTTAATAGGGACTCTCGTACCTCCTATTCGAATCCCCATTAAGAACTGTTAGTATAGGGGGGGAAACATCTCAAGAGATGATAGAGAAAGAAGGAAGGAAAGCAAAACGAACGAGGCCATGCCCGCGCATTGTAGCCGAAGAACGCTGCACTTGTCAGCATCCTCGACCACGTCCAGCCACCTTGAATGTCGGGCAAGACACCCGAAGAGGTTTAGGTTTAGGGTTTAGGGTTTAGGGTTTAGGGTTTAGGCTTTAGGGTTTAGGGTTTAGGGTTTAGGGTTTAGGGTTTAGGAACCCCTGGAGCCCGGAACGCCCAGACCGCCATCGCCAATCTTTACAAGAACTGGCCGGACCACAGCATCTCAAACCCTTAACCCTAAACCCTAAACCCTATAATACAACTCAAACCCTTGATGGCCCCTTACGACCCCTAAAATTCCAAAAACTCAAGAGCCCTACATCCTCAACCTCCCTAGAAAACAAAGCCCTCAAACCCTAAACCCTAAACCCTAAACCCTAAGCCCTAAACCCTAACAACAACGGAACGACCCATCCCGGCCTCTCGAGCAGGACTTGCAACTCGGAGGAGATCGGGCTGGCTCCAGAGCCGGCCTCTTGTCGGACCCATGCACTATTTACAATATCATATATGTATGTGTATGAGTATGTGTATGTATGTGTAGATGTATGTGTATGTGTATATGTATATGTATATGTATATGTATGAAGTTCTTTGTTGTTTTGTGTTTTAGTTTTTTTTTTTTTTTTTGGGGGGGGGGGGGGGGGGGGTAGTGTGAATTAGGGGTTCAGGGGAGGTGTTCAGGGTGAAGGGTCGGGTGCAAAAGGCTTCGGGCTGGGGAGGCTCAGAATTTTGGTTCGCTACAAGGCAGAGTCGGGGTTTAGGGCTTCGGGTTTATAGGGTTTATAGGGTTTATAGGGCTTATAGGGTTTATAGGGTTTATAGGGTTTATAGGGTTTATAGGGTTTATGGGGTTTAGCGGGTTTATAGGGTCATCGATATGGGATCGCGTGTCAGATTCTTCAGTACATTAAGCGACATAGCTGTCGGGAGTGGCGTTCATGTTGTCTTTCAGCTGGTTCTTAGTAAGGAATTTGGGAATCACGCCCTATGTATACCCTTTGAGGAATGATACAGGGTATCTCATTCCCTACTAAGAACCAGCCAGTTTTTCCTCAGTTCTGACCCTAAACCCTAAACCCTAAACCCTAAACCCTGAACCCTAAACCCTAAATCCCAAACCCTAAACCCTAAACCCTAAGCACCTCTTCCAGCAGCTCCCTCACATCAGCAATCAGCCTTGGCGCGTCGCACGTCTTTGCCGCGATCAGGGTTTACCCTCAAACCCCTAGGGTTCAGGGTTTAGGGTAAGGGTTTATTGTTTAGGGTTTAGGGTTTAGGGTTTTGGGTTAGGGTGTAGGGTGTAGGGTGTAGGGTGTAGGGTGTAGGGTTTAGGGTTTAGGATTTAGGGTTTAGGGTTTGGGGTTTAGGGTCAGGGTTTAGGGTTTAGGGTGACCCAGGAGTAACCTTGGAAGAAAAAGGGCGCCCTTCTTGGTTTAAAGGGGGGTTATAGCGGAGCCCAAACCCTAAAAAACGGAGTAAGGGCCTAGTCTGGGTCCTCGACCCTCAACCCTAAGCAGCACCTTTAAGCGCCAATCCTTTTTAAAACCACATGCCGAAAGCTGCCATCGAGAGAAGCACACCACAAGCTCCAGCAAACCCTGAGCTCCACTTGTAGGGTTCTTAAGGGAGGGGGGGCCCAGGGGTCTCTAAGCTTCCCTGAGGTTTTCTAGGTACCTACACCCCCCCCCCCCCCCCTCCCTCAAGAACCCTAGGCTCTACACACTCAAACTGCAGGACTAATGAGTCCCCATACGCCTACCCCCCCCCCCCACGCCCTAAGAACCCAAAGCCCTGAAATTTCTCTGTGTCACCCTGATTTCCTAGCCCTCCCCCACCCAAAAAAAATGAAAAACACAAAAACAAACCGAAACCTCCAAAACCATCACCTAAAAAGAAACAACCACCCTACAACCCAAAACCCTAAACGCCGCAACAGACCCAGCCTCCCCATCTCCGGCTCCAGCTAAAACTTCCCAACACAAGCCCCGTGGGGAAATCACCAAAGTCATTGCCATCTTTTCCAATTTAGGCGTACTCGGGGCGAACCCTGCACCTTAAGCCCTAAACTTTAAACCCAAAACCCAAAACACCCTAAACCGTATATAAGTCCTAGACCTTCAAACCCTAAACCCTCAACCCTAACCCTCAACCCTAAACCTTCAAACCAACCCTAAACACAGTCCGCGCGACTTCTCTCGACGCTGCGACGAGCCCAACGCCATACCAAGGCCGTACTCGGCCGTGTCCTGAAAGGGTTTATAGGGTTTAGGGCTGAAGGCTTGTAGGGGGTTCAAGGGTTTACTAGGGTTTTGGGGGGCTTAAGGGTTCGTAAGGGTCCTGGAGCTTGAGAGTTTAAGGGTGTTTGGGTTCCTGGAGGGATAGACTTGCGGTGTTAGGCTTCAAAGGCTTCAAGGGTTTCAGGGCTCTGGAGTTTACAGGGGTTTCAGGGTTTCGGGTTGGGTGTGGGGCTGTAGGGCTTATGAAGAGTTGGGTTCCAGGGTGGTTTTAGGACTTCACTACTGCCGACATTTTTGATTTGTATTGGCAAGACAGCATTGCGGTTGCTATGTTTTCCTATCACTTTTTCGATGCACAATTTGCGAATGAAGGTGTTCTGACATGACAGCATGCTGCAAGCCAGCATGAAGCGGGACAGTCGATGTGCCTAGCCTAAACCCTTAACCCCTGAAACCCTAGACACCTGAAGCCCTAAACCCTAAAGCTCCAAAACCCCAAGCCCTGAACCCTAAACCCTAAACCCTAAAGCCCCCAAAAACCCCAAGCCCTAAATCCTAAACACGTAAAGCCCTAAACCCTAAAGCCCCAAAGTCCCCAAGCCCTAAACCCTAAACACCTAGATCCCCACACCCTAAACCCTAAACCCGAAAGCCCTAAACCCGAAAGCCCTAAACCCTAAACCCTAAACCCTAAACCCTAAGCCCTAAACCCTAAACCCTAAACCCTAAACCCCCAAACCGCAGCAGTGTCCTCAAACAGGGAACGAGCCCATGCGGGGCCTGTCGCGAACAGGCATTTGTGGTCAAAGATGCTTTGTGCAGGGTTTAGGGTTTAGGGTTTAGGGTTTAGAGTTTAGGGTTTAGGGTTTAGGGTTTAGGGTTTAGGGTTTGGGGTTTGGGGTTTAGGGTTTAGGGTTGAGGGTTCCGGGTGAGGGTTAAAGCAGTATAACCCAAGTTAGCAGGTAGTGGTGTTTCTGCCAACGTTCTGTGTTCTTTGGGCATGTTCCCCGGTAGCCCCGAGGGAACACAGCCCTTAAGAAAGGCAACTCTAAACTCTACCGAAACTAACAGAGCCCCTAACGCCCTAAGCCTTGCACCTCGAAGCCTCCACCAGCACAACTAAACTCAAAACCTGACCTGTGATCAGAACCCTAAACCCTAAACCCTAAACCCTAAACCCTAGAAACCAATTTGAAACTCAATTCTTTGGCTTTGACTCTGAGACCTCCTGAGCCCGAAAGCCTACACTGTAACGGGCTCAACCCTAAACCCTAAACCCTAAACCCTGAACCCTAAACCCTAAACCCTAAACCCTAAACCCTGGATTTTTCATGGTAAACTTGAAAAAAAAGTCGCGGGGCCCCTCCCTAGATGGCCTTGTCCATGCCGGTTCTTGCGGAAGGGGCTCAGGCCATAGGAGCCACCCCACACCTAAGGGGTTTAGGCTTTAGGGTTTAGGGTTTAGGGTTTAGGGTTTAGGGCTTATGGCCTATAGGTTTAGGGTTTAGGGTTCTAGTTTAGGGTTTTAGGGTTTTGGGGCTTAGGGCTTGAGAGTTTGTGGCTTTGGGCTTAGGTTTAGGGGTTTAGGGTTGTGGGGTGTTGGGGGCTTTAGGGTTTTGGGGCTTGAGGGGGTGGCTGTAAGATTGGGTAACTACGGTTTAGCCCTAAACCCTAAACCCTAAACCCTAGACCCTAAACCCTAAACCCTTAACCAGGTCTTAGGCTTGAGCTCGTCTTTCAGGGCTGTTGCCTCGGGTGTTCGGCATCTCGCTTATTGGCACTATACTCCCCTTGGAACCTTAATAAAACTAATATTTTAAATATCCTCTTGGGTTTTATATTAACAAAAATATAAAGTAACTCCCAAGGGGAATGTAGGGCAAGAGGCGGCCCAAGCAAAGCTCCCCCAAAGCTCTACACCTTGGGATGTGTCCCCCCTTGCACTAACACTCCTTAATAGGGAGTATAGTATCCCCCCGCCCCCCCCACTGGGCTCTGGCTGATGCAACCACTTCAGAAGTTCCGCAGAAACACATGCCCGAACAAACGAGTCTGGGGCTCAGCGCTTGGGAGAGTTTAGGGGCCTAGTCCCGGGTTTAGGGTTTAGGGTTTGGGGTTTGGGGTTTGGGGTTTAGGGTTCGGGGTGGGGTCTACGGTTTGGGGTTCACGGGGATAGAACCCTAAATTCTAAGCTTCAAACCTTAAACCCTAACCCCCGATATCCCTGAACACCCTACAGACCCCCATAACTTGGGATGCTCCCCCTTTTACGAACCCCAATTCTCAAGTCCCTATGAGGTACTGTTAGTGTAAGGGGCGGTTCAGGGTTAAGGGGGTTGGGCCTGCGGGGTTTAGTAAAGCATCCTCGAAGCCGATGCGACTCGATCACCCAAAAGCCCTCATGGCATTAGATTCCCTTGTATTGAGGACCCAATAAGGTGCCCCTAACATCGTAAACCCCCATTTCGCCCGGGGACGGAAGAGCAGCCGCTGCTATTTGCAATGACCATACCTCGGCAGCCAGAATGTGCATTTGGGTGCTTCATAGAACTTCAACAGTGATTTTGTAGTAGCGCAGGGAATAGGACCCCACCCCTCCACCCCCCCCCCCCCCCGCCCCCCCCAACCCCCCCCCGCCCCCCACCCCCCAAAAAAAGAAAATAAAACAAAAGCAGGCATTCTGACAAATTCCCCTAGGTCTCAGATTTTTGGGCTACCCCGTTGGAGGCCCCTTTCAGCTTGCGGGGGCACCCTTTCCATTAGGTTTAGGGTTGAGGGTTGTGGTTCAGTGTAGGTTTAGGGTTTAGGGTTTGGGGTTTTGTATTTCACCAAGGGGTTGCAGCTTACGTTTAGGCATATATGGGCCAGCATAGGCGCACCCCCCCCCCCCCCCCCCCATGGTATCCCCCACCCTCATGGTGGGTTTTGGGTCCCCCCCCCCCCCATGGTTCATGGTTCATGGGTTTAGGGTTTAGGGGTTTCGGGGGTTAGGCTGTAGAGTTCAAGATTTTCATTCTGGTCCATTGGTTCACTGTGGGTTTAGAGTTGAATTAGGGTTCAAGGTTTGGGGTAGTGGTAGGCTTACGGTTTCCCCTCTCCCCCCCTTTGTTTCGTGCTGGGTTTTACGGTTCAGGGTTCGGGTTAGAGCGGCTAAGGTTTCGGGTTTACCCTCTCCCTCCTGTCGTTCAGTGGTGCGTTCAGGTTTTAGGACTTAGTTGGGTTTAGGCTGAGGTTTCTCTGTCCGCCCCCCCCCCCCCCCCCCCATGGTCCGTACAACCTGAGACCAATGCCGCAACCGCGCGATTGCACCCCCAAACGGTTTCGGGTTTAGCGACCCTAAACCCTTTAAACCCTCAACCCTAAACCCTAGACCATCGAAACCCTTCCGTCCCCTGAGCCCTGGACGGAAGCACATTCAAAGCCAACCACCGCGAAGACACCCAGGGTTTCAGGGACATCGTTGTGGGTACAGTAGTCGTTGTGGGGTACTTTAAAAGCCCCCAAAGCCCTGAACCCCCCAAACCCTGAACCACTGAAACCCTAAAACCGAAGCCATAAACCCTAAACTCCGAAACTTTGAAACTCCGAACCGCAAAACCCTAAAACCTAAAGCCCTGAAACAACCCTAAACTCTGCAGCCCAAAATGTCAAAGCACAACACCTTAACACCCACACTCAAGCACCCCAGAACATCCCCACCCCTAAGCCCTGAACCTCAAGGGTAGTTACATGGTCCCTGAATTATGGGCCCTTAAACATTGGACTACCCTAAACCCTAAACCGGAAACCCTAAACCCTAACCCCTAATTAAACCCTGAACCCTAAACCCTACTAGAATCCCCACTAGGGACTCAGCAAGAAAAAGGGGGAACATCCCAACCCTCAAACCACCTAAAAAGGGCCAGGGCTGCGATCACCAAACATCTGCGTCAGCAGCTTGACGTAGGGCGTCTCTCCGCAGCCGGAGCATGCACCACCTGGGGCGGTTTAGGGCTCCGCGGGCTTAGGATTTAGGATCCCTAAACCGTAAACCCTAAACCACCCTAAAACCTAAACCCTAAGCTCGAAACCCTAAACTAAACACTAAACCCTAAACCCTAAAGCCTAAACCCTGAAAGGTTTTCATGGGCGTCACCCAAGCCCTAAGCCTACACACAAGCCACTGCCACGTCCCAAGACCTAGGCAACCGAAGCACCGCAACACCTCAAGTTCAACTCAACCTAAAAAGTTGCCCTAAGGGTAAGCCCGAAACCCTCAGCCCTAAACCGAAAATCCTACAACCCAAGACTGTGAAACACCCGACTCCCACCTTCGAAAAGCACCAACCAAAAGCCTTGGACCAACCTTCAGGGTTTAGGGTTTTGGGTTTAGGTTTTCAGGATATGGGCGTAGGCGTGGTGGGTGTAAGGCTTAGGGCATTAAGGCTCAGGGTTTAGGGGGTGTTGGGGTGTCAGGGTTTTAGGGTCCAGGGCTTAGGAGGGGCTTTAGGGCGTTTAGGGCTTAGGGTTTAGGGTTTAGGGTTTAGGGTTTAGGGTTTAGGGTGCTGGCTCCCCATGCAGCTGCAAGTGGCTGAACTCAATCAGGGGCTCCTGGAACCTCAGCAGCGGTTTAGGGTTTAGAGTTTAGGGTTTAGGGTTTAGGGTTTAGGGTTTAGGGTTTAGGTCCCAAACACTATAAAATTGCCCTAAGCCTCAAAGCCTAAAGAAAGCAAAGGGCCTTTCCAGGTTGAGAGCTTCGGGAAACACACGATTCTAAGAAAAGTCTGAGGTCGGAACCATTGGCCCTTCGTCTGGCCCCTTACCTTAAACAAGGGATCCGAAGTAGGGGCCCTTACTATGCATACTGTATATGGGCAGTTTCCTAAATTAGGGTCCGTTTTTGGGTACCCAGTATAAGGCGGCACCCTTGAAAAAGGGATCCCAACAAGGGACCCTAATTTAGAGAGCAACCCATATAAGGGCGATTTCACAAAGGACACCAAATGAAGGATACTTGGAACCCGAAAGAGTCTTCTGAATCATCTTGCTCGGGGGCTGAGAGCCCTTGACGCTGGTCTTCTCCATGAGGTTGTCTTTCACGGACACCTTCGCGTTGTTAAGAGTTTGAGTTGGGACGTTCCCTCTTATACGAACAGTCCTGAATAGGAAGTCTAGTATTCCCCTGTTACAATCCCAATTAAGGACTGTCAGGAGGGGAACACCCCAATTTTGAGGTTTAGGGATTTAGGGCGGTTTAGTGGCTTCTTTATTGGGTCTGAGGTGCTGGGGGGTTCAGACCGGGCTTCCGGAGTTTGGGGCTTCTCAAACGGCATGGCTGCGGAGATCTCCTAAACCCTGAACCCTAAACCCTAAACCCGAAAAAGGGAAGACCCTGTTCGGAAGGCTGGAGCCGCCCCTGCGTGCAATCCTGTGTGGCGTTGTGCTGTTGCTCAATCCACAATTAGGGTTTAGGGTTTAGGGTTAAGGTTTAGGGTTGAGGGTTTAGGGTTGAGGGTTTAAGGTTTAGGGTTGAGGGTTTAGGGTAACCTAGGAGTAACCTAGGAAAATGTGCCCTTTTATGGTTTTACAAGGGGATTACAAGGGGCCCTAAAGCCCAAAACAGGGAATAAGGGCCGACTCCGGGTCCTAGGAGATCCTAATCCCTGAAACTCCTCGAAGCCCGATAAGAACTGCGGTTACTAGTGTTTAGGGTTTAGGATTTCGGGTTTAGGGTTTGGGGTTTAGGGTTTAGGGTCTAGGGTTTAGGGTACTAGCGTTTTGCGGGATTCGGGGTTAAGGGATCCCTACTTTGATGCTCCCAAAGTCCTAAGCCCTAAACCCTAAACCCTAAACCCTGAATGCCTGGTTCAGGGAGTACTCCCAGTGATCGTTGAACTTCTGCTGGGAGTGGTTGGGCGGCTCCATGATCAAGGCATCATCTGGGCACATCCTCAGGTTCAGGGTTTAGGGTTTAGGGTTTAGGGCTTAGGGTTTAGGGTTTAGGGTTTAGGGTTTAGGGTTTAGGGTTTAGGGTTTAGGGGTTGGACACCCTAGCCACGAAAAAAGGTTAACCGTTTATCTAGAGTAGGATTCTATATAACCAAAAAGGTTAAGGCGCGCCCTGTGCAAAGCGAAGTTCTCAGCGAGTAGGCGTGAGACCGGCTAAAGGTCACCAAGCAGAGGCGGCGAGGGTGTTAGGGGTTGCAGGATGTAGGGCCCTAAACCCTAAACCCTAAACCCTAAACCCTAAACCCGGGTGTCTAGGGCTTTTGGTGTTCTTAGGGTTTAGGGTTCTGGATTCCGTGTAGGGATCCCTCAGACCAAAAAAACCCCCAAACCCATCAACCCTACAAAGTCTCAACCCCAGGAAGGGCTCGGAACTCCTGCTTTCAGGAGAGCCATTCGTTTCGCAAAGGCTGCTGTTTAGGGTTTAGGGTTTAGGGTTTAGGGTTTAGGGTTTAGGGTTTAGGGTTTAGGGTTTAGGGTTTAGGGTTTAGGGTTTAAGCTACTGAGCACATGTTCTTAAGCAAGCGTTCTGCTAAAGACTTCTTTTGACTTTGCGGCTATAGGAACATTCTCTGCGTTGTAGGAAAACTGTTCTGGAATGCATCCCCCTCTCAAATGAGGTTTAGGGTTTAGGTTAGCCAGCGAATGGTTCTTACACACTTGGAATCGCGACTGATTTGCGGGGCCTGGAGTGGCCTTCAGCATGAAGAGATGTGCCGATAGACTGTGGTGGCTGGATCGTTGGACATGAACCTTCTGGAGGCTATGGTGAGCTTAGGTTTTGGACACCCCGAACCTACCATTCCATACCTAGTGTCTTTTAAGAAATCCTTGGCCGGATTCATAGATATCCTACAAAACATGGTAGGTATTGGGTTCTTAAGGTAGGATTCTATGCCTTCTGTCTCTGCTGATGCAAGGCAAGATGCTCCACGCACACAGCGCAACCGGTGCAGTCATAGGGCGCCAGCTGGATGGTGTAATTCAAGCCTGCTGCGGCTTAGGGTTTAGGGTTTAAAAGTTTAGGGTTTAGGGTTTAGAGTTTAGAGTTTAGAGTTTAGGGTTTAGGGCTTAGGGTTTAGGGTTTGGGGCAAATTTTGACAACTGCTTCGGCTCCGGAATTTCCAGGCTCTGGTACCCGACAGCAGCAGTTCGTCTTGGGGTTCTGAAGATAACTATAGGTTTAGGGTTTTCCTAAACTCCAGGACTAAGTCTTGGGGCTTGAGGCAGTTCAAGCCACTGTTAAGCCCCCCCCGCCCAGGCAACCAACCCACAAAGTGCCATCAACGCCGCAACAAAGAACCTCCTGAAAAGGGACTAACAACAATAACAGAATGAGCATTTTAGGGTTGCAAGCTGTTGTACATATCGAACATACGTGGATACTCTTCGAAAGCCTGAGCCCTAAACCCTAAACTTGTTTGAGGGTCCTCCAGTATTGCCCCCAGCCATGAAGGCTAGTGACTACGAGGCTCAGGGTTCTGGGATGAAGGTCCTGCCCCTCCGGAAATCCCACTGTGTAAACCCTAAAACCCCAAAAGCCCCCAAAAAAACCTAAAACGCTAAATCCCGAAGACCCCTAAAACCCTAAAGCACCAAAAACTCTCAACCCTAGACCCTAAAACCCTTAACCCAAATGCCATGGGTTTTCGGATTCTCTCGAGATAATACCTTGGACCGTAAGGTCGTACCCTTGGGGCTTTGGGTACCCCTTTTTAAACATCCTTAAGGTAGTCTAAGGGCCATATGAGGAGTATAGTACGGGGCACCTTTAGGAGGTACAACCTTAGGGGTACGAGTCCCTCTTCGCCCTAAACCCTAAACCCCAAACCCTAAACCCTAAACCCTAAACCCTGAACCCTAAGCCCTAAAGCCTAAAGCCTAAAGCCTAAACCCTAAAGCCAAAAGCCTAAAGCCAAAAGCCATAAAGCCTAAACCCTAAACCCTAAAGCCTAAAACCTAAAACCCTAAACCCTAAACCCTAAATCCCTAAACCCTAAAACCCTAAACCCTAAACCCCTTGAGGTTGAGGGCCCAAGTCTCCTCCAAGGTCGCCGCCCTTGGCCTTGCGCGCTTGGAAGCCCTCAGGGGCAGCCTGGGGAGCATCTTCGGGGTTTAGGGTTTAGGGTTTGGGGTTTGGGGTTTGGGGTTTAGGGTTAGGGTTTTGAGTTTAGTTTAGCGTTGGCTTGTTGGATTGGGGTCAATTATAACTCTGTTCCCAATGAGAATAACGACACACCACCCCCAAACCTAAACAAAGCCCTCACAACTCTAAACCCTGAGCCCTAAACCCTGAGCCCAAAACCCTAAGCCCTAAGCCCTACAAATCCCTAAACCCTAAACCCTGAGCCCTAAACCCTAACTCCTGAGCCCTAAGCCCTAAGCCCTAAACCCTACTAATCCCTAAACCCTAACTCCTAAACCCTAAATCCTAAACCCTAAACCCTACTAGTCCCTAAACCCTAAATCCTAAGCCCTAACTCCTAAACCCTAAACCCTACTAGTCCCTAAACCCTAAACCCTAAACCCTAAACCCTAAACCCTAAGCCCTAAAACCCTAAACCCTAAACCCTAAGTGTCCTTTTGAGGTCCTGGCTTCCATCTCCTTCTTGTCCAGCAGGAAGGGTCGGACCTGTCGCAAGATAGGGGGGGGGGGGGGGGTTTAGGGTTAGGGTTTAGGTTTAGGGTTTTTAGGGTTTATAGGGTTTAGGGTTTCTAGGGTTTCTAGGGTTTATAGGGTTTATAGGGTTTGTAGGGTTTATAGGGTTTCTAGGGTTTATAGGGTTTATAGGGTTTGTAGGGTTTGTAGGGTTTATAGGGTTTATAGGGTTTATAGGGTTTATAGGGTTTATAGGGTTTATAGGGTTTTTAGGGTTTATAGGGTTTTATAGGGTTTCTAGGGTTTATAGGGTTGACGCTTTTCAGGTTTTTGAGGTCTGGGGTTTAGAGGGTTTCGGACTCTGGTTTTTTATGCCTTTGGGGGTTGAGAGGGAAGGAGTTGGGCTTTAGTGAGCCCCAAACCCCCAAACCCTAGGGCTGAAGGGCCCAGCAAGCTTAGGGTTTAAGGCTTAGGGTTCGGGTTAAGGGTTTAGGGTTTAGGGTTTAGGGTTTAGGGTTTAGGGTTTAGGGTTTAGGGTTTAGGGTTTAGGGTTTAGGGTTTAGGGTTTAGGGCATGGGAGCTTAGGATTACTTGGCTTTTTTGGGCTTCGCAAGGTTTGGGGCGTAATCTGGCCTAGACAGTCCGAGCGCTCAAGGTTCAAGAGCTTCAGCCCTCCAACTGAGGCCCCATTCCCTCTAGGGGTGAAGAGGGGTTGTACCTTGGACCCTTAAGGTTGTGCCCTTTTTTTGACTTAAAGGGAGTTATAAGGAAAGCTAAGCCCCCCAAAAAGGAATAAGGGTCCACTCCGTCTCCTAGGCATAGAACCCCGAAAAAACTAGACCCTGGTTTCCGAAACCCTCTAAATCCTGAAGCCCACCGGGGGGCCGTGATGACCAGACTTTGGCCTCTCACACCCCTTGTGCAATCTTACAAGACCATTTTAAAGGGCTGTAAGCCGTGAACCTTCAACTAATGGGGTTCATGTACGTACTCCCTAAAACCCTAAAACCCTAGGGACCCTACAACCCTAAAATAAACCCTAAAACCCAAAAACCCGAAAACCCTAAACCCTGAACCCTAAACCCTAAACCCAGTCCCAGACCATCTACTGGGCCCTGGCCGCCGCTGGGGCCCCAAGCCACCGCGTGAGGGCAGACGACGCTGCAGAGGTTGCATTGGGTGCACTTGTCTGGAATCCACACCTTAGAGAGGGTTTAGGGTTTAGGGCTTAGGGTTTCGGATTTGGGGTTTAGGGTTTAGGGTTTAGGGTTTATCAAGGGATGCAGGCTCGGACCCCTAGGAACTATGCCCCTGAAATGCCCTTAAGGATCCTCAAAAAGGGACCCCCAAACCCAAGGGTACAACCTTAAGGGTCCAAGGTAGAACCCCAAAGGTTTAGGGTTAATTAATGTTGGACCCTATTTAGGGTGTGCCCCCCCCCGCCCTCTTACTAAACAGCGTCCAACAGTACCCTTTACGTAAGGGCCTAAGTGCACCGGGGGTGGTGTAATCGCGCGGTCTTGTGGGCACTTGGGACATTCCAAAACACTATGTAACAACTCAACTGAGCCGGTAGAACTTCCACCACCTTCAGAGAGGGTGCTGGGATCTCCTCGGCCAGAGCGCGCTTCTGGTGCTTGGACCTGCACCAGCCACTATTGCTTTGGCTTAGGGTTCGGGGTTTCGGGTTTGGGGTTTGGGGTTTAGGGTTTAGGGTTTAGGGTTCAGGGAGTCAGGGTTCGCGGTCAGGGGCTTGCTTCTATAGGGAGCTTCCTCGTAGCCCAGTAAGCATGTTTTTGGGTTGGGTAATCTATGAGGAAACCTTGAACCCAAAAGGGAAAGGGGTACCACTGGTCTACCAAGGCTTCGGGATTCAGGGTTCGGGGTTAGGGTCTTGCTTCTATAGGGGGTCTAGGTGCCCGCAATGTCCCTCAGAGATTTCAAGGGGTGCCTAAGCCCATAAGCCCTAAGCCTTACAGCCCTAAACCCTAAACCCTAAACCCTAAACCCTAAACCCTAAACCGGTGCCTAAGCCCTAAGCCCTAAGCCTTAAAGCCCCTTATGACCCTGAACCCTCCCCCCCTGCCCCCCCAACCCCGTCAACCTGCCCCTTCTTGCGGGAAAGGGGCTGGCCGATTGGTGTCTCGCCTCCGGGTGTGAATGCGCTCACCTCAATGGGGTTCAGGTTTAGGGTTTAGGGTTTAGGGTTTAGGGTTTAGGGTTTAGGGTTTAGGGTTTAGGGTTTAGGGTTTAGGGTTTAGGGTTTAGGGTTTAGGGTTTAGGGTTTAGGGTTTAGGGATCAGGGTTCAGGGTTTAGGGTTTAGGGTCAAGAAGGGTTTAGGCTTACAGGGTTATACGGTTTGTGGGGCTGTATGGTTTACGGGGTGTTATCGGGTTTGTAGGGTTTGTAGGGCTAATAGGGTTGATAGGGTTGGTCGGGTTTATAGGGTTTTTCCAGCGTTTCCAGGGCTTAGGGTAGTTTAGGGTAGTTCAGTACACATTAGGGCCGAGGGATAGGACTGAGGTCGATACATCTGAAGGCTTCAAGAGGATCCAGTGACAAGTCTGTCCATCAAGCAAAACAGGTGTGGCTCCATTTCTTCGCGGGATGGACATGATGGGGCTGGGTCAGGGGTTCAGTTTTAAGGTTTTAGGGTTTAGGGTTTAGGGACAGAAGAGTGAGTAAGGGATGACGGTGAAAATCGTCAAAGAGGCCCAGACTGGGTTTTTCTTTGGCCAAATCCGAAACATCAACAAGGGTTTAGAGGGTTCTTTAGGGCTAAGGGTAGCTTAGGGCTTGTAGGGTTTCTCGGGTAAAATGGGGTTTGTAGAGGATTCATAGGGTTGATTGGGATCATAGCGCTTGTAGGATTGAGAAACGAGGCCAACCCCAAGGCGCCTTTGGGAGCTCGCTTTACTTCCCTGCTCGGCCACGCAGATCTTAGCGGGGGGGGGGGGGGGTATGTAACCCAAGGTTCCCTAATACTCCCTACTACTCCCTAAGGCTCCCTAAGCTTCCCTATGGTTCCCTACCTACCCCCCCATGAACCCCCCCAAATCCTAAACTCTAAATCCTAAACCCTAAACCCTAAACCCTCCCTTATACGAACCCTGTAAAGATCCTCCGGGTCGCCGCCAAGTTGTCAGCAGTGCGGGAGTCGATGCTCCTCAGGTGCTGGCTTGGAGTAGGGCCTTTAGGGTTTAGGGTTTAGGGTTTTAGGTTTTAGGGTTTTAGGGTTTGAGGGTTTGAGGGTTTGAGGGTTTGAGGGTTTGAGGGTTTGAGGGTTTTAGGGTTTTAGGGTTTCTGGGTTTTAGGGTTTTTAGGGTTTGGGGTTTAGGGTTAGGGTTTAGGGTTTCCCTGAACCCCAAAATCCTCACAAACCCGCCTAAGCCCACCCCATCGGCTTCTGAGCAGACCCTAAACCCCTAAACCCTCTAAACCCTCTCAACCCTCTCAACCCTAAACCCTCTAAACCCTAAACCCCTGAACCCCATAAACCTGTTAGAAGCACACGTCAGGGCTTGGCCTGTAGGATTCAGGCTTTCGGGGGGTTCTGGCACTAAACTCATCAGGCCAAAACTCCGAAGGCATTCTCTAAGCCTTGACATAAACTTTAAAAAACACGAAACACCTACAAACACCCTAAAACCACCCCCAAACCTCTTCCTCCCTATTATATCCCTAAACCCTGGGTTTAGGGTTTAGGGGTTTAGGGG